TTATTGCTGATTTTCCGTCACTTTATATGAAATATTGGCAGAAAGTGTGACTGAGAAAAGTTCTACGAGAATTTATCTTGTCTTGAAATGTTCTCCTAAGTTTAATCAATTCAGGAAACTTCAGAAAATGTAATTGCGTGATTCGCCCTGACATTTATTAACGTTTATTTTAACCCAAAAACCTTTTCCTTCGCCACAATTCCAGCATAATATTCTCCTCTCTAATTATTATTCTACCTATTCAAGAGGTTCTCCGGGATTGTATAAATTTCCCCGAAAGTTTTAACATTACACAATGCCGTGGCACGAAAAATAGGGGCCAACTTGGCGATTCCCCCCGAAAAAAAGAGAGAATAGAATTGAGTGAGAAAAGGTTGATGCTTCCGCAATTGTGGGGAATGATCGTGAGGCTGTGTGAGATAAAATGGGAATTAATGCGATAATCATCTGAAATATTATGACTTAATGCCCCCCTTCATTCTCCCAAACACTCAAACTCTCTCGTGCTTGAGGAAATGAACGCGTAATTTCTCAAGACGTGCTCATGGAGCGGAACAATAAGTGATTCTCGTTCTTTTGTGGGCAACGCTCAGCATTGCTGAACGGAAGCTTCTCGCGGAACGGCAAAAACTCCCCGCGAGAGCTGATGGAGATTTATGGTGCCCACGGATGAATTATTGACAATCGGCAAGGGGGGATTTTCCAGCGTGTATCGTGATTTTCCTCATCACTTCACTCAACCGTCCGTAATTCAACAATCAATTCGACATATTCTTGGAATGACGCGGCGCAATCGATCGCAATCGTCGTGCGACCAATCGCGTGAGAAGGAATGCGCCACCTTTTTGGCCCAGGAAGTCGCCAGGAGAAGACAATTGGAAATCACTCGCTCAGCTTAATTGATATTCAATTGAGCGCTTGTCGATCTGCGCGCCGCGGTAAATGTGGATTATTGTGTAAGTCCATTGTGTAAGGCGTCTCGCGGAGAATCATATTTTATTCGCCGCGCGGCCTCTCTTTTTACCCGAAATGTGACGGGGAAATATTGGAGACATTAATTTTTCGAAAGTCCACAATTCACACGCCGAAACGAAGAAAGTCTCTTTATGTAAGGCCTTCTTTTTGCGGCACGGAAGAGGGGGGAGAAAATGTGTAGTTGAGCTTTACTGAATCTCGAAGAAAAATAGCATTTCTTCATCGCGAAGGCGAAATATTTGGAAATTGACTGTCTTCAAGCGCCACAGAGGCTGAATAATTTAATCTGTTTGATTAAGCATTGAATTGGAAATGAAGAGGCAGAAATTGAATAGCCATTTGCGTCAACAGCATGAGACGCACAGAGTGTGGCAACGCAAATGCAGACATCGATATTTATCAAAGGGGAAAATAATATGGATGAAATTTGTATTTTCTCACACTTCCACAATTTGTATGAAGAATCCTTAATACTTCTCAGGACTTTAGACTTCATGGATTGTTTATATCAAGAGTAAAATCGACTAATAACTGAAATATGACTAAAATCTAACCGAAAACTAACTAAAATCTAACTAACAGCTTTAAAACTCACGTTTTTATGCAATAATTTATGTTTTTCTTCCTCTAAAATTGCTCTTTTGCGCATTATTTTTATCGTAAACGTTTATGAAAAATTCTTTTTTACTTCTAACTCAAAATCGTAATAGTTCGTTAATAAAAATTAGGTTATGTTTCACTAAAATCACCGTTTTTATTTGATTAAAAACAGGCAATTCTTCAAAAAAAAGTAAAATACTTTCAAATAGGCCGCATTTTTCACTTTAAGATATTATTTAGACTTAAATTAGTCACATAACCTTAAAAAGATATGTTGTAATTTAGGATTGTGATAACAATTAATATCTGAGAGTAAAATAATCTATTCAAACTCAAAGCTGTGAACCAAAGATTGCATAAATTGAAACTTCCTTAAACTTCAACTGAACCTGTACACCATTTCAGACTGTATTATCTCCCCCTTGATATTTATTTTCTTGATATTTTGATTTGTCCTTTAACTGCAAATAACTTTTATGCACTCCTGAGACTTTCTGATTATGAGTTTGAACTTCGGGATAAGGTCGCAGATTTGTGCATAAAATAATTTTATGGCAACATGCTTATTAAATTCCCAGTCACTATCGGCACTTTATCAAGCTTCGAGCATGAGCATAAACTCTCCAATTAACAGTGAAAATGTTAGTTTGTGGAATGCTTCATAAATTTCACCAGCAATTATTCACAAGTTCTCTCCATGCCCGCGATACGAAACAATTGCAATATCATTTCTTGGAAAAACACAAAGTGTTTTGAAGTACACAAACACACAATCTTGGCCGATAAGTGGAGCCTCTCAGAACGGCAAAAGCCGTGAAAAGTTTGAAAATATCTCGAGCAAAAAGTCCATCTGACACACCCACAGATGGTGAATTTATGCCGATAGTCATCTTAGCATTAGTTTTCCATAAATTCCGCGCCGCGCATAGAAAATATTCTCTCATCCGATAATTTATGTTCGGTGTTTGTGTGTTTCTTCAGCGCCTTGGCGGGAAAATTAGCGTGGCTCAACTTATCTTGGCGTTCACTTATCTTCGCCAGCACTGCGTCTTTTGTCCGTGATTTGCCAAGGCATGAAGGCGACGTTCCACTTCTTGGGATCACTTCAATCGTGCTCTATCTCGATATGGTGTGACTTTCTACAAGTACAAAAGGGGGATTTTCGTGTAGGAGGGAATTTTTTTTTCCATGAAACTCTCAAGTGCTCTTCATTTTGTCGTTCGGCATTAGATAAGTTGCTCACCAGACACAGGGTTATACATATAGTGTATTTGTGTGAAAATAACAAACAGTAGCGAAAAAGTTATTTAGACATTTTAGTTTTGTGGAAAATCGCTTTTAAAATTTTAGGGGTCAAGATATTGAAAAAGACAGAGAAATACGCTTAAAAATAGGGCAAAAAAGTTATTAAGACATTGTGTTTCTTCCCTAAAAAGCCTTCAATTTAGCAATATTTAGTAGGATAACTGCATTAAATCCAGAGATCTAAATCTCTAGAAGAAATTTACTTCATCTGAGGTTTTTGTACGGAAGATTTGAACTTAATTTTATGGTTTTAGCCTGAATTTGGCGTTTTTATTAATTTCTTTATTCCTCTGCACAACTGCGGCCTAAATCCCGTCTATAAGTTTCTGGGGAAGTGTTGCTAAGTGTGGCTAAGATGAATGTTCGAGAAGTACATCACTTTGCTCTTAGAAACCCTGAAAACTTACCATATTGGGGAAAAATACGGCTAAAGCTTTATGATCTTTGAATTAAATGAAAGATAATGAAACTCTCACGTCATAAAAAATATCGAATTTACCACAATAAAAGGGATTTTTTCACAAAAAAGGTCTTAATAACATTTTTGCTACTGTATTGCTTGGCAATCGCATGATTTCTGGCTTCTTAAGTATTTTATGAGAGCTTCAAATCGATTTGTAAAACATTGGTTTGCATGTGACATTTTAGTTTGTCTTTATTTTTTAATAATATCACATTTTTGCTGTATTCTTCAGCAATTTTATTGATATTTGGAACATATTTGATTTTATAAAAATGTTTGTATAAATAAATAATTGCCCTTAATATTAATTGTCCTCGAAGCCGTGAAAATTACAGCTTTGGAATCGAAATGTTCCTTATCTTCATCATATTATATTTATCAACAAATCTCAAGAAAGTTAGCAAACAAACCAACAAAGCCATAGAAAAACTCTTATTTCATCGTCTAATGCAGACTTGGTAAGAATCGGGATGCATTTTTAATGAGTAGACTTGTGAAGACTCCCCAAATTCCCATAGCGTCTCAATCAGTGGATGGGAACTGAAAGAAGAAAACCATCAAATTGGGAACAAGCCGAGTTTCGTGTTGAAATGCTTCCGACTTAATAACCATTCATAAAATAAAATTCGGCTGTTCAGCGATCAAAGAGGTTTCTGTGGAAACTTTGCCTCTCGTCTCGCGTTTATTTTTACAGACGCAACATCTTCATCGGAGTCTTCGAGGAGAGTTTTTTTTCCGTGAGTTGAACTATTTCTAGCTTGTTTTGCCAATATTTTCTCCCGTATTTTCGTCACTCGGCGCGGTGAAAAGACGCGCAGAGCGCAAGTGCGCCCCTTGGAAAATTCATCCACCAAATCAGTCAGAAACATCTTCCTACGGAAAGGTGTTTCACCCTCCGCAAGGGTAAGTTTTTACCCTCGTCACATTAACCTTTCCTTAGGGGTCGTGTTTCCCCCTCTCGAAGAAAGCCATCAGCGCGCTGAGCGCGAGGGTGAAAAAAGATGTTGTGAATTTTTGAAAAATAAAACCTTCGTTTCTCCGTTTTCACAATTAAGCGCCGCAATTCGCCGCTCAAGAGCGCTCGGAGGCTCTTGGCCAGCTTATCTGCAACTTCCATCTTTCAGTAATGGGCAGAGGAATAAACATAAAACAACTCCCCATGTATTTATTGATTTGGAATCCGAGGTGAAGCGAGATGTGATAGCACGAGAGACCTCTGCAGTCCATTCACGGACACATAGCGAGTTCATCTAGTGGCCGCGAGTCGCTCCGATGGCGCTGAAGGTAGCTTGAAGATCCCGAAGAGTGATTCGTTAAGACTTCGTCAGCAGTTTGGTAGTGAAACTCGCTCATTGGTAGATAGGTTTACCCTCAATCGCGCGTCTGCCGAGTTGAAACGCCCAACAATCTAGATAAACGATGGAATTGTCGTTTCAAAAATGCCGCGGAAATTGGTGTCATCTGAGTAAACAAACGCGATTGGAAAGCGTGTCTTCTTGTTTTGAAAGACACAAATGTGAGTAATTGAATAAATTTCATTGCCATCATATGACAAGAGCAGGCGAATATTCTATCAGCTGGTGATAAGATATGAGTAAGCGAGGCTTAATTTAGCTTTTTTTCTCAGAACATTCCACCAAATGCTTGATAACAAGTGTGAAATTTATTAGGCAAGTCAGTCTAGCTTGTTACTTCGTTGGCAGTGCATCGCGGAGCAGATCATCACATTAACAACAAAAATGAGTGAGTTTTATCAAATTTGGTACCAAAGGTTGTTTTCCTCATTTTCCACCTGTTTAAATAGATCTTGGAAATTCAAAGATTAAGTGATGTTTCTGGATATTTTTTAATAATTCTTCAATATCAATGCTGTTATGCAATGAAGCAACATTGAATCATTGATTATACTTGGTAACCGCCCTGAGCTTCCAGTTTATCAGCAAACAGTGAATGATTTCAGCGCTAAAATTGAACACTGATAAGCAAATACCCATGAATCACGATATTTCCTTTCCTCCGCAGACTTCACGTGGGTTCCTTCGTCCTTGTACGGCGCCATGCCGCCGAACGCCGTCTTCGCGGGAAACGACTCAGACGGCTCGACGATCTACGTGGGACGCACCTTCCACGAGGGCGACCAGCTGCCGGCCAAAGTCATCCCCAGCAAACAGGCGGCCTACGTGAGCCACAACGGCAACGAGATCCTGAAGCACCACGTCGAGGTGCTCGTGGGCACTGGCTTCACGTGGATTCATTCCAGCAACGGCCACGTGCCGCCGAACGCCGTCAAGGCGGGCCAGACCATGCACGGTCATCCCCTCTACGTGGGCCGCGCTCACCACGAGGGTAGCTTGACTCCCGGCAAAATCCACCCGACCCACGGCTGCCTCTACTTCCCGTACGGTGGCGCTGAGCAGAGCACGCTGCACTACGAAGTGCTGATCGGCCAGCCGTCTTGTAAGTGTTAATCAGCCGTTTATCGGCCCGAATTTTCTGATTATGCATTCTTGGAGTGTCACTCCGCCGGTGCTTCCCGCTCTAATCTCACTTTACACACTAAGCCTACGATAATGACGAAGTATATGTGAACCGAAGGCTAATCTCTGGTTTCGTCTTTTCACGGTTTGATGAGATGAGGGTTGATTCCACGATTTTCTGTGGGGTATCAAATATGTATGAAAGAGAGTAGAGATTTAATGGGAAATATTCGATTAGATTGAAGATAACAAATTTGTTCAACATACCCTATGATGATGTAAATGTCTTCTAGATATTCTAAACTCACGATTTAATGTGATTATCTCAGCCAGTTGTGTGATTATAACATGGATTTGGAACATAATAGGAGATTTCTAACTTAATTTTCACTGTCCATTTGCGCTCATCTCTCTGCATTTTGCAATATCTCAGGCCCGAATTGACATATCGGCATAATCTTAACGTCATTTGAAAGATTATAAAATACAGATAATTCTTTATCTTAAGGAAAATGTCTCGAAAATTGAAAGAAATATCAAATTTTTAGCACCAAAGATGTTCTAAGCTAATTTTCACTACTGTAGAACTTCAAATTTGCTTTAAAATCTTCCACAGGCATACAAATTAATTAATCATAAACAAAAATAGTCTAAATTGGGAATTTAGGGTAGAATTAAGGACTAGAAATACTTTGGGTGTTAGAATTATCCTACTTGCTTCCTTTCTCGTTGAAGTTTTTGAAATGATCGACAATTATCGACACTTTTCGATACGAATTTCCTGCAATTTCCTATTCTAAACACAATTTTCGGGGTGAAATAGAACTGATAACGACTTTTTAGTTCTTAAACTATCAATTTTGAATATTTTTCCCCTAAGATTGCGTTAAAAAGAAAATTGCATACGTTATTATCGATAAGTGTCGGTAAGTACGGATGTAAATAGGTAAAAATAGCGGTAATTCACCTATTGGCACAAATTATACCCGTTCAATGAGGTGAACTCTTCAAAATACTCTCTTGTGACAATAATAGAAATTATCAATTTGCCAATTGAACAAATGTTTATCTTTCTAACCGCTCCAGATAACTAAAGACTCGCCAATATCACTATAAGATGTTTGACAATACCGCAATTCTACTCATGATTAGATATGTCACAGTGAAACTCGTCACTCGATAGCCAGTGTTGAAATCGCTGGTGAAAATACCGCAAGCACTTGAACTCATTAATATGCATATTCGCAGCTCGCTGGCTTCCGACGTCTGCTCACGCCGGAGTGCCCCCAGATGCTGTTCTTGGCGGCCATGACACTGACGGAGCGCCCATCTACGTCGGCCGGGCTTTCCACGAGGGTGACCAGCTGCCGGCCAAAGTAATTCCCAGCAAGCAGATCGCGTACGTGAGTCACAACGGCCAGGAGATTCCCAAGCACCACTTCGAGGTGTTCTGCCACACGAGCGTCAGCTGGGTTCCCTCGGGACACGGCAGCGTGCCGCCCAACGCCGTGCGCGCGGGAAACACCGCCACGGGGGAGTCTCTCTACGTGGGGCGCACCTTCTACCAGGGCAGCCTCACGCCCGGCAAGATACACCCGAGCCACGGTTCTCTCTACATTCCCTACGGCGGCGCCGAGATTCCCTTCAAGAACTACGAAGTGCTGATCGAGAATTAGGAGACTTTCGGCAATTCATTCATGTCTTCTGAGCGAATTGTAAATAAAGGCAATCATTGCACTGAAACGGTCGCAAATTCACATTTCTCTAATTGCAAGATAAGAATTTTGAGAAATGCAAATACAGTGTGGAAAAATTTCTGTCTCACTGATAGTGCGAAATGCCTCAATAAAGTGACGTAAATTGAATTGCTTGTGTTGAAATAGATCTTCTCCCAAGATTTGCTTCACTGAATGCTTGAGTATTAAATACCGCACATTCATCTCTAATTCATTTTTATTGACAGTGATAAGAGTCTCCAAATCGTCTGTCTGAACTGAGTCTGTGAAGGCACAATAAAGACACTCGCAAAGACATTTCTCTCTCTCTCTCAAGATTAAAGCAGGAAATTGATAAATATTATTGCAAAAAACTAAATGTTATTCTATTATTATCACAGATTAAAGGAGAAAAAATATATTAACGTGAAAAGTTCATCATTTTCTGTGGTTACAAATGTGAGTTGAGTGTTTATTACGCATGGATGCATTTCAGCTGTGTTTCATTACACTTTGTCGTCAACAATGGCATAAAGATTACTCTTGATTTTGACTCATTCTTTGACTCCTCTTTGTCTTCTCCTTTGGGATGTTTTACGCCACTTCTAAGCCTGCGGAAGAGAGATTAGAAAAGCTGGTCACATTTTTCCACAAACTATTTGCTCATTCATCGTCATCACGCTTTCATTCAAGCACTCGACATTCATAGTGTTTAGCTGTTGAAGGTCGTTTCGCGACATCGAGAAGGGGAAAATCAAGAGGAAAATCCGAGAAAAAAGTCTCAACAGTCATATTGGGTTCAAATATCCAACTTTAACGACTTTAACTGACTTGTCATAACATAATTATGCGTATTTAATCATTTTGTACGAAGTTAATCACTATCAATTAGTATGAAAATTCAATCTGACACGTGGAATTAAATCAATAATTTAAGTCTCTTAAATTCTCAGAAATCCTGTAAAAAATCAAATACAAACTTTTAGTCTGTCTTTGGATGATTAAAATCTCTCATAAATGCTTCTCATTAAAACACTTTAGAGATAAATTATTTGATTGCAAATTTGATTGCTTAATTCGCGGTCGGACGAGCTTCGCTGTAATTAAAACAAATTTGGAAAATCTGACTTTGCTTTCATTTGCAGAAAAAAAGAAGTTAATCAAAATCAGTCCAAAAGTGCTGGAAAGAATGAATTTTGCATTAATAAGTTTTATGTCGAAAAGACATTGAATTGGTGTTGGTGAAGATGTCTTTGTGAATATTCATTAGAAAAGTTGCCAAGAGTAGATCTAAGAATAACCAATTCTGAATTAATTGCCGATGATTACAAAATTGCACATTGTGACAAAATGTGTGTAGAAAATGCGCCCAACACTTCAATCTTGAAAATATCATTATGTGCGCCAATAAAAAAGTTTGTAATTGTAACTGATTGTATTGCGCCATATTATTAGTGTTTCTTCTTTATTGATTCTTATCGAATTGCTGGGGTGTTAATTGACCATTTCTCCCCACCATCAGCTGTCTTCGGGACAGCAACTGCACGAGACGAAATGCTCGCGCGGGAGATAAAAAGTAGATTGTCACTTTATTGCCAAGTCTCGATCGCGTCATATCAGCATCTTCGCGGAAGGGTAACCGTGCCGCGTGCGATTCTGCTATTAATAATCAGTTTCTTCGCGGATTTCAACCTGAGCGGATCGTTGAGGAGTTGTTGGGAAACTTCCCAAGTAGACTTTGCCTGCGCGCGTGTAAAAAATCAGCTGTGAAATTGCAGTGCGCGCAATTGAAACAAGCTCTTCAGAAGCGGTTTTGTGTATCTTGTGGGTGGAGAATATTTACAAATAAATCATCATCGTGCTAAGTGATCAGCAAGATGAAAGCGACAATCTTCACAAAGTCACCAAAGAAGGAATTGCCGTCAAGTAGTCTGTATGATTTGGTGAGTGAATGATGGAAAGTCCATAATGCATAATTGTAACATTTGCTCTCTGGGTTTTCCGCAGTATCGATTCGCGACCAAGACAGAAATATGCGTCACGCTGGGAATTCTCTTAATGATCTTCGCCATGTCAGTGGGTCACCCCATGGCAACGATTATCTACTCGGAAGTCATATCAATGCTGAGCATTCGATCTGATCTCAACGCCACTGTTATTGACACACTGCTGCTGCCGATCTTTGGCGGTGGAAGACGCCTGGAAAATGCCACTTTGGAGGATAATTACGAGGCACTCAAGGACGACGTGATCTCATCGTTCATCCTGAGCACTCTGCTGCTCATCGTGATGGTCGTGGTGATTTCCATTGGAGTGTACGTGATGAATCTCATCGCTCTCAAGCAGACAATGCGCGTGAGAAAGGCTTTTCTCATGTCTGTCCTGAGTCAGGACATGACGTGGTTCGACTCGAAGGCCAGCATGGACTTTGCCAGCAAAATCACCACCAATCTCGACCTGATAAAGGACGCCATGGGAGAGAAGCTGGTCACCACAGTCTTCCTCCTGTCCGCCTTCACTTTCCACATGACTTTCAGCTTGATCACCGGATGGCAGCTCACGCTAGTGATTGGCGGCGTTTACACCGTTCTCATCCTGGGATGCTCAATATTCGTGGGCAGATCGGAGATTCGCCTCACCGAGAAGGAGCTCAAGAGCTACTCAGTGTCGGGATCGATAGTTGAGGAAGTGTTCAATGCCATTCGCACAGTTGTGGCTTTTGGCGGGGAAGAGAAGGAGTACAAGAGATACTCAGAGAGTCTGAGAGTGGCTGAGAAGTCTGGTGTGAAGAAGAGCTTCTTCTCTGGACTTCAGAGCGGCGTCATGTGGTTTCTAGTCTTCGGAGGCTTCGGTTTGGCCTTCTTCTACGGCATTCACTTGATGGTTCTGGACTTTCAACTGCCAGAAGAGGAAAGAACCTACACAATTAGATCCATTGTCTTGATTGTACTGTGTATGATCACAGGATCTCAGTTTGTGACATTCGCAATTCCCAGTTTGGAGACAATATTCTCCGCCAAAGGCACCTCAACGGCCATTTACGAAGTCATCAATCGCAAATCCAAAATAAATCCATACAGCAAAAATGGCAAAACAGTGGAAGAATTCAAGGGAAATATCGAATTTAAGAATGTTCGTTTTCACTATCCATCGCGAAAAGATGTTAAGATCCTGAAGGATGTTAGTTTTCAAGTGAGAAAGGGACAAACTGTAGCTTTAGTGGGAAGTTCAGGATCTGGGAAGTCAACTTGTCTTCAACTCCTGCAGCGGCTCTACGATCCCACCGAAGGATCAGTGTCGATCGACGGCGTGAACATCAAGGATCTCAACATCGGCTTCCTGCGCTCGCAGATTGGCGTCGTGGGCCAGGAGCCCGTGCTCTTCTCCGCCACCATCGCCGAGAACATCCGCTTCGGCTGCCCGGAAGCCACGCAGGAGCAGATCGAGGAGGCGGCCAGGATCGCCAACTGCCACAGCTTCGTGGAGAAGCTGCCGCAGGGCTACGAGACGATGCTGGGCGAGAACGGGGCGCAGCTGTCGGGCGGACAGAAGCAGAGGATCGCCATCGCGCGCGCCATGGTGAGGAATCCCAAGATCCTGCTCCTGGACGAGGCCACGTCCGCCCTGGACACCACATCGGAGAGAATCGTGCAGAAGGCGCTGGACAAAGCCTCCGAAGGACGAACAACTCTTGTCGTTTCCCACAGACTTTCCACCATTGAGAATGTGGATTATGTGATTGTCTTCAGGCAGGGCGAAATTGTGGAACAAGGAACTCAAAATGATCTCATGGAGAAGCAAGGAGTCTTCTACAAACTGAAGACGGCGACTCACGAAGCTACAGTTTCTGACGATGAAGCCACACAAGATGTGCAGGAAGATAAATTGTCCACTGAAATGATAAACATGCTTCTGAAGAAAGAAGAAGAATCGTTAGACATTGACGATCCCAAAATCTCCTCAATGACACTTGAGGAGAAGAGAAAGAGTACAATGAATCGCATCCTGAAAATGAGTTGGAGAGAGTGGAAATTGATGATTCTGGGCGCTTTGTGTTCAATTGTCGTGGGATCTTCGTTTCCCATCAGTGGAATATTGTATGCCAGATATTTTGAGGTTTTCGACACAACAGATGAAGACGTTATTTACGAAATCGCGATAAAGTACACAATCTTGACGATTGTTCTGGCAACTGTGGCCGGAATTGCTGCCACACTGCAAATTTTCGCCTTCGGAAAGGCTGGTGTTCGTCTCACAACTCTGCTGCGAAAGCAATCCTTCCACTCAATCATGAGACAAGAGATGTCTTGGTTCGATAAGCCAGAACACTCAGTTGGAGCCCTTTCGGCCAGACTTTCCACGGACTGTGCGAACGTTCAAGGCGCCACTGGAGCACGCTTGGCCGGGATTCTTCAAGCCACTTCAGCAGTTCTCATAGGATTCATCATTGGACTTGTGGCGTCGTGGCAGTTGGCTCTAATTGTGGCCTTAGTCATTCCACTTCTTCTCGCCGTGGCGATCTTTGAGTCACAATACGCGAAATCCAGCTTGGCCAAGGAGAAGAACTCAATGGAAAATGCCTCCAGGATTGCAGTGGAAGCAATTGCGAACATAAGAACTGTGGCAAGTTTGGGCATGGAAGAACTCGTGCTTGAGAGATTCCACAGTGAGATTGAAGTGGCGTCGCGAGAAGCAAGAAAGAGCGCTAGATTTCGCGGACTGGCTTACAGCTTGAATATGACAATGAACATCTTCGCTTACGGCGTGTCCTTTCTGGCTGGAGGATACCTCATTGCAAATGGCGTAGTCAATCATATTAATGTGATAATGTGAGTAGAAAAGCGATGTCTGGAGAGACTTTGAATTTTAAAGTTGTATTTAATTACAGGGTGATTGAATCGATGCTTTATGGCTCTTGGATGATGGGAATAATTCTCATCTACGCTCCAAATGTAAATATGGCACTTGTATCGGCTCAAAACATACTTAATCTTCTGGACAGGAAACCAAAAATTTATGTAACACCAAATCCACAAAAGACTATTGTAAGTCACTCAATCACTTAATCTTATCATCAAGATTGATTATCAAATTATTATTTTGTCTTTCGCAGGATATAAATGGAAAGATTACTTTCAAGGATATAAAGTTTAGATATCCAAATAGACCCAAGACTCAAGTCCTGAAAGGACTGAGTCTCCAGATTCCGCAGGGAAAGACAGTGGCGCTGGTCGGACCGTCGGGATGTGGAAAATCGACTTGCATTCAACTCTTGCTCCGCTTCTACGATCCAGAATCGGGCAGAGTGAAGCTGGACGGAACGCCGATCAGCGAGTTCTCCCTGGGACGCCTGCGATCCTACCTGGGCCTGGTTTCCCAGGAGCCTGTGCTCTTCGATCGCACCATCGCCGAGAACATCGCCTACGGAGACAACTCGCGCGAAGTGCCCATGGACGAGATCATCCAGGCGGCGAAAGAGGCTCAAATCCACTCGGAGTTCGTCTCCAAACTCCCTCTGGTGAGTAAATGTTGCTCGAATATGTAGGAAAGGAAGTGACTGACTTCATTCTTTAGGGTTATGAGACTCCTTTGGGATCGAGAGGGACGCAATTGTCTGGCGGACAGAAGCAGAGAATCGCCATCGCGCGAGCTCTGGTGCGCAAGCCGAAGATTCTGCTCCTGGACGAGGCGACTTCGGCTCTGGACGCGGAGAGCGAGAAGACGGTCCAGAGCGCCCTGGACAAGGCCAGCGAGAACCGAACCTGCATCGTGATCGCGCACAGATTGTCGACAATCCGGAACGCGGATCTTATTTACGTCTTCGATCGCGGACAAATCGCCGAGATGGGAAATCATCATGACCTCATGAACCTTGATGGACTTTATGCCAAATTGTATAATTCCTCTGCGTAATCGTAAAATGATCTGTGAATGAAATTTGACTGTGGACATCTGTTTACCTTTAGATTAAACTTGAATAAACTAAGTTAATAGTGTTTCTTGCTTGCTGCACTAAATCTCTTAATTACCAATTAAGAAGACATATTTGACTCCATTTTGCATAGGAAATCGTCAGTCTTGGTTGAGATTTCGTGCAAGGAACAGCTTAATAATGAAGAAATTTACAGTGACTCACCTGAAAGATCTTCTAAATCCCTTTTCCGGTATTGGAAAACTCTTCCAATTCGCTACAACGACTGAAAAGTGTGTAATTGTGGCAATGATTTGCTTAACACTTGTGTCTTCCTTTGGCGAACCGTGTTCCGTTGTAATATACTCCGAAATCACGGGTTTAATGGTGGATCGCTTGAATTCGAACAGCACAAAAACCAGTGTTTTCTTGCTGAATCTTTTCGGAGGCGGAAGACATTTAGAGAACGGAACTGAGGCTGATCGTAACTCAGCACTTAGAGAAGACGCTTGGGCGACTTTATTCACTAGTTCTCTCGTGGCTGGCCTTATGGTCGTCATCATGTCAATTGTGGTGTACACAATGAATCTCATAGCCCTCAAGCAGACGATGAGAATCCGCAGGATGTTCCTGAGATCCATGCTGAGTCAGGACATGACTTGGTTCGATGCCAACTACACTTTGGACTTGGCCAGCAAAATTACAAGCAATCTCGATCTTATTCGAGACGCCATTGGCGAAAAGATCGTCACAGTGTTTTTGCTCGTTTGTTCCTTTGTTATTCAAGTAATAATGTGCTTCATAATGGGATGGGAATTAACACTTGCCGTTGCCGGTATTTATACAGTGTCGATGATTGGTTTTTCGGTCTTCGCGGGAAAGCAGGAAATTCGCCACAGTGAGAAGGAACTCCAGAGCCATTCAGAGGCAGGATCAATTGCTGAAGAAGTGTTCAGTTCCATTCGCACTGTTGTGGCATTTGGTGGGGAGGAGAAAGAAACTCAAAGGTATGCAGAAAGCCTTGAAAATGCCGAAAAGTCGAGTCTTTGCAAGTATTTTTACATTGGACTGCAGAATTCGATCATGTGGTCTCTCGCTCTCGGTTGGTTTGGGCTCGCTTACTACTTAGGCTTTCATTTGATGGTGCGAGACTTTGCGCTGCCAGAAGAAGAGCGAACGTACAATGTTATCACCCTTGTGGCCATAGTCTTTGCCATGATAAATGGATCGCAATTTATTGCAATGACTGTGCCAAGCCTGGAAGCAATTATGTACGCAGCAGGAGCGCTGAAGAACATATGTAGATTGATTGACCAGAAGTCTACAATTGATCCATTCAACACCGATGGGAAGACAATCAATAATCTGGAAGGAAATGTTGAGTTTAGGAGCGTCATTTTCAACTACCCAGCAAGAAAAGACACATTGGTGATCAAAGAAGTTGATTTTACAGCCAACACTGGACAAACTGTCGCCTTGGTTGGCCAATCTGGATCTGGGAAGTCAACGTGTCTTCAACTCCTGCAGCGGCTCTACGATCCCACCGAAGGATCGGTCTCGATCGACGGCGTGAACATCAAGGATCTCAACATCGGCTTCCTGCGCTCGCAGATTGGCGTCGTGGGCCAGGAGCCCGTGCTCTTCTCCGCCACCATCGCCGAGAACATCCGCTTCGGCTGCCCGGAAGCCACGCAGGAGCAGATCGAGGAGGCGGCCAGGATCGCCAACTGCCACAGCTTCGTGGAGAAGCTGCCGCAGGGCTACGAGACGATGCTGGGCGAGAACGGGGCGCAGCTGTCGGGCGGACAGAAGCAGAGGATCGCCATCGCGCGCGCCATGGTGAGGAATCCCAAGATCCTGCTCCTGGACGAGGCCACGTCCGCCCTGGACACCACATCGGAGAGAATCGTGCAGAAGGCGCTGGACAAAGCCTCCGAAGGACGAACAACTCTCGTCGTTTCCCACAGACTTTCCACAATTCGAAACGCTGACAAAATCTTGGTTTTCGATCAGGGAAGAATTGTGGAACGAGGAAATCATGATGAATTGGTGGAAATTAGAGGAATCTACTATAATTTGTGGATGACAGGTCTAGCCTTTGGGAATCCCGATGAAGATCAAATCTCTGCAAATGATCACGATCAGAAAGATCAGAAACCAAAGGAATCAATTGAATTAACTCCAGAGAATACTTCACATCAGGATAACAGGGAACATTTATCCACTGAGGACGACAAAGAAAGAGAAAACATGAGTAAAATTATAAGGATAAGTCTGAGAGACTGGAAATTACTCGTTGCAGGATGCGTCTCTGCCTTTATTATTGGCTCCGCACTGCCTTTAAGTGGTATTATTTATGGCAAATACTTCGAAGCTTTCAAGACAGAAAATCCGGAAGAAATTTTAGCCGTTGCCCTAAAATACACCATTTACTGTCTTATAATAGCAATTATGGGTGGAATTGCTGCATATTTCCAAACTTACTGCTTCGGAAAAGCCGGTCTTCGGCTGACATCCTTGCTGAGAGTGTTGTGCTTCCAGAAGGCAATGAGGCAGGACATCAGCTGGTACGATGACTCCAACAACTCAGTTGGAGCTCTCTCGGCCAGACTTTCCACGGATTGCGCCAACGTTCAAGGCGCCACAGGAGTGAGAATTGGAGCAGTTATGCAAGTTATTTCTTCACTATTCGTGGCAATAATTATTGGGCTGATCTTCATGTGGAAAGTGGCATTAGTCAGTAGTGTTGCACTTCCTCTCCTATGCTTCCTGGCGGTGTTTGAGACTCGATATGCCAGATCAAGTGTCGCAAATGAGAGGAAAGCGTTGGAAAATGCTTCAAGAACTGCCGTGGAAGCGATTACAAACATTCGCACAGTTGCTGGCTTGGGTCTGGAGAAACACATTCTCAAGAGATTTGACAAAGAAATTGAGATTGCAGAAGTAAAAGCGAGGCAAAGCACAAGATTCAGAGGAGCGACTTATGGTTTGAATGTGTCAATAAATATCTTTTGCTATGGATTTTCATTTCTATACGCTGGAATATTGTCATCTCAAGAAGAAGTCGACTATGTCAATGTATTTTTGTAAGTACATAAAATAACCTTAATACTAGGTTAGCTGAACTATACGTTCTCGATCTTCCAGGGTTATCGAGACAATTACATTTGTGGGTTGGATGATGGGTGCCACTTTGAATACAGCGCCTAATTTGAGCCTGGCTGTCATGTCAGCTAAAAACATTTTTAAATTTCTTGAAACTCCAACAACTTCGCAACAAATACTGAAAAAGGATAATGAAAATCTAGCAGTGAGTTAACATATTATTCATCATTTTCTTCAAGTGACGACTAATTGAATAAATCATTCTAGCTTTCATCGAGTGCAATTTCGTATGACAACGTAGAATTTCGTTACCCAACTCGGCCTGAAACTCAAGTCCTGAAAGGACTGAGTCTCCAGATTCCGCAGGGAAAGACAGTGGCTCTGGTCGGGCCGTCGGGATGCGGAAAGTCGACTTGCATTCAACTCTTGCTCCGCTTCTACGATCCAGAATCGGGCAGAGTGAAGCTGGACGGAACGCCGATCAGCGAGTTCTCCCTGGGACGCCTGCGATCCTACCTGGGCCTGGTTTCCCAGGAGCCTGTGCTCTTCGATCGCACCATCGCCGAGAACATCGCCTACGGAGACAACTCGCGCGAAGTGCCCATGGACGAGATCATCCAGGCGGCGAAAGAGGCTCAAATCCACTCGGAGTTCGTCTCCAAACTCCCTCTGGTGAGTAAATGTTGCTCGAATATGTAGGAAAGGAAGTGACTGACTTCATTCTTTAGGGTTATGAGACTCCTTTGGGATCGAGAGGGACGCAATTGTCTGGCGGACAGAAGCAGAGAATCGCCATCGCGCGAGCTCTGGTGCGCAAGCCGAAGATTCTGCTCCTGGACGAGGCGACTTCGGCTCTGGACGCGGAGAGCGAGAAGACGGTCCAGAGCGCCCTGGACAAGGCCAGCGAGAACCGAACCTGCATCGTGATCGCGCACAGATTGTCGACAATCCGGAACGCGGATCTCATTTACGTCTTCGATCGCGGACAAATCGCCGAGATGGGAAATCATCATGACCTCATGAACCTTGATGGACTTTATGCGAAATTATATAAATCCTCATATTAAAAATTGCGAAGGTCAGTCAAACTTTTTCCCCAAATTTATTAGCCATTAAAGTAGTGAAATGTCTGAATTATGGTTTCTTTTTATGTGTATTTTCCTTTAAACTGTTATTTTGCAAATTGTTGGTTATGTTGGGCTGTAAAATCAATGTTTTAGGAAAAAAGAACACATGTAGAAATGACGATGAACTCCCTACAATTTCTTTCGTTTCTAACTTTGTTTTGTTAGTCATTGACCAGGTGTTTTGTTACTGATTGAATGTAAAATTGTATGTTTTCATAGCAACAAGATCCCATTATAATCCTATCTTTTAACTACAGCTGCTATTTTTGAGAAAATTCTGCTCAATTAAAGGATTATCACCGCATATTAAACCGTTTATAAGACATATTAACTATGTGCTATATAAGGGAGAATTTCAGCGATGAACCTCAGTTCGCCAGAGGACTCAGTTTGATCGTGATTAAGAGCAATGAAGAAACCAGTGAAAAGTGGAGTTGTAAAGTCGCTGAATCTACTGAATTTGTTCAGTGATTTTGCCAATTTAGTGAGTACTTAACAGTCTTCTCGTGAGCATTTTCTGATTCTGTGCTTGGTTTCTAGTTTCGATTCGCAACACCAACGGAAAAGTGCATAATTGTGATTGTCTTGACTCTAATCTTTGGCGTCTCTGTGGGAATTCCTCTGTCAATCCTGGATTATGCCGAAGGCACTGGAATGATAGTGGATCGAATGAACTCCAACACGACAAGGACGAAGGTTTTCCTGATATCTTTCTTGGGCGGTGGACGATATATAGAGAATGCGAGTTATTCTGAGAGAGTTTCGGCGCTAAGTGAAGATATTTCCGCGAGTTTTTACATCAGTTGCATGATCGTCATCGTGATGATTCCTGTAATATCAATTGGTGTGTACGTGATGAATTTCATTGCTCTCAGGCAAACCATGAGAATTCGAAGGGTCTTTTTGAGATCAATTCTCAGTCAGGACATGTCTTGGTTCGATTCCAAGAAGAATTTGGACATCAGCACCAAAATCACCACGAATCTCAACTTGATTAAAGACGCAATTGGCGAGAAATTAGTCACAGCCGTCTTGCTAGTTTCAGCTTTCGTATTTGGAGTGATAATTTCAATGGCGCTTGGTTGGGAATTAACACTTATAATGGGAGGTTCTTTTGCCGTGATCAACTTCACATTCTCAGCGTTTGTGGGCAAAACCGCAAGTCATCTCACTGAGAAGGAGATCGAGAGCTACTCAGAGGCTGGATCGATAGTTGAGGAAGTTTTCAATTCCATTCGCACAGTTGTGGCTTTTGGCGGGGAAGACAAAGAATCGGAAAGATACGCAAAGAGTCTGAAGAAAGCTGAAAAATCTGGTGTGAAGAAGAGTTTCTTCTCCGGACTCCAAAGCGCCATTATCTGGTTCTTCTCATTCATGGGCTGGGCGTATGGAATGTGCATTGGCATCCACTTTATGGTGCAAGAATTCGACTTGCCGTTGGACATGAAAGTTTACAATACTATCACGATTCTGAGTATTGTGATGTGTATTTCTCACAATTCGCTGCTTTTGACCTTCATTGTCCCAAGCTTAGATGCAATTGCAACCGCCAAAGGAGCTTGCAAAGCCATATACAAGCTGATTGACGAAAAGCCTGGGATAAATCCTCTGAGCAGAGTTGGAATGATAGTGCCTAACTTGGGTCAGAGTGTTAAATTTGAGGACATAAAGTTTTCGTATCCGTCGAGAAAGTTTACCCCGGTTTTGAAAGGAGTGGATTTTGAAGTGAAAACTGGACAAACTGTCGCCTTGGTTGGCCAATCTGGATCTGGGAAATCAACGTGTCTTCAACTCCTGCAGAGACTGTACGATCCCACCGAAGGATCAGTGTCGATCGACGGCGTGAACATCAAGGATCTCAACATCGGCTTCCTGCGCTCGCAGATTGGTGTCGTGGGCCAGGAGCCCGTGCTCTTCTCCGCCACCATCGCCGAGAACATCCGCTTCGGCTGCCCGGAAGCCACGCAGGAGCAGATCGAGGAGGCGGCCAGGATCGCCAACTGCCACAGCTTCGTGGAGAAGCTGCCGCAGGGCTACGAGACGATGCTGGGCGAGAACGGGGCGCAGCTGTCGGGCGGACAGAAGCAGAGGATCGCCATCGCGCGCGCCATGGTGAGGAATCCCAAGATCCTGCTCCTGGACGAGGCCACGTCCGCCCTGGACACCACGTCGGAGAGAATCGTGCAGAAGGCGCTGGACAAAGCCTCCGAAGGACGAACAACTCTCGTCGTTTCTCACAGACTTTCCACAATACGAAACGCTGACAAAATCTTGGTTTTCGATCAGGGAAGAATTGTGGAACGAGGAAATCATGATGAATTGGTGGAAATTAGAGGAATCTACTACAAACTATGGATTGCGAGTCAAGACACGGAGTTTACGAAGACTGATGATGATAAATCAAAGGAAGAAACCGTCTTCGTAAACGACACTCTGTTTAGTGAAGAAGATTTCCAATCTTCCGGACCTCGGCGGCTGTCTTTGTACTCCTTGTATCTTAACAGCACAAACAACACAATGCATCGCATCCTTAAGCTATCTTTGCGCGAATGGAAGCTTATGCTTCTGGGAATCCTTGGCTCTCTTATCATGGGCATAACTTTCCCTGTCAGTTCTGTTTTCTACGCCGGAATGCTGGAGGCTTTTGAATTGCAGAACACAGAAGAAATCTACAGCGTTGTCTTAAGAAACACAATTCTGTTTCTGGTCATATCAATAGTAATTGGATTGGCGGCACTCCTGCAAACCTTTGCATTTGGAAAGGTTGGAGCTCGCATTGTTTCGCTGCTGAGAAATCAGTCATTTAGCGCAGCAATGCGACAGGAAATTGCTTGGTTTGATAATCCCAAGAACTCCGTTGGAGCTTTCTCAGCCAGACTCTCGAATGATTATGCTGACATTCAGGGCGCAACTGGAAGTCATTTGGCCGGAATTTTGCAGGCAGCTTTCTCAGCTATCGTTGGACTCTGCATAGGATTGTACGTCTATTGGAAACTAGCCATAATCGTGGCGTTAAGTCTTCCTCTGCATCTTTTGGTGGCCATTTTCGACTCCAAGTACAGCAAGTCTAGCATTGCAAACGAGAGAAAAGCAATGGAAAATGCTTCTAAGATTGCAGTGGAAGCGATCAGCAATGTTCGAACAGTGGCGAGTTTGGGTCAGGAAGCGAATATCCTGGAGAAATTCAACCGTGAAATTGAAGTGGCGGAAAAGGAAGCGAAAAAGAGCACGAGATTTCGAGGATTTGCATTCAGTTTGAACATTTGCCTGAATATGTTCACATACGCAGCATCTTTTATGTACGCTTATCGATTGATAACGAATGGAGAAGTCAGCTTTGTGGATGCTATGATGTGAGTATTGCTCAATCCCGAAGGGAGAAATTACAATCTAATTAATTTGATGTGCTTTTAGGGTGATTGAAGCTATTCTCTATGGCGCTTGGATGACCGGAATTGTGTTGAATAATACACCAAATGTTGGTCTTGCAATATCATCGGCAGAGAGAATTTTCAAATTACTAGATAGACAGCCGAAAATTCAGGATCCTCTTATTCCTGAGGAGAAATCTGTACGAAATTGCGAGTGTTGTTTGAAATTAACATTTAAGAATATTCCTACCTTACTTCCAGATCATCTTCGCAGAGGCTTCTTTAGATAATGCCACATTCCGTTACCCAACTCGGCCTGAAACTCAAGTCCTGAAAGGACTGAGTCTCCAGATTCCGCAGGGAAAGACAGTGGCGCTGGTCGGACCGTCGGGATGCGGAAAGTCGACTTGCATTCAACTCTTGCTCCGCTTCTACGATCCAGAATCGGGCAGAGTGAAGCTGGACGGAACGCCGATCAGCGAGTTCTCCCTGGGACGCCTGCGATCCTACCTGGGCCTGGTTTCCCAGGAGCCTGTGCTCTTCGATCGCACCATCGCCGAGAACATCGCCTACGGAGACAACTCGCGCGAAGTGCCGATGGACGAGATCATCCAGGCTGCGAAGGAGGCTAAGATTCATTCAGAATTCATAACTAAACTTCCTTTGGTGAGTCTTTAAGGCCATTTGACACTGAAAATGTGTTCTTATCACTTTCCTTTCAGGGTTATTTCACCACAATGGGTAAGAAAGGCAGCAAAATGTCTGGCGGACAGAAGCAGAGGATCGCCATCGCGCGAGCTCTGGTGCGCAAGCCGAAGATTCTGCTCCTGGACGAGGCGACTTCGGCTCTGGACGCGGAGAGCGAGAAGACAGTCCAGAGCGCCCTGGACAAGGCCAGCGAGAACCGAACCTGCATCGTGATCGCGCACAGATTGTCGACCATCCGGAACGCGGATCTCATTTACGTCCTCGATCGTGGACAAATCGCCGAGATGGGAAATCATCATGACCTCATGGATCTTAATGGGCTTTACGCAAAATTGTACCAACAGAGTCTCTTTTCTTAGATAAATCTTTCATTGTTCATAGAATTCTCAAGGATTTCAAGGCATCATAGGCGACTATCTGTAATTGCACCTGGATTGCTGAGGGCATTTTTGCGCTCTTCGATAGCATTCATTAGCTTCCTGAAGGGTCCCAGTGGCAATTGGAGCTTCTCAATGTCCACTTCCTTGAGGATCATCAAGATGTCTAAAGTTATGCGTTCTTTCTCAAAGATTGGATAGTATTCCTCCAGGCCGAACGCCAAGAGGAATCGCTCAAGAGGCGTTTGTCCGTCTTCCTGATCGTCCGTGTCACTCGAACTGGCCACGTCTGTGTCGCTGTCGGACAGGACAAATTGATTCCTCGGCTTTATCTTCTGCGTCTTCCTCTTGTGCGAGTCATTGGAGTCAATTGACGAGACATCAGGAGCAATTTGGGACAGAGTTGCGGTCACTGATCGTCTGGATGGGGAAAGATAACATGTACAAGTGGTTATGGTGGGAGATTTCGCTGCATACCTGAATGCCAGGGTGCCTAGAGAGGGTCTGTTGAAGAGTCCGGAGGGTCTCTGCATTGTCACCTCTTCGCTGAGATCATCCCCATTCGCCACGGCGGCCAGAAAGTCCGGCTGGCTGACGCTTCTCGACAGATTGCCGTAGGAATTCAGCGGGGATTCTCCATCGTCTTCCTCATTGCTGATCGCCCCCACTTCGAACACATCCCTGATCCTGCCACGCTCGCCCTTGGCCCCATTCGCGGACGCATGCGTGCCCACGTAGAGCACCTCTGAGCCCCGCCGCGTGCCCTGCAGCGAGCTCACTGTCAGCTTCCCCGAGGAGTCCATCTTGCGCACGCGGAAGTCATCGACGACCTCCTTGGGCCCGTGGCGCATCCACTGGGGAATGTGTCGCTGCACACCACGCGATCGCGAGAACGTCCCGCGCACGTGGGAACTGTAGTTGGCCTTATTGTTCTGCGGACTCGCTTCGGTGGCTGGTGCATCGCGCTTGCTTCCGCCCAGCGGAAGTTTCCGCATCGCTCTCAGAACTGTGGACGTGCGATGGGGCATTGTGTGGACATCGTCATCGTTCTCTTGATTCATGCGCTGCTGATACTTGGTGTACTTGGCAATGACCTTCACGCAGTCCCTCTCGGCGGTTTCTTGGAGCGCCTTGGCCTTCTTCCTGTCCGTCAGCTCCAGATTGGCAATTGCAGTGTCCAGGTAGATCAGAATGTCTTCGCGATTGTTGAGACACGCCAAATGCTGAGAAAAAAAAATTATTTCATACAATTTCTCATGGATTTTTCGCCCACTTCTCTCTTACCTTTGCATTGTGTCTCTCGATGTCTTTTGCATAGAGATTGACGCCAAATTTGACCAGGAAGTCCACGCACTGCATGTGACCCTTGGCAGCTGCAATGTGAAGAGCTGTGTTCCCATAGTAATCCGTCTTATCTGGATTTCCCCTGGAAAGACAGACGAAAACAAGAACATATCAATTAGGATTAGACAATGATTTTAATTGGAGATGAATAAATAAAACACCAAGGGGCAGATATTATGGTCGGAAGTGGTGTACAGCTTTTGTGGAAGTATTGGAAATAGAAAATGTTAGAATATTTGCATTGCAAAAGCTTCTATTTCAACAAATTGAAGCATTTCGTAATCATTTTGCTTAAAAAGTCGATTTTATTGCATTTGTAGGTTATGTGATTGATTAAATAACTCTTAAAATCTCTAAATTTTTTATTTAACCTGCAAATATTTCTCTTTTTCTTGGCACAGTTGAGCAATTTTGATCGAAAAATCTTCATATTGATTAAGAAAAAGCTTAAAAGTCAATCATAACCTCAAAAAATCTGATTCCAGTTTAGAAGAATGATTCTTTGTTAGGTTATTTTCACGGTTTTTTCTTGAAAGTGGCAAATTTAACCTCATTATCATTATATATTTACTCATTTCTAGGTTTAAAAGTATTTAAATTAGCCCAAAAATGATATTTTAAGCCGAATTCATAACCTCACAATTTGATCAGAAGTTTTCAAAGCATTAAAATACCTATGAAAATGAAATCATCAACTTTCCACTGAAAAATTTAACACCTCTTAATTGCACTGAGAGAAAAGGCGGATGGAATTGTAAAGGTATTGCGTAAAGTGGCAAATTGATAAGGCAATATTGGCAATGTGTGACTCGATATTGCTGGTATGAGCTCAATTTGAGCTTATCAGGTCGTACAATTGTTTTGACCATCAATTGCGCGATTAGATAAGACACAGAGTGTATTGAGGAGAACCAACCCTCGGCCAACGAGGAGGCGAAGAGCGTCTAAGCGGCCCACGAAGGCTGCGCAATGGACAGGAGTCATTCCGGTGGCGTCTCTCGTGTTGAGTTCTTTGGCTGTTCCTTCCTTCAGGACGTCCAGCAGACCATCTCTGGCAGCTCTGCGAAAGAGATGAATAGACAAACTAATTAGGGCTTTTCTCCAACGGATTTTTCTCAGAGATTTTATTTCTTGTGCGATGAACTTATTGCGTCTGTGATAAATTAGGGAGAAAAACTGTAGCATCATAAAGTAGTATTAATAAAACAATCATGTGAGCCATAAAATCAACGAGCAAAGATAAACTTTTCCATGCGTCTTAATGAAACGTTATGGACACTTATAGAGATGCTGAGTGATGATACTTTCAGAAAAATGCTGCCTTTAAATACCACTCATGATGACGCTTTCAGTCAATTTCACGAGACAATTGGAGGCATTTTCGCTTTTCTTGGGCGCTTCTTTTGCGTGATTGTCAATTTATGAGATCGCGCTCATCAGCTGTGCTTTCGTTTCCACCTTCTTCACTTTCCTTCCGATGGTGTCACTGCTTGGCAAGAGTCACGCAGTCGAATCACACCATTGTGGCATTTTTCAGAGTGGATTTTGCCGCAACAGCGGAAGACGCTGCCTAACAATCTGCTGATGATAATAAAAGTGAGGCGGAAAATGTGGATGTATTCGATGGGTGGAATTTGGAAAAAAAGAAAGTGTTATTTAGCTTCTCTCCTCAGCTCTACTTTGTGTCACTGCGAGTGGGTTTTTCTCTGATAAAAGCCCCCATCAAGTGGCTTTCTTATCGCACTTCGTCATTCGTCGCGAAACACGGAAGTATCAGGGAAAGATATTTCAGCACTTTTCGCGTACAATTCAGTTTGACAGGACAAAGAAGGGTCGTTTGAACTGAATCCCGCCCTTGGAAAAACACAGTAAATAAACAGAGGGTTGCAATGCAGAGGGATAAACCCCCCTCAACATAAGGCACTTTGCTCAACCCCTCCGATTGAGAATCACGTTCAAAATCCACTTGCTCCCTGGGTTTGCGTCATTTATGTTGGCCCAAGGCAAAATGAGTCGAAAAATTAATTGTGCCTTTAGAATTCATTGAAATTCAATTATAGTTTTACGCAAAAATGCTGAGAGACATTAATTTTTGTGTCCAAAGTAACCCTGAAAATGTCGCGTGCGAAATATATTAAGTTCTTTGTACATTTTATAACATTTCTTCAGCATATTTTACTCTTCAGGATGGCATATTTTTAGCTTCTTAAATGATTTTTTCATCAGAAGTTTAGTTAAGAACTCTTTATTGTTCTTGTATGCAATTCTAATGCCTTAATTCAAGGTTTTCCAAGACTTAATGAAGTTATTACACTACATTTACTAACGCTAGACTAAGCTCAAAGATCTGAGCACATATTCTTTAAGTCATTTTTCTACTTAATTGTAAGGGTAAAATGGTTCAAATCCAAAGGCCATGACTTAATAAGTAATAACAAGACCGAATTGCTTTAAAAGAGCACAAAACTGCTTTAGCTGCTCAAAAATTGACAGTTTTCTTGCCCCAACTGACACTAAATCAGCAATTTTCGCTGTTCTTGTCTTCTGCACGCAGTGCTAATCTGAGCAAATTGAGCCACAACCTAATCATAGTGGTGTTTGACACTAAGAAAGGGTTGATTGAACTTACAAGCTCTTCTCATACAATTTAGGACGATAAACTCTTAAATGAATTTTAATGGTTTTAATGGGTTTCACGCATCTCTTCCAATGTGTTCTTTTTTTGTTATCGTCAAAATCATTTTATTCGTGCCATTTTTCAGCGAATTCCGACAATTTTTCTGTACAGTCACTTATTGTTGTGTCTTTTTTCTCTCTCTCTCGCTTTTTTCAAGCCAAATAAATCCTCTTTTCTATTCACACGTGTTTTATTTGTTTGGTGTGGTTTTTTTTTCTGTATCAATACATGGCGAGAACCGACTGAATTCCATACAATAATTTGCTGTGGAGTGTAATTTCTATACTCTTGTGCCGGAAATAATGAGTGGCAATTAAAGGTACGGCGTGAGTGAGCGAGAGATGAAATTGTGGACTCACTTGTGAAAACGATCCGACGACATGATTGCCTATTCCATCGGCTGCGCAGCTCTCGAGTTATCCGAAAAATGTCCGCCAATTAATTCCACTGCACTCGATCACTTGATCGGTTGATCATGCACGATCTTCGGCCTGCAAAGATGCTCTCAGATTGTCCAACTCTCTGGCCTCTTCGTCACACATTCACCTTTCCACACGCCGCGGAGATGCCATTAGAGTGATCGTGGCTTCACATCCGACCAAGAAACAAGTCACACAAAAAAAAGGCACAGCGTGAGTTTTCTCTCTCGCCCAACACTGTGCCAGCGAATTAAACTACATTTGCAACACAATAAACAATTAAGAGATAGTATTTAGCGCGAAAAGAAAAGGAACGCGCGCGAGATCGTGTGTGAGAATTTTCGGTGGAAAAATATATGGAAAAATTCACTGTGAAAAGACAGCAAAGGCAACTCCAAGAAATCTTGCGGTGCGACCTTTATCAGCGCACGATCCTCTCAACTCTTTCTCGGAATTCCAGACAATTCAAAGGGAATTTGCACAACAGCGCGAAGACAAAGCGCGATCGCGACAATTGATCAGTTTGGCGATTTGTTCCGTGAAATTTGGCGGTCTCCAGCGTGGGCGTGAAGGATGAATGGGGCGAATGTGGGGCACCTGTGGCCTACCTGGCGCAACTCTCCACTGAGGACCGTCCTGTGCCACCTCGCGCGTACCGTTACTCGAGGAAGACTGACGAGGTAGACGATCGCGGTGAACTGAAAACCGGTGTGAGTGCGCTCGCGAAGAAGTCGAGCGAAAGGGGCCACTCTTTCCAGCCGCGATGGCCAGTGGACGTGAGTTCTCCCGCCAGTGCAAGGGGCAGATAATATGCTCCTAATCTGTACACCACTTCCTAACACTTCTATTTTTTAGACTGTTTCGACAAAAATTCGCAAATTATACTAAATAACTTAAGGTTACATGCGATATTTCTGTAAAAATCCACCTAAAATCGCTTATATCAACGACTTTTCCGATCATAACCTCAAAAATATCACTGAGAAAGCGTTCTAGATGATAAAATCGTCTTTTCTATAGTCAAAATCGTGCAGAAAGTAGTATTCTAAGTTAACATTTTTCTCGTTCACAATACTCTTTTTGAGGTTATGTACGACTTCGATACAATTTGCAATATTTGTTGGCATCAAAGGTTCTGAATACCTATGATTATCACATGAAAATGCTTCATTTCTGTCAATTATTAGGAATCTTGGCGACTTTAGCATAAGAATTGATGTGTTAGAATGCGAAATATTCGTTACATAACCTAGAAAATAATTTTTTATCATATAATTCAAAACAAATCCAAAGAATCGTAATGATTATTCAGTAAAGAAGCATTCAAGTATTTCTGCTGAGCTGTACACCACTTTTGACTGTATTATCTCCCCCTTGTGCCAGTAAAATCCCACTCAAATTCCCTCCGATCGAGACAGAGAGTGAAGATTACCAGCCAAAGAGATCAACTAACTTCTTAGGGCTCTTCCAGCGGGCTTTCTGTTCTCCGCAGACCACGATGAGTGGCCCTTTTTGGGTTTCACACTCACACTCCGCCGGCTTTTCCGATGTCGCGCGAGTGTTTGGCTTGGAAATCGCTCAGGTGGGCTTTTGTGTTGGGCGCGTTCGGCTGCCTGGCAGCGCGTTTCCCCCTTCTTGCGCACTCACACTCCTCCGGATTGTCTCTCGCGGCTCGTTGCCTGGCTTCTCAGGTGTGCGCACCGGAGGGGCTCCGGAGGGCGGGACGCGAGCTCTATTAGTCAACTAAAGCTTGTCGCCTCTGATCACCTCAGCGGATACCGAGTATAATTGAAACAATTCCTCCCATTATCGATCTCAATGGAGTGTGTTGAGGAGGGCGAAAGACATGATATTGGCGGATGATAAGATAGACCAAAATGGGCAGTAATACATCAATTTTTCCCGCATTCCTCTCTCTGGACTTTGTGATGGAACTTAGGAGATAATTTAGAGGAAGTTTAGGGAATCAATTGTGAGAATTTCCGGTTTTTTGGGGTGCAAAAGAGCAAATTTTACAACAAAATTGCTGCATTCGAATGGTGAAGTGCAAAAGGCGGGAAGAATATTGCGCCTGAATGTGTGTGAAATTTTTATAGTAGATTGGAATATTTCCGCTAGTGGCGCTAGTGTTGGTTGTTTGTCGATTTTTCACCGATTCCTCGACACTTCTTCCCAGCTGTCCATGCCTCATCAATTGCTATTTTCCCCACAAACACCCCAAATCAAGGGTGTTTTCTGTCTATAAATCACTCTGCCATGTCTCACATTGATAAGCTATGGATTATTCAGCTGAAAATGAGACAAAAAGGCAGGAAAAGCGAGTCATTTGCCAAAATCTCCCATCGACGATTCCTCACGCACGCTTGACAGAGTGCATTGTGAGCGAGGGCGAGCAGTCAGTCGGGTTGTGTCATGTCATCTTTCGCGAGACTTGCAATCTGTTTGCGTTATCGGGTGTTTTTCTCAGTCAAAATTGCAGTTTTAAGTGCGTGCACGGACAGAGAGTGAGCTATTCCAGATGCAGAATCCTTAGCTGTGTTCTCCTCTCTCAAGTCCCACCCGTTTTACTGTCTCAGGTAGAATGGTTTTTCCTAGAGGGTTTCCTATTGTGAAATGGCAGGTCAATAACACCAGAAACGTGGGGAAAACATGAGTGCGTGTTTCCCAAGAGTTTCACTGGCGAAGTCAATGCAAAAGAGCCAGAAAAACACGAAGATTTAAGGAGTTTTGTGCGCAAAGGAAAATAATTGATCGTGTTATTCAAATTAAAAAGCAGATTTACAGTGTTATTTATTAAATTTATTGAATAATTTTGAAAGAATTGACACTCAACAATAATAAACTGGTTATTTTTACAAGTTTTTCATCCTTTCAAGTTTGAAATTGCAAAAATTGCCGTCCAAAAATCACTCGCAAGGGAAATTTTCCACGAAAGAAGCCCAAAAAGATTGTTGCTTTCTTGGCTGTTTTGTTTGTGCATTTTTTTGTGAAACATGCACAGAAATATATTTCATGTGCTGCATTCGTTTTTCCCACTGGGAAACCCTCGTGAAGAATCCCAAGAAGAACTCGCTGGCATTTCAGGGATCATTAATTTTAATACATTTCTCACACCTTTTGGGCGGACTTTACTAACAACGCTTTGGCTTTGTTTTCTGCCCACTTTCAGATCACTGAAATCAATCAGTGTGACCAGCAAAAGGAACATCTCATCGTGCCAATAAACAACAAAATCTCAACAAACCTGAGAGGAGAAGAAAAGACGGAAGAAGAAAGAAGCCAGAGAAAGTTTTGCAAGGAGAATAAATTTTGCGAAAGGAAATCTTGTGCCAAAAATCACACTCAATTTTAGGACTTTAGGGGAAGAATTGAATTTGGGCGGGCGAACGCGATGCAAAATCCTATCAATTAGATGATAAGCACGAACAGTCAAGTAGATAGATAAATTTTCTCGTGGGACGATTGGGGGGAAGTTCGCAGCATCCGCGATAAGTATGATCATTGGAGGGCGCGAGGAGAGATCAAATACTGAGTGAAATGGGGAATTGCTGGACATGTTTCAAGACATCCACGGAAAACTCTGCCGGTGATTGTGCCACAAACGCTCCTGAGAGAACTGCAAATGACAATCGAGACGCATCTGAGCGCGGAGGTGAGTTTCCTGGTAGTTTCTGAGAGAGATTCTCGATGCATTTGCTGATAAATCTTCCCGCAGAAACCGATGAGCTGTTGACCAGCAACAGTCCTGTTCACATGACAAGCTTGCATCTGAGCTCAGGATTTCTCACACGGCCTGTCGCCCTTCTGAACGGGAACGCCAACACGATGGGAGACATCATTGGGACAAGTGAGTGAATCACGCCAGATAACGAGCATTAGTCACTGACTTCTCTTGTCTTGTTTGCAGTTAAAGACTCCCAGCAAGTATCGGACCACACGCTGCTCACTCTTTATCAGCGCTACAAAGATCCCCAGGAGGACGCGATCCTGTCCGAGGGCATCGAGCGCCTCTGCAGCGACTTGCGCTACAAACCAGACGACTTTGCAATCTTGGTGCTGGCCTGGCGCCTGGACGCGTCACAGATGTGTCGCTTCACGCGCCAGGAGTTCGTCCAGGGACTGCGGAATCTCAATGCGGACTCCGTGGACAGCGTGCGCCTTCGCCTCGAGCAGGCGGTGGAGAAGCTCAAGGAGGACTCTGAGCTCTTCAAGCAATTGTACAGATTCACATTTGGGTGAGTGGCAAAGTCCAAAAACCACTCTAAATAGTGGAAAACACGCAAGAAGCTGGGAAGATGAGTTTCCGAGGTCCAAAATACTGGGATTCGCTATAAATATTAGCTGTAATTCAAATCACAGCTAAATTAAAGGCCAATATGCTTTGGAAAAAAGCCTCCCGCGAACTGAATTCTGCTCAAATCGGGCAATTGACTTCAATTATAAAATCACTGATAAATGGAGATGATTATTTAATCACTTTTTAACTATTTTCTAATGGTATTTTAAAATTAATTTCTCATTCAAATGTTTTATCTCTTTATGAGAAGTTGTGTTTGTGTTTCTTGGAATAGAATTCACGTTGTAAACTTTAATTCTTATCGTAGAAAGATTAACAATTTTTTAAAGTAAAACATCACAATGATAACGCACGTGGAAAAGGGATTTTCTTGCCATTGGCATAAGATAATTTAAACCATTTTTGACTGGATTTTAATCACTTGAAACGTCTGAGACATGAATGGTTTACTCCGACTGGCTAATGGTCTCGAAGTTCTCGGAATTTTGAGGCCTCTTTCTATGTATTTAAATTATTTTTGTAACTTGTGTTTCAATTGAATAGTTTGCGGACATTTCGTAGGATATTTGGCTGGTATATTTACCCATTTATCTTCTTTAACGCTTAAGAACTCACGTAAAATACGCATTTTTTGCTTTTTAGTGTTGTGAGCATTTTTGCCAGAAATATGGATGAATCTATCGAATTTACGCGCCAGCTCAATGCAATCTCTCACAAGAAACTCCTAGAGAAGATATTTCTCAAGGATTGACGAAATCTCTCACATGAGAGATGCTTTTGCCGTCAAGAATAGAACAAAAAACTCAGTTTCTCCACCTGAATTCTTCTCTAACTCACTCTTGGCTCGTTTCTTTGCAGGTTTGGACTCGAGCCGGGACATCGAACACTCTCTCTAGACATGGCAATCATCCTGTGGCGCCTGGTCTTCACCGTGCACACGCCGAAGCTGCTCGATCGGTGGCTTTACTTCCTGGCGCAGCACGCGCAGATCCGCGGCGTGCCGAAGGACACGTGGAATATGTTTCTCAACTTTGCCGAGACTTGTGATATCACGTCGTACAATGACGAGGAAGCGTGGCCGAGCCTCTTTGACGACTTTGTGGAGTACGAGAACGATCGAGCGAATCAAAATGTGCCCGAGAAGCCGGACGAGGACGACACGCGGCCGCCGACGCTCCGCACGGACGGCAGTTTATAGTATTGCGACAGGAGCAGGCTTGGGATGGCGGAACAGGGGATCGGGGGGTGAGGTATTGTAGTGTTTAGGCGGGAAATTGGGGGGAGGAAATGGGATTATTTTTCTCAAAAAAAAACATACAGAATTGATGAGAGCATGCAATGTTTGCTGTCATTTATCGTGTGGACAGCAGAGATGGAATTATTTTAATATATCTTCCAGCACGCATTGAGGGAGAGAGAATCGATGGAATATCAGTAGAATTTTAGCTTAATTTATAAATTAATGTCACTATTCATATTTTATTTGTTTATTTATGCCTGTTTTTTTACCGATATAAATTTACTTAAAAGCATGTGCATTCAAGTGTAAAAGTCTCTTGCGCATTTTTCAGTCTTCAACACACACAAAAACTTCTTTTCGTGTCCATGAATTTGGGGGTGGGAGGGATTGGGAGGAAAATGCAATTAATCAGAGAGTTCGGAAAATAATTTTTAGAGGTTTTCTCAATGCAATTTGGCGCCAGAAATCTCAGGAAGATCTATGGAAAATTCGTACTTCTGAGATGCACTGCCATAGTTTTTTTTTGTCTTTTATATATTGCAAATCATTTGTAATTTCCTTTACTCAATTAATCCATATCCATAGTGTATATTTTGAATGTGAGAAAATGATGAAAAAATGCGTACAAATAAAGAGGAAACATTTTTAAAAATATGATCGTGGATTTGTTTTGTGTTTCGCTCGAGTATAACTTGTCAGTGTTGTGATTCGCCCCGCCATCAGAGGCGCTGGTGTGCAGTATAACAGTGTCTGTCATTCGTGATCTTTCATAGCATTGGTTTTTGCGCTGTTTTGTCCATATTTTCCACGCTAGCAGGTGAAAAAGTGGTGAAAAACGAAGAAAAGACCCCCAGCGAGTGGACGCAAGTGAAGTTCTTGGGCAGACAAGTGATTAAGTGGTGGAAATCGCAAGAAAAATATGGTGTAACGGGAGTGTGAATTCCATTGCATAGACCCAAGAATCAGCTGATCCCGCTGAGGTTCTGGAAGTTCTGCCTCAATGACGTGGTAAAAGTTCCCAGACAATCTCCCTCTGGAGCAGCCTGAGGTGCAGCAGCACTGCTGAATTGGCTGGCGAGTCCGCAAGCAGAACATTATGTAAGTTTGTGCAGTGCTGGAGAAGAAACGACTGCCCTTCTGGGCTTGTTTCTCCTCCTGGTCAGGTCTCTCGCGGTCAGTGCCGCGTGACTGGGGGGAATTTGTGGCCAGAGACGTGTTCCGTGGCAGTGCTTTGGTCGTCCATGAGACGAATTCCAGGCGTGTGACCTTCGAGGCACACCATAAAGTCGCATCATTGAGGAAAATCCACCTCCCACCACCCACAATTCCACAGAGCGACTCTATTTATAGTCTCCGCCACCCCAACTCCCCATCCGAGCCTCCCCGGGACGGATGAGCAGGGGAAGGTCAGGGGCGGAAAATCATCGGGAAGTCGACAATTGGACATTACGCAGAATTGGAGGCTTTTCAATGGCAAAAATGCACGTCAGAATCACTGATGATGTTTAAGCTGAGATTTCTGAGTGAAATTACACTGCAATTTAATGCTATTTACTCTGTGTCATTGCGAAATTCCATCTTGAGCACTTTGTCATGGGGTTTTATTGTGCGATTCCTGCTGAAATTGTACTCAAATCTACCCTAGATTTCTCCTCTAAAAAGGCGTCAGATAAGTTTGCAAAGATAGTGGTGAAAAAAAAGTCAATTTATTGCAACAATCAGAGTGTCTGCATAAAGATATCTAATATTTATGCTCTATTAGACTTGATTAAAGTTTCATTTGTGTTACCAACGCTGTGCTGAACAAGTCCCAACAACATCTGTTTCTCTCTCACCAACAATGGCAAAGTGACTCTCGGGTTTAATTCATTCATGATGAGAGAAAAACACCCTTTCTAGAATGGACAATTGCACGAAAGTTTGCAGAGTTTGTCCTGTGATTAGACACTGTGGCTTTAGCGTCACGAACAGTTTATGGCGTGAGCGCGATCTTGGAAGGCAAAAGCTCTCTTCTCTTCGGCTTGTGAAGCACAAACAATCGTTCTCCCACGTCAGCCACACAGTCGAACCGAGAGTGAGATCAATTGTCTGGCGCGACTCTTGCGCGCTAAAAGATCTCCGCCGCCAATGGGGTCAAATAAATCTGTGCTTTCGCACTGAAATCTCAGCAGTGCGTCTTCAGTTTGTTTGCACGTTTTTTTTCATTTCTTCTCTTATCTGTGAAAACGAGAGGATTTTCAGTGAAAAATTCTCTGTGAAATTTCAGTTCGTTGAGGAAGGAAAAAGGGCTAAATTGTGGCTTTGTTGTGTGGGCAAAAGAATCTCAAAATTTGTGCGTTTTGAATCGTTTTTGGGGTCTTTGTGAATGATGTGAAAAAGACGCATTGTGTGTGTGATAAATTTTCCAGAAAAATTGTGACACACTTGCTTCACGTGCGAGTGACAAAAAGTGGTTTAGAGAAATATGAAGAAAACTATTCGGAAGCTCAAGCGTGGTCTGAAACAGAAGGAAAATAATAATAATAATAATGCGGTAAATGGTTTTTCTTCTCTTTTCTTCTGTCTTTCTGTGAAAAGAATTGACATTTTCTGTGATATCTATTCGCAACCTTTATTGCCATTCATAATTCTCCATGGACGTGCTGTGCTTATTTCACTCGCCATAGACACAATTCCCTCCAATCTTATCTCTACAATTTTTCACACTCCCGCCAGAATTTCACCATGAGAGATACAATAAAGAGGAATTCTTGACTGACACTGTATTGTTTTCATCTGCAAAGTCGCATTCTATTTCTGTGGTATGTTAACTTCATTTAATATCAAAGGCAGAGAAAAAAACGGGAGAAAATTCCGTTTTTTTCTGCAGTTTATTTGGTAAACAAACACGCAAATTGAAAAGTTGCGTGCAAAATGTGCGGAAAGTCAATGGTGAATCTGTGGTAGGAAATTTCATGGTGATAGAGTAATAATGTGCGCTTTTTTTTATCAGATTGATATTGGTTTTGCCTCGGCATAAGGTCTCGATGAGATTGAGCGATATTCATAAATGTTATGTTGGCGTGGGATTTACGCAAAAGAGAATTTTCCAAATGCTACAAAATGTGCTAATAGTAAAAATAAACTGTGATTTCCACTATCCAGTCATTAGCGCGTTGCTTTGCAATTTGAAAGAGACTCTCCAAATAGTTCATATTTGCTTTTGATGATCAGACAATATTTTATCACTCTTCAAAAGGGATTTCAAATGAATTTTAAATGCATTATTTGCCTTCAGTCTCATTCTGTTTAATTATTTGTCTGATAAGAATTCTGTATGGTCAGTGATTCAGACTTGAAAACTATGACTTTCATTATCAATAATCAGGAAATACTTCGATGGGTACCGAGAAAACTATCAAAAGTTGACTTTCGAGAATTGATTTCTTATGTATTTTTGGATTTATCTTCATGTCTTGACATAAAAATGTGAGAAATTGGATTTTTCTTAAAAATTTCGTGAGTAGAAGATTTTTCTTTGTTGCGTTGAAAACTATTTTAAGTCGGTTTTTGATAGTTTTCACCGCAATTTTCGTTCTGGCCGCGATTGAAAGATATTTGATGAAATTGTAGGAGAAATATTAACTGTTTTCCATCCTTAAATCCACTTTAAATCATTTACATTGATTAGACGTAAAGTTGGGCGTAATTTTGTATGGTGAAAAGTGTCATATATGAAAAGAAATCTTAGTAAATAAATTTAAGTTCTGAATAAAATCAATGAAAATACATGAAAGATTAGTCAAATAATAAATTCTGTTTGAAAAAGCGAATCAATTCTTCAAAATTCAGGTTATATTTCAATAACTAAGCGATGAAATCAACTGGAAGTTATAGAAAATGATTAGAATTGAGCAATTTTATCAAATAATTGGACGACAAGAAGGAGTTTAAGGGTGAAATTAGGGAAATTACGAAATGATATCAAGTCTTAATTCGTCGACTTGTGAAATTGATTTGTCTTCAGTTGTTAGAAATAGTCAAAAATGCCTTACAAAGAGCTTTGAAAGCCAAATAATCTAATTCAACAGTCAAATTATAAAATATTTCACACAATTTCAACCCCAGAAATCCCAGAAATAATTAGTTTTTAATAGTAGGAAAATTTTTTTGACGCTTCCTCGATGACAGAGGAATGAAAAGAGTCAGAATTGGCTTTTTATTCTCAACACGGCAGAGAGAATAAAATGATCTTTAATGGCTTTGGGTAATTAAAGAGTTGAAATGCTTGCGAAGATCGACTTCGTGACACATTTGTTGGGTGTGTATTTTATGTAGTGTGAATAATTTTCCACTAAAAAGTCCCGAGATTCAAAGCAAGTGCGGAACAGCGGAATAATAATAGTGAGTGTGTTTTTGAGATTCTTTTTTTCTCTCTCCACGCGATCAGCAAATATTTGAATTTGCTCAGATTGTATTCTTACAGTCAAGGCAGAATCTTTGTGAAATTGCAACACGATTCGTATTTTTTTTCCTCTGGATTTTTTCGTTTCAATTGAAATGCAAATCCCAACGATGTTGAGGCTACACAATCTGACACTGAAAGTGGTGTTAAATAGCTAATGAAGTCATAGAAGTGCTCGATCTGTTTCTGCAAAATTTATTCCTATTTTTACATCGCGTCTCTCACTGAACTTTTTCCCACTATTTGTGCTGAATAAATTGAATATATATGCTTATGTTGTGTATGGAGAGATGCTTCAATGCAAAGTCCATTACGCCTTTGCCACACTCTCTGTGTGTATGTTAAAGGCATATCTTCGTGGGGGGATTTCCCGACGTGGAGAGATAATTAAGTGGCATTTGTATGTGCGGAACATCGTTGGCACTTCGCACTGTGAACTACTGCCACAATTTTTGTAAATACGTAAAGAAATTTCGGAGTATTTCTGTGTACAAGCAAATTAGCAATGGTTGACTGATATCCGGATGTGTGTGTGTTTTGTATATTGATAGTAAAACCTTTCTTTAGCACGTGAGCCACATTTCAGAAGTCCACTGCTATTGAACTCATTCAGGAGGTTTTTTTTTCTCTCTAGACTTTAAGCTATTTAATTTCAGAATTATCACTCTATTAAATTAAACACATATTAACTTGTTTTGCATCGCATTTGTAAATGCAAATCTAAAGAAAGCGAGGTTATAAATAACACATGCTAATTATCTGTCAATACAATTTAACACGAATTGACAGACTTAATGTTTATTATGTTTTACTCACGTGAATTTTGCTTGTAATACAAAAATGATTATAATTCCTAATGTCAACTCGCAAAAATTGATGTTTCAATACAAAAATGAATGTATTTTTGAAAAGATCTTTATCTTTTCTGTTACTTATTAAAAAAATTCATGTTTTGAGGTGAAAACTATGAAAAGTCTATGAAGAATGTCTCTAAAATTGTATTTATTCATTTAGAACAATTTATTTGATAATATTTTTATTGGAATATTTGAAGGATTTTCCAAAAATATCCTTAAACTTTTAATGAATAAAATATTTGTCATATTTTTGAATTTTTTCACTCGAAAACTTTTTAAAAATTCATGTAAAGTATAAAAATTGATTTTTAGAACTTGTTTGAATAAAATGTCCTCAAAGATTATTAAAAATTGACTTTGGAAAGTAATATTTTCAGTTTTTCTATAAAAATTGCCATATTTCAGTCAAAAATTGCAATAAATACCGATAAAAGCCACTGAAAAAATTCAAAAATAAACATTACAGACCAATATTATTACATTAATGAACGATTAAAAGGTATTTTTATAGTTTTGAGGTAAATTAGGCGAATTTCACAGCAATATTAACGCTAAACTTTGAACTCGTCGAGTGGAGACACAAATTAATTCAATCAAGACTCTTCTTCTTACAAACCTTGCATTTTAATCATCTTTATTATGTGTCTGGAGTGTAAATAATCACATCCTTTCGAGATGATTAACGTAAGAATCCCAATTCATCACAACCTTTCACAGTTCACTGATTGATCTTGTGTGTTTATCGGACATTAAGAGAGAGAGGGAGAGGGAGAGAGAGAGTGAGAGATAATGGAAAATGTGAGAGAAATTGAGACATTTTGTGCTTTTTGTATGAATCAGTCTCTCGGGAGCTTTTCGTGCCTTGAAAACGTCGTTTTGCGAGCGCTCTGTGACAATTTTCATTCTCGTTGCAGTCGCAACCGGTGGAGGAGAGAATCACGTGGACGATGGACTCCTCGCCAGGTGCCTTGATGGAGGAGTATGAGCTGATGAATCAGCACAAGTACAGGATTTACATGTCGAACATTGACAAGGCGCTGAAGAACTTCGAATATTCCAGCGAATGGGCCGATTTGATATCAGCGCTGGGCAAGTTGAATAAGGTGAGTGCGCTTCTGTGATAAGATATTGGGAGGAATGTTGTTTTTTCTAATCGCTGTCTTGTCCCTCATTTAGGTGATATCGAGTTATCCGCAGTATCAGATAATTCCGCGAAGGATCAAGATTTCCAAGCGCTTGGCACAATGCATGCATCCGGCGTTGCCCTCTGGGGTTCATCTCAAAGCCCTGGAGACGTACGATGTGATCTTCAGCAACACAGGAACGGAGAGATTGGCCACGGAGTTGTTTATCTACAGTGCAGGATTGTTTCCGCTGCTTGGCTATGCGGCGATGAATGTGCGACCGACTCTGCTGGGGATTTATGAGAAGTACTTTGTGCCTCTCGGAGAGAGATTGAGGCCAGCCTTGAGTGGATTCCTGAGTGGCGTTTTGCCTGGATATGAGTCGGGATTGGATCACTTTGACAGGACAAACTCACTGCTGAACCTCGTGTGTGCTGCTGTGAATCCTTTCTGCTTCTACACTTGTCTCTGGGAATGTGTGGCCACAAATGCATCCATCAGATTGCCGGCAGTGTCATATATTCTGGATCATTTCCATAAGAAGGTGCCGATGGAGGAGCAAAAGTACTTTCTGGGGAAGAATCACGATGTCCTGATGGCGGGATTGTGTGCGTGCTTGAATGACAATGTGATTCTGGTGCAGAGGAATTGTCTGGAGTTTCTTCTGCTGGGATTTCCGATGCACACGAGTCTCGTGAGTCGAGTGGATCTGGTGAGATTGGTGACAAATGGACTGAATACCATCTTGAGGCGGGATATGTCACTCAACAGGCGTCTCTACTCGTGGCTGCTGGGAACTGAGGTGACAAATGGAAGGAGTCCTGTTGAGGAACCACCTCCGATCACTGAAGAATCCTCTCAGTCATATTTCCAGCGACACTCGCAAGCGATTCTATTCAAAGCGCTGAATCAAACCCTAAAGAACAGTCTCAATCATGATCCTGTGGATCTACGACCGTATAAAATCCTGATATCGCTTCTGGACAAGGTAGAAATTGGTCCTGTGATCCTGGATGAGGTGTTGTGTGATGTCATAAGGACAATGTCTCTGTCCGGAGGTTACAGTGAAGTGGGAAAGTCAGCAAATCTGCTCTTTGCCACCTTTGATCCTGCTTACATCTGGACTTACATGTCGGGTCTGTACGAAAAGGCATGCAAGGCGCCTTCGGGGAAGTCAAAACTCACCCTGAGCCTGGAGAGGAAGGATTTTGGCAAAGATGTGCTGCCTGAGGTGGATTCTGGACCGCCTCTTCTCACGGAGGTTTGCTATTTGACAGAGTATCTCTTGGAGACAATCTCCCTGGAGACATACAATGAGACGACGAGGATTCACTTGCCCAAAGTATTCCTGGCCATCACACAAATGCTGACGATTTATTCGGAAAACTTGACTCATGATGAAGTCAGGGCGTCTTTGAAGCTGTGCATGAAGATTGTCTCGCGCGTTCAGCCCATGATAACCAGTCCGGCGAGACACAATCCGATGAAGGGTGTGGAGGGAGCTGATGAGGTGAAGGAAGAGTCTGGCAATGCGCTGGAGAAGAGCAAATCTGATTCGAAATTGAATCAAAGTCTGCTTGATGAGGCTGTGATGACACGTTCCAATTCCAATCACAGTATGTCCAAGAAGAGTCCCAAGAAGACCAAGAAATCCAAATCGTACTCGAAGTTGCAAGAGTTGGACAAGGATATTTGTTCAGACACTGGACAACTGATCATCCCGGCCATGTCGACGCCAAATCTGGAGTATCAGAACAATGTGGGGAAGAAGGGAAAGAAGAAGTCACCGATTGCGAAGTTGAGGAGCAAGTCGAAGACACCGGAAAACACACCGCAAATTGCTGAGGACTCCAATGTGGAAACCACACCCGAACCGACGTCAATTGTGAGCGAGAGTGGCGTGAGTTTGGGCGAGGAGGAGGCGAGAGTGGAGCTGCGGGAGACCAGCATGAAGGAGTACTCAATTCTGGAGCAGTGCATCAGGCAGTATGAGATCTTCTATCAGATTTATGTGTCAAAGCAAGTGTTGCAAATTTCGGGTACGGACGCCAAGACGACACCGTGCAGGATCACAGTGAGTCCGGAGATGACGGGCAGGAGTTTGCTGATCAGTGAGGACATTGTGGAGGGCGATAGTGTGGAGAGATTGAAGGAAATTGACAGGATGTTCAACACACTGAAAGTCAATGTTCACTGTCGTGTCTCGAGACTGCAAAGTTTACTCTACAGAACACTGTTGAGGTCAGATATTGAGCATTCTGGGGAGAAGAGTGTCTCATTCAACATTGCCGGATCGGAGAGTGAGGCTGAAGTGGCGGATTTGGATCTGGAAGCAGCTGAGAAGGGTGTGTGCAATTTGATGAGCATCAAACTCAGTGAATCTCTGAGGAATGCTGTGAAATTAGCGTCGAGTTTACTCGTGGATTTGTCCACATTTCCCAACTACAATCAGAGCTTGACGGTGGACAAGCGAGATATGAGTATTCCCAGCTGGCTGAAGGTTCTCTGCCTCGTGGCCAGTTACTTCAAGGCGGACAAGGAGCTGCAAGTGGCGGCGATAACCACACTGTTTGAGATGATAAGTCTCCTGAAGAGCCAAATAGAACATGCCACAAGTCCGGGAGTGACTTTTGTCATCATGCTGCCCGTGATGAAGATTGGCCATGTGACTTTTCTGGAGAATCAGACGAGAATCTTCCAAGTTCTGACATCTGTGCTGTGGGATTATCTGGCAGACACGAGTGTTGATCGCAGTCAGATCAGTTCTCTGCTCTATCAGCTGCACAATTGTCTGGACAGTGGAGTTGTGGAGACAGTGATTGGACACAGAATGGTGAACACGCATCAGGAGTGGCTGAACAGTGAGGAGTGCAAGACAATGTCACTTTATCTTGATGTCAATGAGAATTCGAGGGTGAAGAGCAACAGATTGTTGGAGTACAAGACGACCAGGTTGTCCGATGTGAAGATTCTGTCGCTGCAGGAGTGCGGAGAACTTCTCTCTGAAGGTCCTTCGGTGACTTTCAGGAAGTTTGAGTTGCTGTGGCATTTGGGACGTGATCGAGGACTGAGAGGATTTGACAAGACTGTGCTGAAGATGTTCGATCACTTGACACTGCCTCAGCACATGGCGATGAGGACTTTCGTGGCCAAGTGGCTGCGAGAGGCTCTGCTGAGGGGAGATCTTCCGCGGCTGCTTCAGCCTCTCCTGGCCATTGTGCTGGCGTCCAACACCAAGAGGATCGGCGTGGTGAATGCGCATCTGCTGAAGAAGGGTGGAAATGACAGTGTTGACATGTGGTACAATCCTGACAGACACAGTGTGGACTCCGAAGTGATTGAGAGGGATGTTTATGCCATCAGTTCGGAGGATGGCAACATTCGGTATCACTTGGATGGGGCGAAGCAGAAGAAGAGTCCCATTCGATCGCTGCAAAAGAAGTTCTTCGGCGTGACGATAGGAAATGCGGCGGGAAAGAGTGGAAAACCAGCGAATTATATCACAGAGAAGAACAGTGCTGATCACAATAGCAACATATCACTGATTGTCAATCCTCTGGACACGTCGTCGGATGTTGAGAATGTTGATTCGGACATTGCGTCGCTCAGCAGCAGTGCGCCGACGAAGATGGTGAGTGAAGTGACTGTCGAAGCTCCGGCATCGCCGGTGAAGGATGAATCGTGTTCGTCGTGTGACGAGGAGGATGGCGAGAGTTCGACGGATTCGGAATCGGAGACCAGAGACGCGAGTGTTGAGAAGGAAGCGCCGAGTGTGAAGAGATTCGTTGGCGATTGCAATCAAGTGACGGACATTCTCACTGAGCACGATCGCACGAAGAACAGAAAGACGTACAAAGTGACAAAGAGTGGAAGTCATGTGATGGAGAAGTTGGAGCTTTCTTTCACCGAAGTCGCCGAAGGGATTCAGTATCTGGAGGAATCTGCCTCGGCTGAGGAGTACTTCAATGGCGATGAGTCTGTGGAGAGTATTCTGAATGACATCATTTGCCAGGTGGTGGAAGGTCTCGAGGGTGAGGAGAGCAAGAGAGTCAGCCTGGAGAGCACTTGGTCGGAGTCCAAGGAGAAGACAGAAAGCACAGATTCCTTCAGTGAAGATGACAGTGGAACAGGTGGAAAAGCGTCTGGGCAGAAAGACACTTCGCTGACGAGTAAGTTCAATTGGGAAATGGCGCAGGAAACATTCAGGAGAAGCAAGCAAAATGTGGAGATTTTGAGACAAAATTCCGTGGGCAGCAAGAAGAGGAAGGATGAGATGAGAAGAGCCTTCTTTGACAAACTCCATCCATTGCACACACACATGCTGCTGTATTATGGTGTCTTTGACACCAAGCAAGTGCTCTATTCCCTCCAAACCATCAGAAATATCATTGGCAGTGACTTCAGGACGTTTCTCTGTCTCGCCATGACCACTCCAGTGTCTGACACGCAGATCAAAGGTCTCCTCACGCGCCACAAGAAGAGCATCTTCGGCAAGGGATTCGCGGGCATGATTCACAACACGGAATACAGTCATGCGTATCGCGGATGCATGTATCTGGAAGCGCTGGTCACCATTTGTCTGTACTACTTGAGGAGTTACTTCCAGAAGACTGTCTGCGAGGGCAACAAACTTCCGTGCGCGGATGACATCAGAGGCAATTGTCGCATTCAACTGGCCAGCATTGAGTTGCTGACGCTTCTCTGCACAGAATTGATGGGAATTGTGAAGGAGATGGGCAAGGGATTGGCCAGCTTCATTGCCGACATGATTGGGAGGTGCAAACTGCAGAAGGTCGGTGTTATTGATTGATAAGCAATCTTAAACATTACTTAAGTTATCTCTCTGCTCTTTCAGATTGTCCTTCACTGCGTGCTGACTTCCGTGCATTCGTTCACATTCAAGGATCCCGTGACATTCACAGATGATACGCTGCGATTCAATGATCCGGACGATGAGAAGCTCCACTTGGAGGCTTTTCAGATTGAATCACTGCGCCTGCTGTTGGCTGTGATTAAGCTGGAGTATGAAGTGACTGTGCAGAAGGGTGACAGTGAGAGCAGAAGTCAGGGTGAGAGTTCAGGATCACAATCACCAACGCGTCCTGCGCCCAGCACACCGACAAATGTCAAGTATTTGCCCAATTGTCCGGTGAGTCAGCAACCCATGTTCCTCTCGGCCATTCTCAATGCCCTCCAGGCGGATCATCTGCGACACTTGCACAAGAACTGGACAGATGTGGTGACATCGTCGCTGGGATGCTACGTTTTTGGCAGTCTCACGAACATTGTGATCAGCGTGGTGCATCAGATTTGCACAAATCTCGACAAGGTGACGAAAGGAGGACGAATTGTCCTGCCGCCGGACTATATATTGGCGCAATTGGAAGCGATGACTGTTCTCTCTCACTATTGTCTCCTCGGTGAGTATATTTTGCGGATCCTCCGGATGGATTTGTGGAATAAACTAATTGTTTTTACTTGTTCTTTCCAGACAATACACAGCAAATGACACTCTCTCATGTCTTCAATCAAGCTTATCCACCTGCAAATTCCACGACTCAAGCCTCAAATCCTGGACAGATCTTCAATAATCTCGTTCATGTGTTTCTCTCCACTCCGGTGGCGACGGATTTGTCACAGGCAAAGAATTCACAGCACATGGCAGCCCGGAATGCCGTGCTAAGTCACTTGCCGCGAATCGTGGCGAGTGTGGCGGCGCTGTGGGACAATGAGATTGGCCAGACGCGACTGGTGAATAAGCAATTGCTTGAATTTCTCAGTCCCATTTCCCTCCATCATGGTGTGAATTTCCTCGCCGCTGTGGCTGTGGCGTGGCAACAGCGTGGCGATCAATTCCGACGAGTGCAGCAGAATCAGGAGGAGTCAGATAGTCGAAAGAACTCGTTGACAAACACTACAAAGGCTCTGCCACAGGCTTGTCCTGAGCAATTGAGTCTTGTGAAGCTTGTTTCGGGGATAAGAATCATGCCGATGGATTCTTTTGTGCAGACTCTGCATCAAGTGGTGAAATCTCCGCCGCCAATTCATCATCCGCCGGCGGGATTGAGTCTGGACGTGAGTGCGCTGGAGCTGTTCTACTTCTACATGAAGAATGCCGGCAATAGTCAACTCACGGACTGTTGGGCATCGCTTTTGGCACTGCTGAGAGATGGATTGGCGCTGTCGCCGCCGGCGCAATTTGTCCTGCTGGTCATTCTCAGTGAATTCGTGCAGCGCTGTCCACAGTTACCATTTCAGGACAAGAAGGATCAGCGTGATCTGCACGATATCACATCGCGCCTCGTGGAGGCACTCTCCACTGTGGCGGGTGCTTGTCTCGAGCAGACCACATGGCTTCGGCGCAATTTGGCCGTGAAGGAGGATCTCGGATCACTGCCAATTGATGGGAATATCAAGGAATCCACAACATCGCTGATTGGCAATCAATTGTACAGTGTTCAGGCGCAATCTGTGCTCGCATCTGTGCTGGCGAATCTTCTGGATGTGGCTTATGGGTCACAGGAGAAGGATAAGATTGTCACCATTGTCACGACATTGATGTACAACATCACGCCTTATCTCAAGAATCACACCATCCGCAATATTCCCTCCTTCTACGCATGTTCCAATCTCCTGGCCAGCTTGTCGACGTTTCAGTACACCAGGAAAGCGTGGCGCAAGGATGTGTTGGATCTGTTGCTGGACAATTCCTTCTTCCAGATGGATTTATCATGTCTGCCCTTCTGGAAGTCCATTCTCGACAGTCTCATGACCTATGACAATACGACCTTCAGGGAATTGATGAGTATGTTTATTTGATTCAGAATAGCTGTGATAAGGCTGATAACATTGATGAATTCCTTCAACAGATCGCGTGTCGTTGACACAAACTGGTGGATTGAACATCTTCACGTCGAAGGAGCAAGAATATGAGCAAAGAGCAGCTCTTCTCAAGCGTCTGGCCTTTGTCATCTTCTGCAGTGAATTGGATCAGTATCACAAGTACATGCCGGAGATTCAAGGTGAGTTTTCATGCTGTCTTTCCACACAAGATTACTTCTTAATCTGTCATTTCTTTGTCTGCACACAGAACAACTGGCAAATAGCTTGAGATTGGAGAAAGTCGTTCCATCCGTTCAGGCTGCTGTCTTTCTCTGCTTTCGCGTTCTTCTGCTGCGAATGTCTCCCGATCATGTGACATCCTTGTGGCCAATTATCATTGCGGAGATGGTGCAAGTGTTGCTGTCAATTGAGCAAGAACTCAAGACTGACACGGAGGAGTTCAGGTGAGTTTTTCCTTGTCTGCTTCTAATGGGTTTTTTGCTGCTCTTTTTCTCTGTGTGTGGTTTTCTCAAAAGGGTTCACAGCCAAGACAAGTCACTGAGCGCGCGCTGACAAGCCATTTTGTCTTAAGGAATACACATATATTTATTGCTCGTGGTGCGCAATTAACAAAAGTTCATCCAGAAATGAAGCATTGTTAATGAGAAAAAGGAGTGTTGATTTTACTAATGGATACATTTGTCTTTTTTTCTCTTACACCATTTTTTTATTCTTGTGCATCATTGTTCGGGATGAGACAGGAAGCAGTCTAGGTGGGTGTACAAAAATTCATTTATAAGACACACCCTTTGTGGTTCACAATTGTTGGTTAAGGTCTTTTGCAATTTATGCCTTTGATTGATGAGTTTTGGGAAGTGCATAACTTCCGGAAACACTTTTTCTTCACTCTTTTTCCTCACCATTTCTTCATGCTTTCCGTACAATAATTCCTTCTGAGTGTGTTTGTGTGTTGCGCAATTAAATGCCAATTTATTATGCTGTTTTTGTGCCTCTTTTTTCCCACTTCTCTTCACCACATATTTATGTACTGATAAGTTGCTTTTTTGCTCTTGTATCGTCGCTGATGAAAAACCACCCACAATAATTGACTTCTTCTACTCATTTGCTGGTCAGTCAACACATTCGTGTGCTGTCGGGATTGGATTCAACGTGGGTGACCAACACCAGCAATGGACTCCACTCAAATGGTCATCCACAGTGGCGAATGGTGCAGCTGGAGACGGCGAAACTCCTTGAGTTGGGATGCGTTCTGCCCGCAACAAACTTGCCACACTTTCAAATGTAACAAACAATTATTAATTGATGACTGTTGACGATGGAATTGACTCTGTTTTGTGTGACATTTCAGGTATCGCTGGGCTTTCGTGGCGGGTTTGAATGATTACGCGACGGAATCGCTGAATGGAGATGTGAATGTGAAGCCAGGAGTTCCAACGCCATCCTCAGTATTTATTCCTCATGTGACGAGAATTGCTCGACTCATGGATTATCGCTACACGAGTCATTCACCGGTGAGTGGATTTGGGATTTAAGATTGTAACGTAAGAAGCGAGGCAATCAGATGTGAAGTGAAGAAGTTATATGACTAATTTTGCATGATTTGAATGGAAAATTTAGCCATCGTTGCAACTTTACTTTCATAGCATATTAAATAAGATGTCAAAAATATGAATTCGATTCATAACATTTATGAATGTGAAGAATTTATCTCCAATTCATATTTTTCGTCGCAAGAAGATGAGAAAGTCAGAAAATTCACATGAAAACCAAGGAAATTGACAATAAACACATATTTATTGGTTTTTTTCTGGCCATTTGTGCACATATCAATGTACCAGATTGAGGTTATGTGTACTTTTCTGTTTCTGTTACTTCTTTGGGAGTACAAAAACACGACTTTGTTTAAATGTCACAAGAAAGACATTTTCCTGGACATTCTGACCAACAGAATCCTTCACGAATCCCATTAGAAACACGCTCAATGACAGGAACAGTTGCTGGTGAAGATGGCTTGTCACTGGGATTCACAATTTAGTCCTGTTGAACTCATTTTTCAAGTTTAACAGCTGAAATTCGTATTAATTAAACACAAACTTTACCTTACAACGCCTTTTCGTTCGTATTTCATTTGAACTTTATACTAGCGCCGTCTGGCGTCCGCCAATATAAGCTAAGGATACGTAAAGTTGCAACACCAAATTTGTAGCTTTTATGAACTTAAATCTGTAATGTTGCAACGACGCTTTAAGTCATACAATGTGAAAAGAATGTGAGAGAAAATTGAGGCTTTAGGAAAGCAACTTTTTCTCAAAGTGTTGCTTTATTAATTAATTCTGCTGCATGGCCTCGATTTAGAGTAGGAAAAAATCGATGGTTGAGTGTTTGCATGACGGAGTCAGTGTTCTGGAGAGTGATTGACAATTGTGATTGTGTCCTTGCAGAGGCCCGCGTGCGCTAGGAAGAGTCACTTGGTGCTCACTTGCCAGACCATTGCGAATCTACAGGATCTTTACGGGTTCTTCTCCACGCTCAGCGTCACGTGGCCGCCGTACCAATTTGGCGATGTGGACAAGGAAGTGGCCACGTGTCTGCAGGAGATTGAGAGCATCCTCGCGGCGGACTTCCTGGAGAAGATGCCACAGTCGATTGCGAGGTGAAATGCTGCTATTCAAGCCCACCTGGACTTCTACTCGCCCTTCTTTGTGTGATAAAAACAAACAAAAAAAACAAGAGAATCCTTTTGAAATTCATATGAGTGCAATCGACGAAATGCAATTTCACTGTCCTTTTCCATTTCCACGCCGCCGGCGCGTGTCGATTGATGTGCGCGCTTTGTGTGGGTGGCGAGGAGAGGAGGAGCTTGACGTTTACCGAGAGAACTTTTATATTTATTCCCCTATTGACTAATATATATTGACTAATAACGCGCGATCGCGTGTCCTTTCCAAGTATATGTCCGGCTGAGAGAGAGAGATAACATTTAGTCCCTCACGGGAGAACTGCAGCGTGAGGGCGGCTTCTCATCAAAAACAGTATATATATTTAGTGACATTTAATTTGTATTGATGCAAGTGAAGAAATAAGAGATTTTATTAAATGTTTAAAAGACAATGCGATTTATTCTGACGCTTCTTATTCGTGATATTGATTCTCCTGTTCGTCTGTGGAATGTGTGAGTTTATTTGAGTGATATTTGAGAATTCACTGAATTCCGGGAATGTGAAATTTTCCAAGAAACAGCACCGAAAGAATGAGATAAGATTAAATAGACATCTGTCTATGAACACCAGAATAAGACCGGCTTTCAGTAGTGTAATTGCGCGCAATTGCCTACAAATATTTACTTATAGCGACTTTTTCGCACACTATAGTTTAATGTTTGATGCGAAATTTATGTTTTTATTAGCCTCTGAAATGTGTTTTGGTGGCACATTTGTGATAATGGCTAAAATGTGGCAGATTGTGGCGGATAATTTGGGATGTAGTTGTTATTTGGCTGGTAAATTGGATAAATTAGCGGCGTTGAACGATGTTCTTCATCGTGAATTTCCTGGAAGAGTGACACGATTACCAGCCAAAGGTAGAGCGGAATTGCGGTCAGAAAGCTAATGAAGAACACCACGAAGATCTTTCCAACGTCTTCTGTCACTGCCAAATTCACGATTGAGCTTATCTTGCCCAAGAAGCAGAGAAAGCCAAGAGAACCCATCATTGTGATCCACGGCAGGAGAAGAAAGCGATTCCGCTTGATTGTCCCGATGATCAGGAGAATGTGACTCACGAGGACGATTGCCAGCATCGCAACGACAAATCTCAAATCAAAGTTGAATACTGGAAAAGAGAAGTAAACATGAAAGCAATATCCAAAGAGTTTATGAGAAATATTTACTCATTCCTCTCAATATGTATAGAAGACAGCAAATTGATTTGCCAGCAGAATTGAAGATGTACAAAACGACAGATATTATGCAAAGGCAAGAAAACACTGCACCAATCCAACCCACAATCAATCCACTGATCTTCAGCGAGATGCAAAAGCAGCAATTCTTCAACAGCGGCATTTCTGCTGCGAGAGTTCTTCGCCGACTGATTGAAGATTTGTCGCTCAACAGGCGCGAGTGTGTTTCTTATCAGTATTCTGAATTTCCCTTCAGAAATTACATCGGCTCTGCATAATCAGAAAAACGATACAGACTAATCAGATATTACAGTTGAGGGTGAATTTGATCAATTTATTTGGTTACAATTAAATAAATATGTTTGTATTTGGCAAATACAGCAAAATTACTACATTTTTATTAAATAACTGGAGCAATTCTGAGTCCCACAAAGTTTAACATTCGAAATGAATAAGGAAAAACAGTCCTTGTTATTCTTGCTAAAACTGTTTTAGAGTTTTAAGCGATTCCACAATGAGTAAGAGAGGAAAATGGTGAAATTTAGTCTATAAAACCGATATTCTATGGCGTCACGAGTCTTAATCTTAAGACCAAGCTCAATCTTACTCCGTCTAATAAATGAAATGAATGAATTTTTAACACAATTGTTGAATATTTTTACACAATCATCATTAAAAAACTCACAAGTGTGACTGAGAATTGTTTCAAATATTTGTATATGAATGATTCGGTTGCTTTAAAAATTTAGCTTTTTCTTCTTCACGAAGTTCTTGAAAAAGGGACACGATGGCGAGCCAAAAATGAGCTTCAATTAAATACAATAAATTGGCGAAGAGGAATAGAAAGCCTTTCAGATTATTTCCTCCTCTAAAGCTGAGAACACTGAAAGTGAGAGTAATTGCGAAGGATACAATAATAGCGGAGCCTATCACGAAGATCCACGGCAAAATGAGGACGTGATTACGCTTGATCGTCCCGATGATCAGGAGAATCTGGCTCGCTAAGCTGACGACAGACAAGCCAATGCCGATTCCCAAGCTGTACTCGACTCCTTAAGGAAAGAAAACACAGAGATTTCTATGAATATTCACAACATTTATCACAAAGCACTCACCCAATTTTTGAAGACTGTATTTGAGACTACTATCAATTGCATAGAAATCTTGAAGATTGCTGAGGACAATAATAGCGCCGATAATGCTCAGAAAGGACGAAATAATTCCAATCCAGCCCAGAATCACGCCACTCGTCTTCAAAGAGACGCAAAAGCAACACTTCTTCAAGATTGGCATTCTTGTGCAAAGGATTTTCGTCAACTGACGCCGCAGAAAACTCAAAAGTGACTGAAATTTTCAACACACGCTTGTATTTCAAAGATTTCTTCACACTTCTTCAGTTGACCTCTAGTTTTGGCTAATAAAGCGTCAGAAATCTTCAAATAACACGAAGAATGTTCGAAAATCATAAGCATAAGTAAACATACTAATTATAAAAGCACACAAGGCAGAGAAAAGAAGAATTTCTAACTGATTTATGTTGATACACTTTATTCACTTCCTTCTCCTTAGATTATATTTGTAATTTGCTTGAAATATTTGCTCAAATTGTCACTTTTCAATGTCGCTGTGTGACTTTCTTCCTCATCACGGAGTTCTTGATAAAGTGACACGATTGCGAGCCAAAAGTAAAGATCAAGCACAAAAAGCACATCTATAAAGATTAACAGAATGCTTTTCAAGCTTTCTCCTTCTGAAAAACTAACTATGCTAAGGATGATGGAAATTACAAAACACACAATTATGACGGAAATTGTTGTGAAAATCCACGGCAGAAGAAGATGACGATTTCGCTTGATTGTCCCGAGGATCAAAAGGACGTCGCTTCCGAGGCTGATTATTGAGAAAGTTATGCTGAGTCCCAGTAAATATTCGATTCCTGGAAAAGTAAATTAATTAATTTACAGAGATTTGTTAGTTAAGATTCTCGCATTCTTACCAAATTTCTTAAAAATGTAATCCACATAGTTGTCAGGCGGATAATAGTTTTCCAGATTGCTGTACACAATAATGGCACCGATGATGCAAAGACAGGATGAAATGGCACCAATCCAGCCTAGAATCACTCCACTTTTCTTCAGAGAGACGCAAAAGCAGCAATTCTTCAACACCGGCATGATTGCGCAGAGGATTTTCGTCAACTTACACCGCGAAAAGCTCCGAAGATTGTGACTTGAAGACACGCTGAAAGCTTCATCACACTTTGAATTTCAAATTTTTCAACATTCCTTGGCTTTATCTCCACGTTTTTCATGAATAAGCGTCAGAAATCTTCAAATAACACAAAGAATTTTTAGAAATCACAAACATGAGTAAACTTACTAATTACAAAAGCACACAATGAATGTGATTTATTATTATATTCTTTATTGATTTTCCCTTGATTACTCAGACAATGTATTCAAGAACTGATTGAGATCTGCAATTTCTCAACACTTTCTCAGATCATATTTATGTACGGATGATTTTCTTGCTCAATATTGATTTTCTTGGATATTTCTTCGCGATTCCTTTCTTCGTCGCGGAGTTCTTGGAAGAGTGAAACGACGGCAAACCACAAGTGAAACGGAATTGCAAAAAGCAAATGTATTAATACGCGTCGCGTGCGTTTTCCTATGCTTTCTCCGTTTGCAAAACCGATCACGCATGCCGTGATGGTGATTGCCAAGCCGAAGAAGATGCAGAAAATTGTTGTGATGATCCAGGGCAAGAGGAGAAGGTGATTTCGCTTCTTTGTCCCGATGATCAGAAGAACATTGCTTACGAGGCCGACGACACACAAGCCAACGCTCAAGCCCAATCCGTACTCGAGTCCTTAAGGAATTGAGGTTAGAAAATGTCTTCAGGATGTTCATCACAAAGCACTCACCGAATTTTCGTAAAGTGAATTCCCAGTTATTATCAGTTGTGTTGAGATTTTCAAGATAAGAAAACGCAATAATGGCACCGATAATGCCGAGACAGGACGAAATAACTCCAATCCATCCCAGAATCAATCCACTCGTCTTCAGAGAGACACAAAAGCAACACTTCTTCACCTTCTTCAAGATTGGCATTCTTGCGCGGAGATTTCTGCCCAACTGAAGCCGCAGAAAGCTCCAAAGTGACTGAAATCTTTAACGCGCGCTTGTATTTCTAAGATTTCTCGACTCTTCTTCAGTTGACCTCTAGTTTTGGCTAATAAAGCGTCAGAAATCTTCAAATAACCCGAAGAATATTCAGAACTCATAAGCATAAGTAAACGTAAAAACACTGTTTTGTGATACATTTATTCTCTTCCTTTTTATTTAATTCGAGATGTACTTGAAATGTATTTTATCCCAACATATAAATTCGTTATTATTTTAAACTCCATTTAATATTTCTCTCTGTTTACACAAAATATTCGATATATTTTATTTGATTTAATTGTAAATAATAAAGGAATTGCTGGTAACTCTTTTAGCAACTCTGCTTCGCATTTCCTTTTTTCTTGTATATATGAGAATAATTCATTCAATTACAACAAATTTCACAGCTGTATTTCACGTGTTAAAAAAAGATCGATTAAAAAGCCTTCTTAGGCGAAGCCCGTGTACGATGGGAGGCCATCATTGGGCGGCGGGGCTTTGTAGATCAGCGCCGCGGGGCTCACGCTGTTGCGCTCTTCCTCGCGCAGGTGCTGGAAGAGCGACAGGATGGCGAGCCAGAGGTAGATCTCGAAGGCGATGATCGCGCCCATGAGCAGCAGCACAGCGAATCCTGCGCCGATGTCATGCGTCATGGCGCCGACCACCTGGCAGATGGCCACGATGCAGCCCAGCACCACATTGATGCCGGTGGTGATGAGCCACGGCAGGATCAGATAGCGATTCCTGCGCACGGCGCCGGCGATCAGGAGGGAAGCCGAGATGAGTCCAATCAGCGACACGGCAATGTAGAGTCCCAGGAAGATCTGCACATCTGCAAAGGGAGTGAAAGTGATTAGCAATTGCTGAAAGACATTCCAGACACTTCAAGTCTCCATTTTGACTTTATTTTATAGGTTATGTGACTTATTAAGGATGGAAAAAGAGTTAAAAATAGACATTATTGCACTGAAAACAACATTTTTTCTCATTTAATAGTATAATTGTGCATTTTCTGTATTTTTACTCATTGTAAATCGCGATTCTGCAAACTAAGATTGTTCAGATCAAATATAACCTCAAATTTTCATCCTTAATTTTGAGGTAGAAAAATTCTAACTAAGCTTATGATATCGAAAAGTGCAATTAGAAGCAGAAAATCATCAAATATTGCTTAAAATTCCTTCAAGACAGTCTGAAAATCTTAGTTATAAAATAGTCAGTTAGATTGTAGTTAATTTTCAGTTAGTTTTCGGTTAAATTCGAGTTATTAGCTGCTTTTACTCTTGTTACAATCAATCCATGAAGTCTGAAATAGTTTGTGGTGATAAAATTGAATCGAGACCATAAAAAGCGACCTTAGCTGTGATGGTTGATTGACTTATGAAAGTTTGTTGACAATCCATACTAAAGAAATGATTGTGTACATGTTTATATGTTATTTTACACGCTTCCATATGAAATATATATTTTTAAAGTATTCTAAGCAAAAGTCTTGTGCCATTGTTGACTCAAAAATCCGCTAATTACGCTGAATGTTGAGAAATTCTCACCGCTCTTTCTCAAAAGTGAATTGTACTTGACGAGTTGCGACTAAAAATATCACGCGACTTTTGTATGTTTCGCGTTTATCCCCAAAATCTCTAAGAAAGGTAAATACACACATTTCGCTGGCTTTATTTCACTTTTTTTTTAGCTGAGAAGAGTAATTGTGAACCTTTCCCATGACTTTTCCCACTTACACGTCTTGATCATCTCGGGATCGAGTTGCTTCTCCTGCGTCTGCTCGACGAGCGCCTTAACGATGGTGTCGACATTGCACATGGCAATGAGCGTGATCACGAGGACGAGGAAGGAGGACACGGCTCCGATCCAGCCCAGAATCACGCCGCCAGTCTTGAGGCTGAAGCAGCAGCAGCACTTCCGCAGAATAGGCATATTGTGGCTTCCTGGAATGAGGCAATCAGTCAGGTTAATTAGGCAATTGAGCGTCTCTATTAAGGCGGATGGAAATGAGCGCGCGCGACTCTCTTGTCTCAGTCTCAGGCTCTCTGAGAATCGAGCTCAGTGGATCGGATCGCCAAGACACTCTCTAATGGCGCAGCCACGCATTTCCAATTTGCACATTGGCAGCGCCTCTAAACGATATGGAAAGTTCTTGTGGCCGCCAGCGAGTGATCGAATGCTTTTTTCCCCTCTTCTGACCAGGTCGCGGAATGGACAAAAAGCTGCGCGCTGATTGACAGCCTTGAGCGGAAAGAAGATCCAGCAAAAAGGTTCAAAAACACGCTTCGACGATGTGACTTTTGAAGGTGAAAATGTTCTCTGGAGGTTTTTTTTTCCTACTTTGATCTCATCCTCTTCTACAGCTTCCACAGAGTTGTTCGCAAGGGAGATTTGCATAAAAAGGAAACAATTTGGATGTCTTATGCTGTAGAGTCATTGGATTAGTTCGCCTAATAGAACAATTTTAGCTAATATGCCCAGAGAGGAATTAGATAAATGGTTATCATTTTCATTGGACTCTCTTGGTCAGTGATCCAAATTTAGACTTTTTCTCGTGCTTCACGGGAAAATTCTAGCTGTTAGCTGACAGATGAGAATTGTTTGTAATAATAAAAACCCCAACTTTTAAGTGAAACTTCATTCGGAAAATTAATATTCAGTCACGAGAATTCCGAGAAGCGCGTTAGAAGCTGTCTTTTTTGCTACAATGATTTGATAAACAGTGAAAAACACTGATATAAAAGAGGTTTTAGTGTGAAAATGTTGCTTATTTTCCATGGAAGATTCATAGTCTGAATGTCAGTGTGTTTCAACCTTATCAAAATATAAAAATATCTGCAATATTTGCTGCCAGATATGACTAATTTCATGTCATTGTGATATTCTAATTATATATTCCGCAAGTAATTCAGGGGAATTTTAAATTCTCTGGAAATTGAAGGTAAAAAGGCAACAAAAAAACAGCTGAAAAAACATTGTCATTAAATTATTTACGACTTTATATTTTATACTGGCAAATTGTGCCGGTTTTCCCCTATGTAAAATGGAACCAAATGAACGTTATCAAATGAAGAGAGCTGGACATTTGACATCAATCGTCAGCAATGATTTCGCTAATAGAAAAGATGCATTCCAGAACGGAAAGATTATACTTGACCTATTAGTAGAATATGTGATAAATCACATGAAACTTTCGTTCCACGCATTTTGCCGTCTATTTTTAACACTTGATAAAATTCCTCCTCTTTATTTACACAAATTCTTCTCTATTTCTCTGTATGAATCAAATATCATTGCATTTTCTTATCTCATATCCCTTTGCAAAGCTTCCTCAACATGTGGATAAATTTCACACTTGACTTGCTGATTTTTTTTTTAGTAAAATTATAGTTGGAAAAATACAGCAAAATTGTGAAATAGCAAATCAAACGTGAGATGTTGCAAAAGAGAGAAATTCTGCCCATTTTTTCCCTCTCTCACGCTGAGCGTCGGATTGAGACGGCAGATGGAATTACATAAAGAGACTCTATTTACACTATAAGAAAATCTCCCTCCGTTTGAGCACAAAAATAATCTCTCTCATCCGATGTTAGAAGGAATCATTTGTGAACTGCGTAGTCACAAAATCATCTCCTCTCTGAGGCACTTTGTGATGTTCTCTCAGACCAGACAAGAGTGTCGCTGCTTTTGGGGCCACTTTTCCGCCCACTTCTGACGGACTTACCTGTAAAATCGGTGGCAAAGGTTCAATGGTATTCCGTCAGCTGTGCTTCACTGCTATTTTCCAATTGATTAAACCTCACTTTTCCTTCTTTCTTCGACACGTATTTCCTCCACGCAACTACGCGCACTGAGAGCTAAGAACGAACTACTGCGAAGGTCTATTAAATCCAATGGCTGATCCGTCACTGAACGAGTTTCATCGCACAACAGCCAACACACAACCGCCACTCGGACAGTGTGTGAATGCGTTGGTGTGTGTGCGAGTGTGTGTGTGTGTTGCGACGTCATCAAAAACCCAAAAGAATTCCCCAGCATTAACTTGTTTTAATTCTCCGGGCGGCAAAAAGTGCAGAATTCCGATGTCAGCGCAAAAATGAAGCACAAAGTTGAAAGAAATACGAGAAATACAGAATATATGAGAATTTCCTTCCCGAGAATGCTTCCAAGAAGTGTACTTGATTTTCCTGGCGCTTCTTATCGCACAGAGTTTATGGGTCACGACCCACTATTTACACATGAAATAGTCACGAATCCATGGTAAGAACTAAAGGATCGGCCGCGTAATAATTTAGAGTGGATGACGCATTTCTCCACAGGGCATTTCGAAGCGTGCGCACTGTGAAATTCCAGGTAATTGTCCACATAAATGCATTGCTGAGTGCACTTTCTTCAAATGCACCCAGAGAAACGCCTTCTCACAGTGTCGCTAATTTGAAATTTTAACTAATTAAATCTTTCTGTGAATCGCGCTTTCAATGTACGAGCACAGTTTGTGTGCGAAGAAAGTCATTCATAAATCAATATTTTATTCATTCGCAAGATTCGTAGTGGAAATCGTTTTGCTTCTAAGTCTATTGATACATGCAGATTAATTGTAAACTTGCTGGCATTAATTGGATAAACTCAGACAAGTTTCTCGGCTGTTTGGTTTGTAGTGTTTGTATGCAAATTAATAGTTGAGTAAAATTGTTGGTATTAATAGGAAAATCTTGTGTCTAGACTCATGAAAATTTTACATCTGAAACACAAATGCGCAGTTTTGCGGTGAGGTTTTTAAGCTTTGAATCACTCTTTTATGTAACTATGCATGTTATACTCATGAAATCTATTCTTCACGGTATTAAAAGGATTAGAGGGATCTTAGGACACAATTTCTAATGGAACTTTTAAGCAGATATGACGAAATTCACCCAAAAATGCTGCACAATTTGTCGAAAAATGTATTCGCGACACTTTTACCGCAAAATCAACCCTTTTTACACGGTCAATTGCGCTCCAAACTCCCCTTCTAGGATAAAAGGTCCTTCTGGTTATCTCCCTGATTAAATTTCCTTTATTTCCCCGTCGAAAAACCTCCGAACGATCCTCTTGAGTCGTGTATTGTTCACAACTCATAATGTGATATTCACTTAATCAAAATTTGATATCAAACACGTATAAAGTCTAGATAAAAATTAAAAATTTACAGGATAATTATCCTGAAGACACCTCAGATTAATTTGAACCATTTTAAAAACACAAAACAAATTAACCGGACAAATAATCAAAGATTGCCGAAACGGCGCTAATAAAAATCTTAGGTTTATTTTCTTCTTTTGTGCGGTTTTGATAAGGTAAAAGGATTAAGGATTAGGAAGAATGTCTTCAAACTTCTCATGGTCAATACTTATTATTGAGAGAATATTGGTGGAAAATATCAAAACTCTAGCTTCACGCGAAAATTATAAATTGTGTTTAGCAATCAATTACACGAAAAATGTCATTATCTGTGATCCAGAACAACTCCGGTTTGTATTTAATTAAAGTGTCTTTCATTGCTAAAAATTTGCATGCAGAGTTTGCAAAGCAAGAAGAGAATGATTTTCTGAATTGCCAAAGTACAATTAACTAAATACGGCTGAATACGTGAATTGTTCGTCTGTATTATTATTATCTCTGATCAGAGTTCTTCCACGGGCGATGAGATCACGCAATGCGCAATGTTTCACTTCTCGATGGACTGCGCGAACCGATTCGTCGCTATTCAGGCCGTTAATTTCGTTTTAGGCGGGAAATCGGGCAGTTTGAATGTCTGAAATTGATTTATCGCAGAAATTTACACAATTGAATACAAGAAATTCAGAATCTCATTTGATGTTCGGGCTGTGGCGGTTTCTCGGTGATCTTCTGGGGAGTCTGAGGAGTGTTTCTCTGCGCCCATGGCTGAAGTTCCGCCTTGGCGAAGAACCAGTAAATGAGACTACATATCAGATAAACCGCCGCGGCAATGTAGAAGACAATCTGCCATTGCTCGCGACTCTTGTCCGTCACGATGAAGCCCCCGATCAGGGGACTGAGGATGCCCGGAATGGTGGAGATCGTGTTGGAGAATCCCCAGATAATTGAGGCGTAATTCGGAGCCAAATCGAGCGGATTCACACTGAAAAGGAGTGTTAATTAGATCATCTTCCCTGAGGAAATGAGTTGTTTTCTTACGGGAATCCTGAGAGTGCAAAGGCGTTGAAGCCCACAGCGATGGTCACGCACGCCATGCAAGCGACAGGATCTTGCATATGGGCTGTGAGGAGGATGAAGATCATCTCGAGAATGTAAGCTGAGCAATTGAAGTATCGCCGAACTTGCAGAGTTGTCAGGATTTTCCTCTCCTGAAGCTTATCCGCGAGGAATCCCGAGAAAATCAGCGTGCAACTCATGGCCAGATAAGGAACTGCCGAGAGAAATCCTGTGGCGCCAACATTGAAGTTCATGACATCTGAAAGATTACCAGCAATAGTGAGATTTTGAGGTTCAGGACTGTTTGTTTGGAGTATTTTCTCACCCTTGAGGAATGTCGGAAGCTGCGTGAGAAGAGTATAAGTGCCCCAAGTTTCTCCACAGTTGGACGCCACAATTGCCCAAACGGCTGAGGAGGTGAAGAGAGCTTTCCAAGGGATGTTCATGCGTTCCTTCTCGCTCACCACTTCGCCGATGCTCTGCTGAATGTAGTTCTTCTCCTGCTCCGAAATGTATCGATCCAGCTCTGGGCCAGCCTTCACGATGGCTGTCCACATCACGAGCCACACGCACCCGATCGCCCCGAAGAAGTAGAAGACACTCTCCCAGCCGAATTGCACGGTGAGGAAGCCGGAAACCGGCAGAGAGATGAAGACTCCGACGTAGTTCCCAATGTAGCCAATGGAGGACATCCGAGAGCGCTCGTAAATGGGAGCCCAGCGCGACAGGAGCGACTGGACAGCAGGATAAGTAATTCCCTGGGAAACACACAGCAAAATACATCATTTCTGATAGTGTTTCACGACAAACCTTCAAGCTCACCTCGAAGAATCCTTCCAGAATTCGCACAACAACCAATCCTGTGATGCTGATGTTTGTCGCGATTGGCGTCAAGAGTGTGAGAATTGCAGTGGCGCCTATTCCAAATCCCAAAACCTGAGCGAGAAGAAAAATGAGCGGAAAATTTTGTGAATATGTAATACAGACAAGGCGAGGAGATTATTGAAATGCGGTGTACCAAAATGTATCAAAGGTCATGTGAATGTTTACAGTACTTGAGACACTTTTTGAAGTACATTAAACTGATAAAAGACCGTAATTTTTGCTTCTACCGGCGAAATTAAATTAATTGCCTCTTATAAATTAATGACCTTTGGCAATAAAACTTCTTCTTGTCACTTCTATGCGAGGTAGCATTGCAAGGGTGGTTTTATCTATGCTTTTTAGTGCCATAAATAAATGGTTTGAAGAAAAAAATTATGAATTTCCTTGTTAAATTCTTCCTTTGCTGACCTACAAAATATAAACTAAGGCGGAGATAATATGTCTTGAATCTTTTCCGGACACTTGACGTCTTGATTTTCTAGTTTAGTCTTCAGAAAATGCTTTCAATAATGTCTGTTCAAATTGTCCACTAAATAATGCGGTTAAATTTGCCACTTTAGAGCAGAACCCGTAAAAATAACTAAGCTAAAAGAATTTTCTTAAACTATTTTGAGGTTATGATTGACTTTAAAGCTGTTTCCTAACTAATGTAGAGTTATTTTCGAACGAAAATGCTCAATTCTGCTAAGAAAAGAGAAATTAGATGATTTTAAAGGTTATTTAATCACCAGAATTTGTTTTAAATAAATCACATAACCTAAAAAAGCGATTTAATTGATTTTTATATGTCAAATAATTAAAAAAAAAAAATGCTTCAATTTGTAGAAAACGAAGCTTTTGCAAAGCAAATATTCTATATATTTCGCAAAATTCAATTCCAAACACTTTCTTAAAAGCTGTACACCACTTCCAACCATAATATCTACCCCTTGATATTATAAACGATTTTGTCAAAAACTGCACTGAGTGTTAAACGTTTCGCTCACGGAAATACAATGTTTTCTCTTAAGATAAGAGACTCTGTGGTGTACAGATTTGCATGAACAACTCTCGCCTTTTCCGCACGGTTGCACAATGACTAATAAACTTGTTGCCCATTGCAAAACGCTTTTCGTGATGGAAAATCCCGCTCGTTTGTTCTGAGCTTTGTCGCTGAGATTACTGAACTGCTCAGCATCTTCACGTGTGGAAAATTGAGGGAAGGCGGGGAGGGATATTTACATGATGGCCTCCGAACTTTGACGCCAGAACGCCGCCCAGGATCTGCGTCCAGATGTAGCCGTAGTAGAAGGAGCTGAGCACCAGTCCTTGCTGCTTCGAGTCCCAGGCGAAGTCCTGCTCCTGCACGACTGTGCCATTGTCCAGCGTGGTGGTTCTCACCTCAGTCATCGCCACGATGGCCACGCTGAGGTTCACGCGCATGGCGTAGGCGTTGAAGAAGCCGAAGGAAATGAGGAAAACCAGGAGATAGCGTCTCCTCTTCCAGAACTGCCATCCTATCTTGTCTTCCACGAGCGCGGCACTGTGCGGAGATCACGTGAATTGGTTAGAGACACTGTGCACCTGTGAGAGGAAGAGTGGATGAAACTTGCCAATTGATGGTGTCTGTGGATTGTGTGTCGCGCAAGACCAAATCGACTGTGGAGTTTGTTGTATTGGGACTCATTTCAACTTTCGCGCTCGCTCGCTAAATTTACACTGAAACACCATCGCTCAAACAATCATCTGAGCCGCTCACCTGAGCCGCTGGCCCCCACCCCGTCCTCCTCAAAAGTGCATATGTTCTGCCGATCTCTGACGAGGCGTTCCCACTCTCGTGGCCACAGAGCGTCTTTTGGCCACCGAATTCTACAGCGAGGTCACTCCAGATGCCAACAAGCGATCGCGGTCCAGCCGCAGCTCGCGAAAATAGCGTCTTGTTAGCATTCTCCGCGAGGACGATCAATTTCATAGCCATTTCCTATACTGTCTCATCATCTCTATGAGAAGAGCGCGCAGTATTATTGTTTGTTCTCCGGCTTTTGTCATTTGATCAGGTAAATTAAATGTAAATTGGGAAGGTATTCAGCGTCATTGTTAGGAAATCCCCGAAAAAACGTGTCTAATGTGGATGACAACAGCATTTTGGCTGAATGAATGAGATTCTTTTTTATACAGTGGTGAAAATTCTGACATTATTATTGATGAAATTATATTCGAATCCATTGACCGCGTCTCAGATCACAATTCCAGATCGAACAAGAACAATCTGAAAGCCGAAAAGTATGTACTTTTTTGCATAAATACATAAAGACCACTTTTGTGCGTCAATCACTTTATATCGTGAGTTTTTTGAGCATACAAAGCATCTCAAGGAGTCTCTGTGTTTTGGGTGTTTTGGTTATTTTCTGGGCGATTCTTCACCGGCGACCAGGGCTGAATATCAGACTTGCTGAATATCCAATAAATCGTGGCAGCAGCAATATAAAATGTTCCGATGATGTAGAAGATTGTTTGCCACTCTTTAAGCGTCTTATTTTGGGCGAGAAATCCAACAGCAATTGGTGTTAATATTCCTGCAATCGAGGACACTGTGCTCGTCAGAGACAGGATAATAGGAGCGGAAACTGGACAGAGATCGACGATATTAACACTGAAAAAGACATCATTATTTGTACAAAGTTATTGTTAAGTCTTTCGTCTTTCTTAACTCACGTGAAACAGGCGATGGCGAGAGGTTCCCAAATCACTCCTAAAGTCAGGACGACAATGAAGCTGATCTTGTCGGGCAAATGAATTGAAGTCACTACTAAAGTCGTTTGCAAAACATAAGCAAATAGAGTGAACAAACGACGCGTTTGATGAGCTGTGAAGAATCTCTTCTGAATAACCAAGTCCACAATGAATCCAGAAACCAGCATTGAGATGCAGGTGAAGAGGAAAGGACACGCAGACAGGAAGGCAGCTTCGTCGATGCTCAAATGCATAACATCTGGCGGGAAAATCATCCCTGAGAACAGCAACTTATCCACACGATATTCGCAATTCACTCACCTTTCAGGAAGCGGGGAAGTTGCGCCAAATACGTTGATGATCCCCACATTTGGGCAAAAGCCATCGCCGCAATTGCCCAAACGCCGGAGCTCGTGAAAATGCCCTTCCACGGGATGACATGCTGTTTCGGTGTGATTCCCTCGAGCTGCTGAAGAATGAACATTTTCTCTCGCTCAGTGATGAGCACGTCGACTTCTGGACCAGCTTTCACCACGCTCACGAACACGAGCGCCCAGATCAGACCACAAGAGCCAGACACGGTGAAGACGCTTCTCCAGCCGAAGGCAGCGATGAGAGCGCCTGAAACTGGAAGCGACAGCACTCCTCCGGTGTACATCCCAAAGAGGGCCAAAGAAATCAGCCTGGCGCGCTCGTGCATCAGCGCCCAACGGGTTATCAGAGTCAAGAGGACAGGATAACTCGTGCCCAGCATAAATCCCTGCACAATTCGCAAAACCATCACCCATTCGTAGCCTAATTCAGCCACTGAAGGAAGCAGGATGGCTAAGAGTCCCGCCACTCCAACGCCAGTGGAGAAAATCTGGAGATGATTATCAAGACATGAAGTGAGGCGCTGAAGTAATTAGAAGTGACTTACATGGATTGGACTGAACTTTCTGCAAGCCAATCCGCCAAGGAGCTGAGAAGTTATGTAGCCGTACAGGAAGGTGCTGATGACGAATCCCTGCTTTCTCGTGTCCCAATCGAAGTCATGATCATCTCCTGCCATTTCCACAATCGCCACTGCCAGGCAGATTTTCATGAAGGCGACACACATGAAGCCCAGCGACAAGAGCAGGAAAACCAAGTATCGCTTCCGCTTCCAAATGGAAACATCGTCAATCACACTGTTTTCAATTGCGAGTCTGCAAAAAGGAGTGTCTCGAATTGGATTACAATAATTCACTGATGGTAATTATTTGCTGACACTTCATCACCTGCGCTTACGAAAGCCCCACAAGAACGCCCTCAGTAAATCAAAGTAAAACTTCAACTTCATGTCAAGTTGATATTCCGAAGGTTTAGTCAACACTAAGCACCACAATTTCAATGTGAATCCACAGATAATGAGAGCAGAAGTTGAAAAAACTATCATTTTATTTCGCTAGACATAAATGTTTTTCCCGCGCCATCGACCTTCTCGTGATCATCAATTTCTTGGGGTTTTTCCGTTTTTCCTGAATTGGCACTTGAAGAAATTGCCCAAGGTTGCAATTCTCCTCTGGCAAAGAACCAATAAACTGTGCATCCCAGCAGATTAATGCCCAGAACGATGAAGAAGACGATTTGCCACTGTTCCTTGGTCTTATCTGTCACGATTAAGCCTGCCAGAATGGGTGCAATTATTCCTGGAATATTTGCAATGGTGTTCGATAAGCCGAAGATGACTGAAGCGTGATTTGGCGCCAAATCCAAAGGATTTATCCTGCGGAGAAGATTCCATATTAATTTGCGGAGAAGAAACTTCATTTCTTGAACTAACATAAATCCAACATTTGCAAAGCCTCCCAATCCAACTGTGAGTGTCAGGCAGAAGATGACAACGGCTGGATTGAGGAGGAATGCGGCCAGAATGATGAATAGACTCTGGGCGAGAAAAGCTCCACAGTTGAAGTATCGACGAACTTGTCTGGTGGTCAAATATCCTTTAATTTGACTCCAATCTGCCAAATAACCACCAAGAGTTAAGAAGCAAGTCATCGTCAAGTAAGGAAGTGCAGAGACGATTCCTGACAACTGCACTGGAAGATCGAGGATGTCTAGGAAGAAAACAAGCGTTAAATTACTCAAATTCACTTTATGAAGTCCTGAAGATCCTGAAATAGAGCAATTACCTGTGAAGAAAGTGGGCAATTGAGTCAGGAAAGTGTCGAAGCCCCAGTTTTGAGCAAAATGACACACGACAATAGCCCAAACAGCTGTTGATGTGAGGATCTTTCTCCAAGGATGAACGATCTTTTCCTCACTCTCACTTCCTTTGCTCTTGACTATGTACGCAGCTTCTTCCTTGGATATGAAAGAATCACTCTCAGGATATGGTCGAATGAATAAGATCCATAAACTGCACCAGAGCGCTCCAAAGCTTCCGAAATAGTAAAAGACACTCTTCCACCCTAGATTTGAAGCTAAAACACCAGACAAAGGCATTGCAATCACTGTTCCTGCATAGCATCCTGTTATACAGAGGCTAGCCATCCTGGAGCGCTCAAAAACAGGAGCCCATCGACTGAGGATGGCGTGCATCGACGGCATAATCACTCCCTCAAACAGTCCTTCTAGGATTCTCGCGGCCATTAGCATGTAAATGTTGAAAGATGCCGCGAGAGGAGTTAGAAGAGCCATTAGAGATGATCCTCCAACACCGCAAAGAAAGATCTAGACAAAACCAGAAAATATCAAATAGTATTCAAGTTCAAGTAGACTTTGCCTGTGATAAGAGTTATTGTCTCACAGATTACTGATTGTCTGCTCAACTCACATAATATCCACCGAACTTGGAAGCTAAAACACCTCCTATAATCTGAGTCCAGATATATCCGTAGAAGAAGGAACTCAGCACAAGTCCTTGTTGCGTGGAATCCCAGTCAAAGTGCTGATCCTCAATCACAGTTCCATTCTCGAGAGTGACGTTGAACTTCTGCGTCATCGCCACAATCGCCACACTGAGACACACTCTGATGGAGTAGATGCTGAAGAGTCCCAGGAAGGTCATGAAGACCACAATATAGCGTCTTGTCTTCCAGAACTTCCATCCCACGTCTCTGCAAGGGAATTTTACTCACAACCAGCTTGATCACTAAGAATTTCTATCACGTACGTGCTTTCTGCGGTTTCAGTGTTCGGTGAAATTGTCATTGTTTAGAGCACTTTATTCACTTGAGAGTGGAGTAAGATTAAAATGAAATTATGCGGATGAGGAGAGAAAAGGCGATTGTGTTAATCTTATCTCATTACTCAGTATCACAGGTAATCCTATGCAGCTTATCGAATCAGCAATTCACATTCCTACCAATTGTACGGCATTTGCAATCAACCTCAATAAAGATATCGTTTGATTTACAGTATCATATATTCTTTTCAGAATTTTCCATCTGCATAGATTTCCTCGACTCAACAGGTGAATTTGCCCAAGGTTGCAATTCTCCTCTGGCGAAAAACCAGTAGAAAATGCATCCAATCACATTCATTCCCACGATCACGAGGAAGACAATTTGCCACTGTTCTTTGGTTCCTTCAGTCACAATTTCTCCAGTCAATAAAGGACTCGTTATGCCGCCAATAGTCGCAACAGAGTTGGACAATCCGAAGATGACTGAAGCATGGTTTGGCGCTAAATCCAATGCATTGATCCTGAAGGAATGAAAGCATTATTATCTCGTGCCAACTGAAGAATAGTTTTGATCTTACATATGTCCAATGCAGGCAATTCCTCCAAAGGCCACTGTTAGGGTGAGGAAAAGCACAACGGCGACTGAATTGTCCAGGAAAGTCGCCAAAAGAACCGAAGCACAAAGAGCGACAAAGCCTCCACAGCTAAAGTACCGTCGAACTTGTCTTGTAGTCAAATATCCTTTTATTTGACACCAATCAGCCAGATAACCTCCGATCGAGAGGAAACAGCTTCGGGTTAAGTAAGGAATTGCCGAGACAACTCCCAAGATTTGCACATTCAACCCAATAACGTCTGCAAAGATGATGTCATAAATGTGGTTCTTGCATGGAATTCAAGAATCTTACCACTGAGGAAGGTTGGCAATTGAGTGAGCAACGTGATGAATGACCAATTTTCCGCAAATTGCGATATAATAATTGCCCACACAGCAATTGAAGTCAAAATGCTCTTCCAGGGATGAATAATCTTCTTCCTCTCCTCAGCTTCATTGCCAATGCTCTTGACTATGTAAGTAACTTCTTCGTCGGTTATGAAAGTGTCTTTATCGGGAATGGGTCTGATGAAGAGGACCCAGAAAACACACCAAATTGAACCCAGACCGCCGAAGACGTAGAAAATGTACTGCCAGCCGACATTTGAAGCAATCACACCCGCCACGGGCATCGCAACTATGGTTCCTCCGTAGCAGCCCATGATGCAGAAACTAGCCATCCTGGAGCGCTCATAGACAGGAGCCCATCGACTGAGGATCGCGTGCATCGATGGCATGATCACCGCTTCCACCAGACCTTCGATGATTCGCACAGTTACCAGCAGATATATGCTTGCAGATGCAGCCACGGGCGTAATGAGAGCCATCAAGCACGATCCAATGACTCCAAATACGAAAACCTGTGTTAAAAGTTCGTTTTCAAGCATCAAATTCATCAATTTAAAGTGTTTTACTCACGTAATATCCACCGAACTTCGAAGCTAAAACACCGCCTATAATCTGAGTCCAGATGTATCCGTAGTAGAATGAACTGAGGACAAGTCCTCGCTGTTTAGAATCCCAGTCAAAGTGCTGATCCTCAATCACAGTTCCATTCTCGAGAGTGACGTTGAATTTCTGCGTCATCGCCACGATCGCGACGTTGAGACAAACGCGATTGGAATAAATGCTGAAGATTCCCAGGAAGGTCATAATCACGACGATGTAGCGTCGCATCTTCCAGAATTTCCATCCCACGTCTCTGAAAAGGTACAAAATCGGTATGTGATGCTTCTGAGCAGCTTCACTACTTGCTTAATTTCCACCACTTCACTTTCCTCAGTCATGCTTCAGCTGATGCGTTTTCCGCCAGCACTTCGAGTAGACTGATTTTCGACAGATTCCAAGTGGGGCAATAAGCGGAGCACTTGTGTCGAATCTGTTTTAGATAGTCCATATCTAGGGAATACCCAAAGTAGGTCGATTAAAGTTAATGATCTAACTCACAAAACGTAAACACGTAAGAAGCACACTATCTTGCTTAATATGATACTGATTTGTGCGGGTTTTGCTATAAAATCATTTTTCACCTGTTTCAACTGGATTTCCTGAAGTTCCAACCCTAAATTGAATCACCTTTTTCTTAAGAATAAATTACCAAGTCAGATATTTACTGTGTAGAAAATACATTTTTTTTATATCTAATAATGTCGCTAAATTACATTGTCTACAAGCTTTATCGTGAATCAGAGTTGTCTTTGTGAACTCTCTCCTTATCAGTGTTCTTAGCGTTATCAGTCATTTCATGAGCGTCTGACAGTGACACAGCCCAAGGTTGCAATTCTCCTCTGGCGAAGAACCAGTAGAAAAGACATCCAACCACATTAATTCCCACGCATATGAAGAAGACGATTTGCCACTGATCTTTCGCTTTATCAGTCACAATCGCGCCGGTCAGCAAAGGACTGACGATTCCTCCGACACTTGTAGTGGCGGATAAGCCAAGAATGACTGAAGCGTGGTTCGGCGCTATATCCAAAGGATTGATCCTGAAAGGAAGGAGAATCTTAGACATGTTCGAGCACAAGTTCGAGCATCTAAATGGGAACATTTACTCACATGAAACCGATATTAGCAAAGGCTCCGAAACCGACGATTAAGGATAAAAAGAAGATAATGGCAAGAGAATTTTCTAAGAACGTAACAAACAATATACAAGCAGAGATCAATACAAAGGCTCCACAATTGAAGTATCGACGAACTTGTCTGGTAGTCAAGTATCCCTTAATTTGACACCAATCAGCCAGATAACCTCCGATTGCTAAAAAGCAGCTTCTTGTGATGTAAGGAATTGCCGAAATAATTCCAGACGTTTGAACTTTCAATCCAATTATATCTGTAACAGAATTTGATTAGAATTTCTCCCAATTTCAATTATTTGAATTTTTAATTTTACCACTGAGAAACGTTGGCAGTTGAGTAAGAAGTGTAGTGTAAGTCCAATTATCGGCAAAATGTGATACCATAATTGCCCAAACAGCAGTCGAAGTGAGAATTTTCTTCCAAGGATGGACGATTTTCTTCTTCTCCGCAGCTTCATTGCCCACATTCCTTATTATATAAGCAGCCTCTTCTTTGGATATAAAGGAGTCAGTCTCGGGATATGGTCGAATGAGTGAAATCCACACACAACACCAAATAAGTCCAAAACTGCCAAAGAAGTAAAACACACTTCTCCATCCCAAGTTGGAGACTAAAACTCCTGACAATGGCATCGTGACTACTGTCCCCATAAAGCATCCCATAATGCAGAAACTTGCCATCCTGGAGCGTTCAAAAACAGGCGCCCATCGACTGAGGATGGCGTGCATCGATGGCAAATTGAATCCTTCGAAGAATCCCTCAATTATTCGCACTGCCATTAGGAAATAAATGCTCGTCGAAGCTGCAACAGGAGCCAATAAGGCCATCAATGCCGATCCTCCGACGCCACACAAAACGATCTGAAATTAAGTACTTCCTTAGAAGTTATTTGAATTTGTGAATGAATTTCGCTCGGAAAATACATGGAAGTTGGAGTTTCTGTTTCCTTGTTAAGTCCTAATCAGAAAAAGCAATAAATTTAGCAAAATATTTAGCAGAAAACACCAGAAAAATTCAGGGAATTCAGAATATTGCTAAGAAAATTTAAGGAAAAAATTTGCTTCATATTTTTCTTGAAATTTCTGCGTTTGTAATGCACTTTTTGTTCGAGGGCTGCTAAAATTGTAGCTCAGTAACATTAGAACTTTTCAGCAAAAATACCTAATTTCTTTAGCTTTCTTTGCCTGCTGGAATACTCACATAATAACCGCCGAATCTCGAGGCTAAAATTCCGCCGATGATTTGCGTACACATGTAGCCGTAGAAGAATGAACTGAGAACCAGTCCCTGCTGCTTTGAATCCCATGCGAAGTGCTGATCTTCCACGATGTTGCCATTCTCGAGAGTTGTGTTAAATTTCCTAGTCATTTCCACAATGGCCACACTCATACACACTCTGTTCATGTAAATGCTAATAAATGATAAAAATATCATGAAGACAACGGTGTAGCGACGCATCTTCCAAAACTTCCAGCCAACATTCCTGCAAAGGATCACTTTGTCTGTCAACTACAAATGTTTTCTACAAATTCTATTAAAATTATTTACTTTTCCACTGTTTCGGCTATTTGTGAAGAACTTTCCGAGATCATTCTCTAATTTTTGACGTGTTGAGAGTTTCAAAGCTGCGCATCGACTAATTTATAAAGTATCTTGTTGCCGACTTCGAAGCTATCTATTCATATTTGCAGATAGACTTACTTGCCTTCAGACAACTTCTAGATTTGGAAGTTTTTTTTGGGTCTCCACTTGAGAACGCTTCAAAGTTCCCAACAAAGAGTTTTACAATCGAAGTGAAATTTAGGAGAAAAAATGGCAAAGATAACAAATAATGAAAAATTATCGTAATATTGAATGTTGTGTGTGAAATTGTATTAAGCAAATTTGCTAATATCATAGTAAATCTCTCTGTTTTCATCTCCACTTGTTGAAATTTAAATACCTGAAGCACTTGAAGTATTTGCATATGTAAGTAAATCACTTTCAATCTGGTTTTTCTGTTGACAATCTTAATTCATTCTGATGTCAAATGTTCATTAAATGTATTTTATTTTGGTGGACTTGACATTGATTTATCTGGATTTAACTCATCCAATTCTTCTTTATCTCTTTCATCAATCGAAAACATCGCGCGATCTTCTAACCTTACAATATTTCGATTCTTCGCCCACGGTTGAAGTTCTGCCTTGGCGAAAATCCAGTAGAAAATGCAGCCAGCAATATTTATTCCCACATTTATGAAGAAGACATTCTGCCACTGTTCCCTCGTCTTATCAATGACGATCATGCCAGTTATCAAAGGACTGGCGATGCCAGAAAGACAAGCAACTGTGCCGGAAACCCCGAAGATTACTGAAGCGTGTTGTGGCGCCAAATCCAAAGGGTTGATCCTGAATGGCAGTAAATTTAACATTGAATAATATTGGCAGGTCAGTGAAAATACTCACATAAACCCAACATTGGAGAATCCTCCGAGACCCATGATGAGGGATAAGAAGACGACGATGGCAACTGAATTTTCTAGAAATGCTACAAACAGCATTGAAGCAGAGATGAAGAGAAAAGCTCCACAATTGAAGTATCGACGAACTTGTCTGGTAGTCAAATATCCTTTAATCTGACACCAATCAGCCAAATAACCTCCGATGGCTAAAAAACAGCTTCTTATAATGTAAGGAATTGCCGAAATAATTCCAGACGCTTGAACTTCCAGTCCAATTATATCTACAAGAGATTAATTTAATAACCAAAATACGCAATCAATCTAGATCTGTAATCTTACCTCTGAGAAAAGTTGGTAATTGAGTAAGAAACGTGACGTACGTCCAATTATCGGCAAAGTGCGATGCCATAATTGCCCAAACCGCAGTTGATGTGAGAATTTTCTTCCAAGGATGGACGATTTTCTTCTTCTCCTCAGCCTCATTTCCTATGCTTGTGACTATATATGTGGCTTCTTCTTTGGATATGAAGGAGTCAGTCTCAGGATATGGCCGAATGAATGCGATCCACACACAACACCAAAGGATTCCGAAAGTTCCGAAGCAGTAAAAGACACTTTGCCATCCTAGTTGAGACACTAGAACTCCTGATAAAGACATGCCGATTACTGTTCCTATAAAGCATCCCATAATGCAGAAACTTGTCATCCTGGAGCGTTCAAAGACAGGCGCCCATCGACTGAGGATGGCGTGCATCGAAGACAAATTAAATCCTTCGAAGAATCCTTGAACAATTCGCACTGCAATCAGGAAATAAATACTCGTGGAAGCTGCAACAGGAGCCAATAATGTCATCACTGCCGATCCTCCGACGCCACAGAGCAAAATCTAAGTGTGAAACATTCGCTGAAAAAACATCTACAGCTTATCTCTTATCAATCATACTCACATAATAACCACCGAATCTCGAGGCTAAAATTCCGCCGATGATTTGTGTGCAAATATATCCGTAGAAGAATGAACTGAGAACAATTCCGTGCTGCTTTGAATCCCAATTGAAGTGTTGATCCTCAATTATAGTGCCATTTTCCACAGTTTTCTCAAACTTTCTCGTCATTTCCACAATCGCAACACTCAGACAAACTCTATTCAAGTAAATACTGATGAATGACAAGAAAGTCATGAAGACGATAACATAGCGCCGCAGTTGCCAAAACTTCCAACCGACATCCCTGGAAAAGGATCAATTATTACAACAGGATTTTCTACAGAACTTCACTGAGAACACTTGCTTCTTCTTCACTGTTTCTTCAATTGAATTCAATGTGGAGCTTTCTGTGCTCATTCTCAAATTTGCTCCGATTTATCTCGCGGCTAAACAACGACTGATTTCGCTGTCTCTCATTGCTGAATCAGGACTTATCTACACGGTTTTCGGGGAAAGTCTCACGTCGTAATTCAAGATAACTTAACTATATCAATTGTGTTTTGTGCTCACCATTTGAGAATGTCCCATTTCGTGTCTAACAAGCGTTGTTGTCGTAAGAAAAGCGATTGAAGTTCAACTAAACAGTTGATAAAGCGTAGGAATTATCTTAGATTAAATTAAGCGCTACAACAGCTTTAAACGTGTTTGACAATTTTCAATTAACAAATAATCTTGATGACAATGAATGAAAAATTCCGTTTAAGATATTGTAGCCAAATTATGATATTTACGCCAAGCATCTTAGACTAATTTCCAAGATCATCTTACTGGATTTTGAAACGCCTTAATTTATACTTTTTTATACGTCTTCTTCGTCTGCTTGCTTTTTATACCAGTCAAAAGATATGCTTGAATTTAGCAGAAAATCTGTGTATTTCTTGTACGATCTTTACAAATTTTTACCCTTTCAATTTTCTAATATTAAAGCCAATAAAAAATCACAAAATATTTCTTCCAAAACCGCCTCGTGCTTACATTAATTAATAGATATTAAGAATAATTTCCTTAGTCATTCTCTAACTTTGTCGTGAATAACACTAAAGGTCAGATGTCAAGATAAGGGTTATAGAATGATAAATATAGCAGGGCAATCTGCATATTAAATGCTTAACAATGTTTTGAAACTATTTCCCTTGCTTCTTATCAGCGTCGAAACAACAATCAATTGGTAAATCATATGATCAAATAGACCAAGTTTTTTTCCGAACTAATCAAGATTTATTGAAGGGTTAATAGGCACATCACAATTAATCTTGATTTTACCAGCTTATCTCAGCACTATTTAGACTCACTGCGGCTCTTTACGTTTGATAAGCATGTCAATTGGCAAATCGCCCAATTATAGATTAAACTCTTATCAGCTATAAGTCAATGAAGATCCCTCATTAGTGTCACACTTGATTTACGATATCACACCGTCTTTTCTGCCTCTTTTCCCGCGCTCGCGGCTGATGGCTGGACTTGCTGGTCTGTTGGGAAAGTCTGTGCCCATGGCTGAAGTTCTCCGCGGCACAAGAACCAGTACACAAATGCGCCAAGCAGATAAATGGAGGCCGAAATGTAGAAGACTATCTGCCATTCGCTGTTGGTTTTGTTGGTCACGATTATGCCTGTGAGAAGAGGACTGACGATTCCTGGAATCGTCGCGACGGTATTGGACAAGCCGAATATCACAGAGGCGTGATTTGGCGCCAGATCCAGAGGATTCACCCTGTAAAAGAGGTGTAAAAGGGGTGTAAAAGGGGTGTAAAAGGGGTGTAAAAGGGGTGTAAAATGAGTAAGTGGGAATAGAAGAAGTCCAAATAAAGCTTACATGTATCCACAAATCGCAAAGGCGCCCAAACCAACAGCCAAAGTGATGGAGACAACACTCCAAACTGGATGGAGAAGAAACGCTGCGAGCATCATGAATGTCGTCTGGGCCAGGAATGATCCGCAGTTGAAGTATCTCCGAACCTGGCCAGTCGTTAGATATCCCTTGACTTGCGTCCAGTCCGCCAGATAACCGCCAACAGCCAGCAAGCAAGTCATTGCGAGGTAAGGAACAGCAGAGAGGAAGCCACTCTCCCCCAAATCGAAGCCAAGAGTGTCTTCAAGAGAACTCCATGATAAACTTCACATATTACAGATTCAGGGTTAGACTTACCGATGAGGAACGCCGGAAGCTGCGTCATGAGGGTGTAAAAGCCCCAGTTTTCGGCAAAATGCGATGCCACGATAGCCCAAACTGCTGTCGAAGTGACAATATCCTTCCAAGGATGCTTGATCTTCTGCTTCTCATTGGAGCCAATGCTGCTGAGGATGTAGGTCTTCTCCGCCTCGGAGATGTAGGGATCAGTCTCAGGGCCAGGCTTGATGATTGCCAGCCAGGCGACACACCAGGCACAGCCCAAGGCTCCGAAGCAGTAGAAGACACTCTCCCAGCCCCAGTTGACGGCCAAGAGACTGGACAAGGGCAGGGAAACCACCGTGCCGAAGTAGCTGCCCGAGAAGGCGAAGCTCGCCATCCGCGATCGCTCGTACATTGGCGCCCATCGGCTGAAAATGGCATGCATGCAGGGAAACGTGATTCCCTGGAATGTGAAAAGCCACTTTAGATAAAACGAAGAGATTTCAGCTGGGCGAGAGAGACCTACTTCAAACAGCCCCTCAATTATCCGCACCGCCACGAGTACGTAGATATTGAATTTCGCTGCCAGCGGAGTGAGTAGCGTCATCACGGCCGTGACCCCAATTCCCAACCCAAAAACCTACGAGAGAGGCAAGGTCAGGCGCGGCTATTGAATGCTAATAAGGGCTTACATAGTGGCCGCCGATCTTCGATGCGATTATGCCACCCAATATCTGAGTGCAGATGTAGCCATAGAAGAAGGAGCTGAGGACCAGGCCTTGCTGCTTCGAGTCCCAGTCGAACTCCGCCTTCTCCACCACTGTTCCATCGTCCAGAGTCACGTTCCTCGGCTCGGTCATTGCCACGATCGCGACACTGAGATTCACTCTCAGTGCATAAGCATTGATGAAGCCAAGGAACGCCAGCACCACCAAGATGTAGCGTCTCTGTTGCCAGAATTTCCACGTCAACTGAGTCCCTCGTGGAGGACCCAATTGGCTACCAGATGAAAGATGCTTTTCAACAAAAATCCCTCATCTTTCTCCCAAGATCGTCGCTCACCTGTTGCTTATCGTCATATTTTCGGCAACTCTATTACTTTCCCCGCCCTTCATGACTTTTTCGCACTTGCGTAAGCTTCACAGTAAGATTCACGATTCTAACTTAAAATGAAATTGCGCTGTTCACACGCTAAGCGATGGGAATCGACTGATTCCAAGTTGGGGGAATTTCATTCACAGAACTCAGCACTTCAGGTGTAAATGCTGTTGTAAATGTTTAATTTCACTGTTGGAAATGTGTTAAGTATTTTGTCGTGTGTTTGTGTTTTGGCGGCTTTGTATGTGCGAAAGGTGAACAATTTATTGATGAGAATCGAAAAGGGGTTTATAGCCAAGTGGTATGAAAAGTCATTTCCAAAAAGATCATATAGAAAAGCAATAAAGAGACGTTTCAGTCTCTTAACATAGTAATCAGCAATAATCTTTGAGTAATATTTACGGTTAATGACCATACAAGCATGAATATACATTAAATATACTTCACTTTTGCATACATGACAAATGAAAATAATCATTTTGCTGGTATTGCAAAAACAAGTAATGTTAAGTGGCTTGTCTTCCTCCTACACGCTGGAAAGAAACAAACATCTTTTTATCTGCAAATTAACCCTCAACGCGCTTCAGATTGTGTCGCAGGTGGAATTTTGCCACTTTTCGCCCACTCTTGGACGCTTCCTTTCGCAAACATCGCATAAATCACAGTTCCGAGAATGCAGAATCCCGTGGAAATGTAGAAGACGATTTTCCACTCATCCTGAGTGCCATTTCGAACGATAAATCCTGCCAAAGTCGGTGTCACAATTCCAGGAAGTGTGCCGAAAGTGTTGGAAACTCCCATTATGATTGAGGCGTAATTCGGTGCGAAATCCAAAGGATTTGTGCTGTAAAATATAAAGAAAAGGAATAAAATTAGAACAAAACTGATGAAACGATTCGCCTAGTCATACAAAAAAGAGGTCCTTGAAAACGCCGTCACGCCGACCGCGAGAATGAGGAACACAATGATTGTCGTGGCGTCGCTGGAGTTGGACATGATGACGAGAAATGCTCCGCTGAGGAGAAAGCCGATGGCGATGCCGCTCTTCCTCACGTTCTGCGTGCTCAGGATCTTCCGCGAGCGCAGGAAGTCGCTCAAGGGACTCGCGACGGCTGCCAAGCAGATGAAGACGAGGTAAGGCGCAGCCGCCAGAATGCCCGTGGTTCCCAGGTTGAACTTGAGGATGTCGTTGAGGAAGGTCGGGATCTGCGTGAGGAACGTGTAGTTCGTCCACGTGTCGCAGAAGTTGGCCGTGATGAGCGCGTAAACGGCGGAAGAGGTGAAGATGGCCTTCCAAGGCGGCCGAAGGCTTTTCTTGTCCCGCGAGTCCTCCAGATTCGACTGGATGTAGAGTTTCTCCTCGGGAGAAATGCGAGGATCGCTCTCAGGATCTCTCTTTATGTAAACCATCCACACTATGAACCACACGAAGCCGAAACCGCCTGCAAAACGCCACTGATTAGCAAGAAGGCAAACTAAGAAGTGAGAAATACTGACCGAAGACGTAGAAAATGCTGTCCCAGCCCAAATACTGGGCGAAAAGGCCGGACAACAGGAAGGATCCGAAGGTGCCCAAGTGACTTCCGCTGTGAACAAATCCCGACATCGTCGTTCTCTCGTAGATCGGCGCCCAACGCGAATAGACGTCTTGGACACTCGGATAAACGACGCCCTGGAAAAGTCACACAGATTAGAGGAGAATTAAATTCACAAGGGTTGAATCCTCACCTCAAACAGTCCGATGATAATCCTCGCGATCATCAGCGGATACATTCCCAACTTGGCAGCCAGAGGCGATAACATCATCAGGACAGAACTTCCTCCAATTCCAATCCCGAAAACGACGTGACCTCCGAAGCGAGCCGCCAATATTCCACCGAAAAGCTGAGTGCAGAAATACCCGTAGAAAAAGGAACTGAGTATCCATCCTTGCTCTTCAGAATCCCAGTCAAATTCCTGTTCTTTCTCAATTATCGTTCCATTCTCAGTTGTCACGTTCAATTTTCTTGTCATTGCAACAATTGCCACGCTGAAACTCACTCTCAAGGCGTAGACGTTGAAGAAACCCAGAAGACCCATGATGGTAACGATGGATCTTCGAGATTTCCATATTCGCCAGCCTGTTGGCCTATAAGAAATGTCAGCTTTTGCATCAAGATCACTCTGATTGGCAGGCGATAATAGAGATTTCAGTTCTTGGCCGTCTGAAGGCTTTTCACTTGTCGATTCCATTGAAATTTATTACTGCGTGAAGTTCTGTGTTTCAGGAAGGATATTTTGCTGTTATTTATGTTTTCACTTTCACTGTTTCAGGAGAAATTCTCCCTAGAATATGTTTTGCCCGTGATTTTCGCTGAGAAAAGTGTCACGCGCATTTTCTCGTCAGATTCACAATACGTTTTATAATGTTTATTTATCAAATTTAGAGCTATATAGTCATAATATACTTTATGGATATTATGGCAAAAAGTAAGATTATATAAACATTTTCCAGAAGCCGGAATTTGCGGATGATATTATTGCTAAAATTCCTAATAAATAATCATGAGCGATTGTTGTTATTGTAATAAATTCTATTCTATGTTTCGAAAAGATTTACAGACCGTTTTATGTAACCCAGAACAAATTCCATGTAATTTCTACACAATTTGCAAGCACATTTGATGACAGAGATCAGTTGATGATAAAGAGATCGCCACTATAACGTCAGTCTCAATGGCTTGTATATTTCAATCCCATATCAATCACGATTCGCTTCGACACTTCCGTTTTTTCTAGCCTCATTTGCATCCTCCTTGGATGATTGATTCTCCTCGGCGGGCAGAATGGTTTGCTGAGCCCACGGCTGAAGTTCTCCTTTGGCCAGCAGCCAGTAGATTATGCATCCGGCGGCGAAAACGCCGCTCGTGATGAAGAAAACTGTCCTCCACTGCTCTTTGGTGCTGTTGGTGACGATGTAGCCCGTGAGCAGGGGACTCACGATGCCCGGAACGGTGCCCATGGTGTTGGAGAAGCCCAGAATCACTGAGGCGTGGTTTGGCGCCAAATCGAGGGGATTCGCTCTAGAAAACAGAGATCAATTGATCACTTCTTCACAGTGAATTCACTTCACTCAGCGACGCTCTTACAGAAAGCCAGACATCGTGAGTGCACTCAGACCCACGGCGATCACGATGCACGCCACGGCGCCGCTCGGGTTCACCAGGTACGACGTGAGCAGGAGGAAGGCGATCTGGATGACGAAGCCGAAGCAGATGAAGTACTTTCGCACTTGGCGCGTGGTCAGGATCTTGCGCTCCTGCAGAGTATCGGCGGCATATCCTGACAACGCCATCAGGCAGATCATCATGACGTACGGAAGAGCGGCCAGGAAACCCGTGGAGCCCAAATCGAAGTCAAGAGTGTCTGGAGATAGAGATTAGCGTCTCTTAAAGTAAGATCTCTTAGCGTAATAATTAATGAATTTCCATTCCGTGCACAGTGTTTGTAAACAATATTGCACAGCGAATAGATAAGAGGGTAATTACTGCTGAATTATCTATTGTTCGCCGAGGGGTCATAAACTCCCCACAAAGTGTGTTGTGATTTTTCTGTACCTCTGAGGAAGGTCGGCAGCTGTGTTAAGTAGGTGTAGGCTCCCCAGGTTTCTGCGAAATTGGCTGCCACGATGGCCCAAACGCCCGTTGAAGTGACGATCGACTTCCAGGGATGCTTGATCCTCTGACTGGCCAGATCTCCAATGCTGCTCTGAATGTATTTCTTCTCTTCCTCAGATATGTAGGGATCTTTGCCCGGACTGGCTTTCACAATCGTCAGCCAGGCGGCACACCAGACACACCCAATCGCACCTAAGACGGAAAGACAGAATCGATTCTTGAGAACAAATCAAGCAACTCTTGAGTATTTGCTTCCTTGTAGCGACACAAGTGCTTCCATGTGATCAAAGAATTGATTAGCGCGCCAAGCATGCGAGATAATCACAGGCATTCCACAGTCTGCATTCTTGTCTCACCTGACACGTAGAAGACACTCTCCCAGCCCCAGTGCTGCGCCAGAACGCCGGACAGAGGCATGGCGACCACAGTGCCAGCATAGCTGCCAGCATAGGCGATGCTGGACATGCGCGAGCGCTCATAGACCGGCGCCCAGCGCGCCCAAATGGCGTGAATGCACGGATAAGTGACCCCCTCGAAGATGCCCTCGATCACCCGAATGGCCACCATGACGTAGATGCTGGCGTTGGCCGCCACCGGAGTGAGAAGAGTGAGAAAGGCCGTCATGCCAATTCCGGCTCCAAACACCTGCAATTGCGGCAAAAAGTGCCATCATTTCGTTGAGAAACTTTTACTCTGCGCACGTTTGTACTTTCTATTAGATTCTGCATCAAGTCTCAAGAGTGAGGTGGAAAATGAGCGGCTCATTTAATGGATATTGTGGGCAGATAATAATGATGATTATGCAATGAGTTGGTGAGCGATTAGGCAAATGAGTGGAACTCGCGTGTGCATTTTCAGTGAAATTGAGGAATTTAATCAGCAAACGTGTGGCTAATTGGAAATCAGCGAACTCACATAATGTCCGCCGATCTTGGAGCCAAGGTAGCCGCCCAGCAGCTGTGTCCAGATGTAGCCATAGAAGAAGGAGCTGAGGATCAGTCCCTGCTGCTTCGAGTCCCAGTCGAAGTGCTGCTCCTGCACAACAGTTCCATTCTCAAGAGTCACGTTGAACTTCTGCGTCATCGCCACAATCGCCACACTGAGGTTCACACGCAGTCCGTAGACATTGAAGAAGCCCAGGAAGGCCATCATCACGACAATGTAGCGTCTGGTCTTCCAGAACATCCACGTGACATTCCCAATCGCATCATTGCTGCAACACAAAAAACATCAGTGTGTATTTTTCTCGCCCTGATAGATGCATTTCCTCAATGCTCGAGATGGGAAAACAATATGAAAAAAAAAAATCATCTTGGCCTCCGGAGCGGCATTGAAAAAGGTGCGTACGTTTTTCATTTCTCTCCTAACTTCACATCAAATTTCGTTATCACTGGAGATGAGTGTAAGTGGCAATTTATGGGTTCTATCAGATGTTTTCACCTGTTGACAGTGTCTGTCGATTGGGTGTTGACCAATTGGGCGCTGGATCGCTGAATGCCACCAATTTCGTCTTCCTTCATTGTCAATCACTCGCTTCCACGTGATTCCGTCAAGTTTTACTCAGGGCAGGAATCGAAATCACGTCAATTCACGACACAAAAGCCCACAATTGCGATCATTAGCGCGCGAAAAAAATCATATACAGTACTCATAAGCGATACCGCTTCACACAACAGCCGAGAATGTACTGAGGAGAGTTTTGATAAAAGTGGCTGAAAGACCCTCTCGTTCGTGGAATTCTATCATGCACGTCGGTTTAAAGCGAACAATTTGAGAGAGTTTTATATCCATCGCAAATGAGATTAACGTCAAGTCGAACTACTCGACGAGAAATAGGAAATATCGTTACATTTTCGGATGAAAGACGCTCTTTATGCCCAAAAAAACAATCTATTTAACTTAGTGATAATGAGGAGACATTTAAACTTGTCCATAAATCATACATTTAAATTGTACTATTGTCTCTGCAAATAAACAGATGACCTTACAGAAGATCATATCTCTTAACGCATTTCACGCGCTTCAGACTGTGTCGCAGGTGGAGTTTTGTCACTTTTCGCCCACTCTTGGACGCTTCCTTTCGCTAATATCGCATAAATCACAGTTCCGAGAATGCAAAATCCCGTGGAAATGTAGAAGACAATCTTCCACTCATCCTGAGTGCCATTTCGAACGATAAATCCTGCCAAAGTCGGTGTCACGATTCCAGGAAGTGTGCCGAAAGTGTTGGAGATTCCCATTATGATTGAGGCGTAATTCGGTGCGAAATCCAAAGGATTTGTGCTGCAAAAACAAAGTAAGTTACTGACAATTCATGACACGGAATTCCCATCTTACAAATAAGACGTTCTGGAGAATGCTGTCACGCCGACAGCCAGAATGAGGAAGACAATGATTGTCGTGGCGTCGCTGGAGTTGGACATGATGACGAGAAATGCTCCGCTGAGGAGAAAGCCGATGGCGATTCCACTCTTCCTCACGTTCTGCGTGCTCAGGATCTTCCGCGAGCGCAGGAAGTCGCTCAAGGGACTCGCGACGGCCGCCAAGCAGATGAAGACGAGGTAAGGCGCAGCCGCCAGAATGCCCGTGGTTCCCAGGTTGAACTTGAGGATGTCGTTGAGGAAGGTCGGGATCTGCGTGAGGAACGTGTAGTTCGTCCACGTGTCGCAGAAGTTGGCCGTGATGAGCGCGTAAACGGCGGAAGAGGTGAAGATGGCCTTCCAAGGCGGCCGAAGGCTTTTCTTGTCCCGCGAGTCCTCCAGATTCGACTGGATGTAGAGTTTCTCCTCGGGAGAAATGCGAGGATCGCTCTCAGGATCTCTCTTTATGTAAATCATCCACACGATGAACCACACGAAGCCGAAACCGCCTGCAAAACGACACTGATTAGCAAGAAGGCAAACTGAGAAGTGAGAAATGCTGACCGAAGACGTAGAAAATGCTGTCCCAGCCCAAATACTGGGCGAAAAGGCCGGACAACAGGAAGGATCCGAAGGTGCCCAAGTGACTTCCGCTGTGAACAAATCCCGACATCGTCGTTCTCTCGTAGATCGGCGCCCAACGCGAATAGACGTCTTGGACACTCGGATAAACGACGCCCTGGAAAAGTCACACAGTTTAGAGGAGAATTAATATAACGAGAGTTGAATCCTCACCTCAAACAGTCCGATGATTATCCTCGCGATCATCAGCGGATACATTCCCAACTTGGCGGCCAAAGGCGATAACATCATCAGGACAGAACTTCCTCCAATTCCAATCCCGAAAACGACGTGACCTCCGAAGCGAGCCGCCAATATTCCGCCAAGGAATTGAGTGAAAACATACCCGTAGAAAAAGGAACTGAGAACGATTCCTTGTTGCTTAGAATCCCAGTCAAATTCTCGTTCCTCAATTATCGTTCCATTCTCAGTTGTCACGTTCAATTTTCTTGTCATTGCAACAATTGCCACGCTGAAACTCACTCTCAAAGCGTAAACGTTGAAGAAACCCAGAAGACCCATGAAGGTGACGATGAATCTTCGGGATTTCCAAAACTTTCCTCTTGGCCTGAAGAATTTGAACAATTTTTAGTTCGTTTTGCAAACATCTTGTTAGTCGAAATCCTTTTTTCTAAACTAGTATAAAACTGAAGAAGAATGAACTTTGTGCATGAAAATAATGGGCAAAACCTATCGAATGACGTAAAGTGGGAAATAAAATGTTTAATTAACTCACAATTCCGCATTAGTTTCCGTGTTTGGCGCCAAATCCTGCGTAGACACTTCAAATTTGCCGGGACAGTGATTGAGATCCATGTTCACTGTTGAAAATCACAATGAAGACTGACAACAGCAAATTTTACCTACCGGTTCTACAAGGTGTATAAAATGCTTTCTAATTGGCACAGAGTCGAATGTTTCACTTTACGAGGGCACTAAAGATTGCTTTATTCTCCTGAGTACATCCAGTCGGCTTCCTAAATGTAAACAAACCCAGTTTTTGCACTTTTCCCCAAACCAGTTTCCCGAATCTTTGGTTTTTTTTCTACGTGACTAATATTTCCGCTGAAATACTAAATGGTGTGTATAATAAATCTGCAATTGTAATTTCATTCATAATCTCACTGCTCATAATAATTAGTTGTAGAAGTTGTAGAATTTATTCACTTCTAGATATACACACTACCTTAACGTATTATAATAACACTCAGGAAATTCTCAAATATCTGGTAAGATTAATTTTATAATGACTGGAATTTCTCATGGCTGTCGCTCAGATGGATTCTTTTGGGGGCTTTTTGCCCACTCTTGGACAGTTCCTTTCCCGAAAATGGCATAAAACACAGTTCCAACTATGCAAAATCCAACGCCGATGTAGAAGACAGTTTTCCACTCTGCCGGAGTTCCATTTTGCACCACAAATCCTGCCAGGATTGGAGTAACAATGCCTGAAACAGTGCCGAATGTATTGGAGATTCCCATCATAATTGAAGCGTAGTTGGGAGCAAAGTCTTGCGGATTAATACTGCAATAAATCACAAGTGGTTAATAGTTCTTTCCTGGATTGAGATTGAGTGCAGACTTACAAGAAGTTTATTTTCGAAAAGGCCGTAATTCCCACTGAAATGATAAGACATGCGACAACAGCCGTGGCATTGCTTATGTTCGTCATGATAATGAGAAAAGTTCCACTGCCAAGGAATCCAATGGCAATGAATGTCTTTCTAACTTGCTGCGTTGTGAGAATTCCTCTGGATCTGATGTAGTCAGTGAGTGGACTGGCGATCATCACCATGAAGATGTACACGAGATAAGGGGCAGCCGCCAGAATGCCCGTCGTTCCCAGGTTGTACTTCAAGACGTCGTTGAGAAACGTTGGAATTTGCGTCAAGAATGTGTAATTTGTCCAAGTGTCGCACGTGTTGACAACCACAAGAGCACAAACTGCAGGGGAAGTCACAATAGCCTTCCAAGGTGGCCGAATATCAGCCTGATTGGCTGTTTTCTCAATATTCGACTCAATGTAGAGCTTTTCCGCGGGAGAAATGCGAGGATCACTCGCAGGATCTTTCTTAATGTACATCATCCAAACAATGAACCAAACACAACCGATACTTCCTGAGAAAAGAAGTGCAATTAGAATTTGTACAAAGTACAGAACGACGGGTGAATCGAAAACGATGAAGAGTCGATTTATCATAGTTTTATCATCAAAACGCCTTTTCAGAAAATTATTTTAAATTTTCAGGATTATCATAAAATGTTTTCTAGACATTGAATTAATATTTCTCACATCTTTTCAATTTTTTTCACTTATGGTGAAAACACAGCATTTGTAATTTGTAATTTGTCCACGATCATCTCTTTCTTCCCCACGCGTATCGTGTATTTTCCTTCCTACTCGCACAGTGGCTGTCTCGACATGTCAGAGTCAGACGCTGACAGAGTAGGAAGGAAAATACACGAAACGCGAGGGGAAGAAAGAGATGATCGTGGACAAATTACAAATTACAAATGCTGTGTTTTCACCATTAAAAACTTAAGAAAAAAAATTTAAGTAAAGTATGAAAAGTTGTTTATTTTAAAACTTTTATGGATAAAATCGACTTTGGAAAGTAATATTTTCATATTTTCTATTAACTTTGTCATATTTTAGTCAGAAATTTCAATAAATATCAATAAAATCAACTGAAATATTTCTAAAATAATCAATTCAGAGCAATATTTGCACTTGAACGTACGATTTGAAAGCGTTTTGAGGCTTTTGAAGTAAATTTGACAAATTTCGCAGTTGTTTTACTGCTAAATTTTCAACTTTGCTCTACTGAAAATTGCGATTTTGGCTTTTCATAGTTTTCGATTCACTCGTCGAGAAGATGATCACTAACCGAAAACATAGAAAATGCTTTCCCAGCCCAAATATTGGGCAAATATTCCCGATGTGAGGAAGGAAACAAAGGTTCCAATTTGACTTCCACTGTGAACTATTCCTGATATCAAAGTTCTCTCATAAATGGGCGCCCAACGGGAGTAAACGTCTTGAATACTCGGATAAGAGACGCCCTAAAACGCATAATTATGGTTATAATTGTGATTTTCCGTTTTCACAGTGTTTCTACCTCGAAAACTCCTATCAAAATCCTCGTCACAACCAGAGGATAAAGGCCGAGTTTCGCTGCGCCCGGAGACAACATCATGAGAATAGAACTTCCTCCGGTTCCAATGCCAAAAACGATGTGACCTCCAAATTTGCGTGCCAAAATCCCCCCGAAAAGCTGAGTGAAAATGTAGCCGTAGAAGAAGGAACTGAGAACCAGTCCTTGTTCCTTTGAATTCCAGTCAAACTCCTGCTCCTCCACGATCGTCCCGTTCACCAGGGTGACATTGTGCTTCCGGGTCATCGCCACGATCGCCACACTGAGACTCACCCTCAAGGCGTAGACATTGAAGAAGCCCAGAAGTCCCATAACGGCCACAACATATCTTCGAGACTTCCAAAATTTCCAACTCAATTGATTTCTGGCTGACTTTATTTGATCAATATTTTCTTCACTGGAATTTGGTGCCAAATTCTGCGTCGACACCTCAAATTTATCCCGACACTGAACTAAATCCATGGTTCACGCTCGAACTCACTCTCTAGACTGAGGCGCACGTGTAAATGAAATACAATAAGCACCGAGCAATTTCACGGAAAAACTTATAGCACTCTGAATGACCAATTATGTTTGTGTTTTTTTAGAACAATCGCCATCAGTTTTATTATTTCGGAGTTTTATTGGCGTAGCTTCGAAAGTGTGATAAGAAAATTTGGCAATTTTACAGCTTTTTTACGCTGACGCTGTACAATTATTCATTAAGATTCTACTCTAGCATCAAAGCAATTGATAACGCGTTGTCTGATGTTCTTTTACAATATCCGTGTTCACAGCTCGAAATCACTCTTTAAACTGAATTTCGCCACAGAAAAAAAAACAAAAAGTGTACGATAAGCTGGAGCAGATCAAATTCATCTGAAGGTTACTGGCACATCAAGTGGCACTTACGTTGAAATGACACTTGAATTATTCCACTGTTTTGAGCTTTTTCCTCTCTTTCAGTGCATTTCTATTTGCCAATTCTTCAATGTCAATTTTTGCCCAGGGTTGAAGTCGTCCTCGCACGAAAAACCAGTAGAAAATGCATCCGAACAAGTAAATTCCGGCTGCAATGTAGAAAACAATTTGCCACTGTTCTTTCGTCTTATCAGTCACAATAAAGCCCGTCACAATTGGGCTGATGACACCAGGAAGAGCCCCGAAAGTGTTTGCCAAGCCCATCAAGACAGACGCGTGACTGGGAGCCAAATCCAGCATATTAGGTTTATATCCTGATGACGTGAACGCTCCAGCGCCAACGCCAAGACTTATGAAGACGACACTTAAGACTGGATCAGTTGTGAAGGCCGTGAGAAGCATGAACGTCATTTGCGCGACAAAAGCTCCACAATTGAAATATCGGCGAACTTGACCTGTCCTCAAGTGTCCTTTCCGGAGCAGCCAATCAGCAAAGAAGCCCGTGAAGAAAAGCAGACAAGTTAGCACCATGTAAGGAATTGAGGCCATGATTCCTGTTGTGCCCACATTGAAGTTCAGAGTGTCTGTCGAAAGACAAAAGCCTTTAAGCAACTTTGTAAAGGTGATTTACCCCAGAAATTGCAACATGATAATGACCTTTCGTGAAAAGTGAGTTTGTTATTGAATTCAAATCAAGATTCAAATGTTGCGTTGCAAATATTCTGGCAATTATTTCCATTAATACGCAAGTCGGCGATTTTTATTCAAGATCACATGTGTCTGATTATCGCCACTGGAGAAAAGAAGTGTTGAGAGTTCAGTGAAAATTGAGAGTTCAAGCAGAGAGAAGCTATATTAATTCATGTGAAAATGTGATATTAAGTTGTGATTTAATAATTACCATTCAAGAACATCGGCAGTTGAGTGAAGAGAGTGTGTGATCCCCACATTGAACTGAAACTTGCAACTATGATTGCCCACACTGGCATTGATGTCAGAATATCCTTCCAAGGATGCCTGATATTCTTCACTTGACTCCGATCTCCAATACTGGACAAGATGAATTGCTTTTCCGCCTCTTTTATGAATGGATCGACTTCTGGATTGGCTCTGACGATGAACAGCCAAGCGAGGTACCAAAGGCATCCAAAGGATCCTGCAAGAAAATACCTAATTGAGATCCTGAGACTAATGTTTTGTGTAAATGAACTTTACCAAAAATGTAGAAAACACTTTCCCAACCCAAGGCGACACTAATTATGCCTGAGAGAAGCATTGCAACAAGGATTCCAGCTTGATTTCCAGAATATGCAGCGTTTCCCATAAAGGATCTCTCATAAACCGGCGCCCAGTGAGCCCAAATTTCGAAAATTGACGGATAAACAACTCCCTGAAATACAAGTAATAAAAGAGTAGATGATAAGAAATAAAATTACTTCGTAACTGATAACTATTTTGAACATTTTACCCCAACAATTCCTTGAAGAATTCTGATTATCAAAAGCAGATCGAAGTGTGATTTTGCTGCAATCGGTATTAACAGGGTTAAAGCTGCAGTTAAGCCTGTTCCTAATCCAAATACCTGTAATTAAATCATGAGATTGCAATCATAATTTCAAAATAGTATAAACGTTTAAATCAAATTCTCACCAAATTACCACCAATGCGAGATGCAAGAAATCCTCCCAAAAGCTGCGTTGTTATATATCCATAATAAAATGAACTGAGAAGATATCCTTTGGTTGTTGAATCCCAATCGAACTCTTGTCTTTCCACAACTGAGCCATCTTCAAGAGTGACGTTGATCTTCTCCGTCATCGCGACGATCGCAACACTGAGATTAATTCGAAGAGTGAAAAGATTGAATAAACCGAAGAAAACCATCAGAACAACATGATAGCGACGCTTTCTCCAGAACGGAAGCTTGCTGTCTTCCAATATTTCTGCGGAACTGGATGAAATAAGACGAAATTTAGCGTAAAGCTTTGAATAACTCGCTAATGATCATACATATTACCCATATTCACTCATTATTACGAAAAAGCGTAGAGCAATTTTAGTGTATTTCTTTTGAAAGTTTCATCCGAACTGATGAAAACCAAAGATTCAGTAATTCATAAAGCGTTAGAGAGTTGAGTTGTCCTGTTGCAGTAGGAAAGTCAGTCCTTCTGTTTTTTTCAACACTTTATTTGGTCACTTTATATAATTTTGATGTTATACACTTGACGATTCTGGAACAACTGCTTAACAAGTAAGTAACGACTGCTCAGGAACAACTTTTCGTCTTATAAAAACTCTCCTCTTCCTTCCCCTCATTTTCCCCATCCAGTGGTCACGTATGCCAAATTCGCTTTTTACATTATTAAGTTATTTTTACCCTCTATGGTCAGCTAGCTATTAGTCCAGATTTCCACTTTTCTTAGTCAAATGCGCATGCGCACACTAATTTTAGTGGCACTTAATGAGTTGAATTCCTTTATAAATTCGAGTGAAAAGCAGCTAGAAACAGCCAGAAGCCCAATTTCGATGTCTAGTATACTTTTTGAACGCTTACCGTTCGAATATTGTAAGGTGATTGACAAGTTTCTTCTAGTCAGTGTTCTAGTGTTGTATTGTACATTGAGCGTAACTGATCTATTTTAAAAATACAAAGAATTTGTCCACATTTCATATATCTATAATTCAGAACTATTTCGATTCTCATTCTCTTTCAGAGCTTTTCTGTTTGCCAACTCTTCAATATCAACTTTCGCCCATGGCTGAAGATTTCCTCTGACGAAAAACATGCAGAAAATGCATCCAAACAAATAAACTCCAGCAGCAATATAGAAAATTATTCGCCATTGATCTCTAGTCCTGTCAGTCACAATGTAACCTGTTACGATGGGAGTCACGATCCCTGCTATAGTTCCAAATGTATTTGATAAGCCCATAATGATTGATGCATGACTGGGAGCCAAATCGAGAGGATTTACGACATATCCTGACCATGCAAAAGCTCCGGCGCCAACGCCGAGACTTATGAAGACAATGCTTAAAGTGGGATCAGTTGTGAAGGCCGTGAGAAGCATGAAAGCCATTTGAACGATGAAAGCTCCGCAATTGAAGAATCTTCGTACTTGACCTGCCCTAAGATATCCCTTTACTTGTGTCCAGTCAGCAAGAAAGCCAGACACAAAGAGAAGAGCCGTAACAACCATGTAAGGAATGGAAGCCATTATTCCTGTGGTGTCCAAATTGAAATTCAGAGTATCTACAAAACAAAACATTCACTGAAAGGATTTCAGAATAAAGCAACAACGAAAACATACCATTCAAGAACATCGGCAGTTGGGTAAGAAGTGTATAAGATCCCCAACTAAAGGTAAAACCTGCAACTACAGCTGCCCAAACAGCCATGGACGTGAAAATGTCCTTCCAAGGATGCTTGATGTTCTTCACTTGACTGCGATCTCCAATACTCGACAAAATGAACTGCTTTTCCGCCTCTTTTATAAGTGGATCGACTTCTGGATTGGCTCTCACAATGAACAGCCAAGCGAGGTACCAAAGGCATCCAAAGGATCCTGTATAAATATTTTCTCATGAGTTTAGGAAGCTAGATTGTGTTAAAGTTCCTCTAGAGTTACCGAAAGAGTAGAAAATACTCTCCCAACCCCAAGAAACACCCATAATTCCCGAGAGAAGCATCGCTGCGATGATTCCGATGTAGCTTCCTGTATAAGACACATTTCCCATAAAGGATCGTTCATAAACTGGCGCCCATTGAGCCCAAATGGCTAGAACGGAGGGAATCGCTGCTCCCTATTAATTATTCATTAATGAAAAAATTATAAAATATTTAGAATATATCAAGGAATATATAGATAAGTTACTGCAAAAACGCCTTGAAGGATTCTGACTGTGAAAAAGAGTGCTAAGTGTGTTTTTGCTGCAATTGGCGCCAACAATGTTAAAGCAGAAGCTAAACCAATTCCGATTCCGAATATCTGAAACGAGTGTTTAATTTCAGATGTTTATCTTACTTACATTCATTCTTATTTCACTTATTTGCGACGAGATAAACAGATTGTTGAATGACATTCATAAGATAAGCTCACCAAATTACCACCAATGCGAGAAGCAAGAAATCCTCCCAGGATTTGTGTCGTTATATATCCATAATAAAATGAACTAAGAAGATATCCTTTGGTCGTAGAATCCCAATCGAACTCTTGTCTTTCCACAACTGAGCCATCTTCAAGAGTGACGTTAATCTTCTCCGTCATCGCGACGATCGCAACACTGAGATTAATTCGAATAGCGAAGAGATTAAATAAACCGAAGAAAACCATCAGAACAACATGATAGCGACGCTTTCTCCAGAACGGAAGCTTGCTGTCAAGCTTAATGTCTTCCATTTCACTGAACTGTTTTATGCTTGAAAGCTTGATCTAAACTGAAGTGAATTTCACAGCTAATATCATCTTTGCTGAAGTCGTAGTTCCACCTACATTATGTAATTAACAGCTGATAAAGAGAATCTTCGTGGATTTATCAGTAATTTCATTGGCTTCACTACCATTTTCGGCATGAAAACATTTTTGAAATGTGTGTCTTGTCTTATTCTATCTGATTTGCTTAGACAGAATTCACGTGCGAAATGTACATAGGGCAGAAACACATACAGAACCAATTCATATGAATTCTTAGAGAGAAATTCGGTGTTTGGAATAATTCTTATTATTATTTATTGTATTATTCTGACATTTTACTCTTGTTTTTACTCTCTTTCAGAGCATTTCTATTGGCTAATTCTTCAATGTCGATTTTCGCCCAGGGTTGAAGTCGTCCTCTAACGAAAATCCAGCAAAAAATGCATCCGGCTAAGTAAACTCCAGCAGCAATGTAGAATATTATTCGCCACTGATCTCTGGTCTTATCAGTCACTATGTAACCTGTCAAGATAGGACTCAGAATTCCAGCCAGGGTTCCAAAGGAATTAGATAAGCCTAGGATAATTGAAGCATGACTGGGAGCCAAATCGAGAGGATTTACGACATATCCTGACCATGCAAAAGCTCCAGCGCCAACGCCAAGACTTATGAAGACAATGCTTAAAGTGGGATCAGTTGTGAAGGCCGTGAGAAGCATGAAAGCCATTTGAACGATAAAAGCTCCGCAATTGAAGAATCTTCGGACTTGACCTGTCCTCAGATATCCCTTTACTTGTGTCCAATCAGCAAGAAAGCCAGACACAAAGAGAAGAGCTGTTATCACCATGTAAGGAATGGAAGCCATGATTCCTGTGGTGTCCAGATTGAAATTCAGAGTATCTGAAATGTCAGCATAAACGTTAATTAACTATATAAATTTGTAACGTAGAAAATTACCATTCAAGAACATCGGTAATTGTGTTAGGAGAGTGTGTGACCCCCACATGGCAGTAAAATTGCCCATCACGACAGCCCAAACAGCCATGGACGTGAAAATGTCCTTCCAAGGATGCCTGATATTCTTCACTTGACTTCGATCTCCAATACTGGACAAGATGAACTGCTTTTCCGCCTCTTTTATGAATGGATCGACTTCTGGATTGGCTCTGACGATGAACAGCCAAGCAAGGTACCAAAGACATCCTAAAGATCCTGTGAGGATATTTTTTCACAGTAATTTAGCAACCTTATTTGTGTAATGTATGTATTTACCAAAAAAGTAGAAAACGCTTTCCCAACCCCAAGAAACACTCATAATGCCTGAAAGGAGCATCGCTGCGATGATTCCGATGTAATTTCCTGTGTAAGACACATTTCCCATGAAGGATCTCTCATAAACCGGCGCCCATTGAGCCCAAATGGATAGAATTGATGGATAAACCACGCCCTGCAAACAAGCAGTTATCGAAACATTGTGTTTAATGTGATTTTCATGCAGCTTTACCCCAACAATCCCTTGAAGAACTCTGACTGTGATGAAGAGTGCCAAGTGTGTTTTTGCTGCTACTGGAGTAAGCAAAGCTAAAGCTGCTGTTAAACCTGTACCGAGTCCGAATATCTGCAACATAAAACCTGATAACATGTTGAAAGTTTGAAAAATTCTCATCAACTTGCTAAATGGCCGCCAATGCGGGAAGACAAGAATCCTCCCAAGATTTGTGTCGTTATATATCCATAGTAGAAGGCGCTGAGAATGTAGCCTTTGGTTGTTGAATCCCAATCGAACTCTTGTTCTTCCACAATTGTTCCATCTTCAAGAGTGACGTTTATCTTCTCCGTCATCGCAACGATCGCAACACTGAGATTAATTCGAAGAGTGAAAAGATTCACCAAACCGAGGAAAACCATAAAAACGACATGATAGCGACGCTTTTTCCAGAACGGAAGCTTGCTGTCCTCCAATTTTTCTGCGGAACTGAATGAATTTAAATTTGAATGATTGACAAAGCATGAATTTTATACATTAATATCACCTATGATCACTCATTGAATTTGAAATGCCTTGAGCTGTTTCAAGAAGGAAAGCTTAATACGAACTGAATGGAATGCTGATAATAGGAGAATTCGCAAGCTTTATCTGTGTTTTAAAGCTGAGATAAGACATTGTGTGAAATTATCTGTCATTTATGATTTTATTGGTCTTCATAATGCAATCTATACTATTGAACGGTCGTTTTCTTGGCTTCCTTCTCTGCCAAGTCAATTTTCGCCCACGGTTGCAGATTTCCTCTGCAGAAGAACCAGTAGAAGACAGCTCCGAAGAGATAAATTCCAGCTGTGATGTAAAATACAATATGATACTGTTCTACCTTCTTGTCAGTGACTATATAGCCTGTTATCATTGGAGCCAAAATCCCGGCCAGAGTTCCGAAACTGTTCGTAATGCCATGGATAACAGACGCGTGCGTAGGTGCCAAATCTAGGGCATTGGCTAGATATCCTGCGAAGCTGAAAGTACTGGCGCCAACTGCCAGTGAGATGTAGGTGATAGTCAAGGCGGGAGTAGTTGCGACGGTGGTGAGTATCATGAAAACCATTTCCACGAGACAAGAAACACAATTCCAGTATCGCCGAACTTGTCCGGTTCTCAAGTAACCCTTGACTTGAACCCAATCAGCTGAATATCCGGCGATAAACAGGAACACTATGCCAACTATGTAGGGAATGGCGGCAAGGATTCCAGTTGTATTCAATTCGAAGTCCATTGTATCTGAAAGACAGTTTGACTCTTGATATGATAAACTACTCAATTACCAGGCATTTCTTACCATTGAGGAATAAGGGTAATTCCGTTAAGAGCATGAATGTTCCGAACATTGATACAAAATTAGCTACCGAAACTGCCCAAACAGCTGGCGATAGTAGAATATCCTTCCAAGGATGCTTAATGTTCTTGTGTTTACTGCGTTCTCCGATGCTAGAAATGATATACTTCTTCTCGGCCTCCTTTATGAACGGATCGGACTCTGCATTTGCTCTCACCACAAACACCCATGCAATGTACCAAATGCATCCAACCACCCCGAAGACGTAGAACACACTTTCCCAACCCCAAGCAACAGTCATAAGGCCTGAGAGAGCCATCGCGGCTATCAAACCTACGTAATTTCCTGTATATGCAACATTTCCCATAAATGCTCGCTCATACACTGGCGCCCATTGAGACCAAATGCCGAGGATTGAAGGATAGGTTACGCCCTGTAAGAATTAACAATGAGTTATTGAACATAAGATTCCAAGCTGTAAATCAAAGGGGAGATAATATGGCTAGACTGTGTACACAACTTCTTGACAGACACTTCCAGACCTACAGCAGTGTTTAAAACATGCGTTTTCCTTTTTTTCTCAACCGCTTCAAGCGTCATAACCTCAAATTTAGAAGTCTTTCGCTTAAGAAGACGTCATTTTGACTTGTATGATCTTGAAAATCTACGGAGAAGCCGTATTTCAGAAATATTTGAAGATTCTAGTGGATATTTTGACATGATATAATTTTCAATCGCTCTTTTGGATGCTTTTTGGATCATAACCTAAAAATTATCTTGAGATATCTAGAAGAATGCTTGAAAGAAACTTATTCAGAATCTCTTAAATGCAAATCTGGGCAATAATATCGACAATAAGCTGAAATTTAATATTGTAGAGTAGAAAATCAATCAAACAGCTCATAAAATATGCATTTTTGTATCCTGAACCAATATTTTGGAGGTTATGATCAAACTTTGCACAATTAATTCAGTTTAACATCGGAAACTTGTAATCTTCATCAGATTTCATTGCATTTACCATCTTAGGCGCAAGAATGAACGATTTTTAAGGTTATCTTGTGGCAAAATTTGTCTTAAATTCACAACATAACCTAGAAAAATGTATGAAAAAATGAAGAGCTGTACACCACTTCTGATTGTATTATCTCCCCCTTGCTGTAAATTACCCCAATGACACCCTGAAGAACTCTAATTGTGATGAGAAAAGCTACATTAGCCTTTGTTGCTACTGGTATTAATAAAACAAGCACCGCATTGGATCCAATTCCAATTCCGAACACCTGAAAGAAATAAAGCAATAATCATTTGGTGATATGTGAGCTGAGTGCTGGACTGGTTTTTGACACGATATCTGAGAAAGTCAAGGCGTTATCAGTAGACTACCAATTACAGTTGAAGTGGCACTAAAGCAATTATGAGATTATCATGTCAAGTCTGAGGTTGAGTACGAACCAAATGGGGTCCAAAGCGAGAAGCAAGAAGTCCTCCCAGGATTTGTGTTGTTATATATCCGTAAAAGTAGGAACTGAGGATGTAACCTACGGTCGTAGAATCCCAATCGAACTCCTGTTCTTCAACAACTGTGCCATCTTCAAGAGTGACGTTGGTCTTTTGAATCATTTGAACTATCGCAACACTGAGAGTAACTCGGAGTGTCAATAGATTTACCAAACCGAAGAAAACCATAAGGACAACATGATAGCGACGCTTCCTCCAAAAAGGCACTTCAGTATCAGCAAAAGATTCACTTTCCATTCTGGATGTTCTTTCTTCACCGAACACTGGAGATCGACTGCTGAAAGAATCGCCTTTTGCAAGCCATTAAACTCTCAACCTGACGATACCATCAACATTTATCAATATAATTTGAGTATTTACTGAAGATAAAAAGACATGCAACACTGAGCAAAAACCAGCAAACTTTTTATTATCATCAAATTTGCGAAGGCTTTCGTTCATCATTTGTACTCAAGTTTGTACTTTTCTCCAACTCTTTGAGATCTAATTTGGCCCAGGGTTGTATAGTTCCCGACATGAAGAACCAGTAGACAAGAGTTCCTGTCAGGAAAATGCCCGCTGTGAGGTAGAAAATGATCTGCCACTGTTCCCGACTCTTCTCCGTCACAATATATCCTGTGAGGATGGGACTGATGATTCCGGAAAGGGTTCCAATTGTCCTGGAAATGCCTGTGATAAAGGCTGCATGACTGGGAGCAATATCCAAGGCGTTTACGAAGTATCCTGACCAAGTCAGTGCACTTGCGCCGACGCCTATCGATATGTAGACGACACTTAAGATTGGAGTGGTCGTGAAAGCCGTGAGAAGCATCGTGATGGTTTGCACGAGGAAAGATCCGCACGTGAAGTAGCGACGGACTTGTCCAGTTCTGAGATATCCTTTCACCTGAAGCCAGTCTGCCAAGTAGCCAGACACGAAGAGAACGCACACGAGAACCACATAAGGAATAGCAGACAGGATTCCAGTTGTGTCCAAGTTAAAATCTAGAGTGTCTATAAAATATACATCCTTAAATAAATGTTTTAAGAATGAATATATTCCTTGTCTCACCATTGAGAAACGTGGGCAACTGCGTGAGAAGGACTGAAGATCCCCACAGAGCCGTGAAATTAGCGACAACAATGGCTAAAACTGGTCCTGATGTGAGAATATCCTTAACAGGATGTCTGATCTTCTGGTCCTTCTTTCTATTTCCACTGCAGGACAATAATATGTACTCTTTCTCAATCTCATTTATAAATGGATCAACTTGTGGATTGGCTTTGACAACAAATATCCAACAAATGTATAAAACACATCCTAAAGCTCCTGAAAATATACTTGAATTCAGCATTTTCCCCATGAATAAAGCGTTCTCAGTCTTACCAAATATGTAAAATATACTTTCCCAACCTAGAGCCACACTTATTAGGCCAGAGAAAAGCATCGCAGCAATTGTTCCCACATAATTGCCGGTATAAGAAATATTTCCCATGAAAGATCGTTCATAAACAGGCGCCCATTCAGCCCAGATGGCAATTATAGCCGGAAAAGTGCCACCCTTTAGAGTAAGAATCAATTATAATACTATACACTTATGTGAATTAATTTTCTTCTCACTCCTGCAAATCCTTGGAGTATCCTTACGATGAAAAACAGAGATAAGTGCGTCTTTACGGCGATTGGCGTTAACAAGGCGAGTGCAGCTGTCATTGCCAGGGTTAATCCGAATATCTATAAACGATAAGATAGAAGTACATTCCATTCTAATAAAATTAAGTACTTTTTACCAGATGGCCACCGAATCGAGATGCCAGAAATCCTCCTAGAAACTGAGACACAACATATCCATAGAAGAACGAACTGAGAATATAACCTTGTGTCTTAGAATCCCAATCGAATTCTTGATGCTCAATTGTGCTTCCATCATCAAGAGTAACGTTAGTTTTCTGCGTCATTGCCACAATTGCAACACTGAGATTAATTCGCAGATTCAGAAGGATAAACAATCCCAAAAAGATCATGAAAACAACATGATAACGACGCTTTTTCCAAATTTTCAGCTCACTATCTTCCAATTGTTTCGCGGCACTTGCTTCAATGTGCATTTCTATTGCCGATTATTGAAATGCTTCACAGTCAGAGGTATCAGACAGACTAAAGTAGCGTGATATCTCCGAATTGCCACGCAAAACAGAGATAAAAGTGAAACGCAAAGGGTGTTAAGCAAGTATTCGATTTATTTTTCAATAGTCTCAGTAGTTTTATCACTGTCATATTTCGCATGCTTCGCCGCCAATTCCTCACGATCAATCTTTGCCCAGGGCTGAAGTCGTCCTCTGACGAAGAACCAGCAGAACACCGAACCAAAGAGGTAAATCGCAGCCGTTATATAGAAGACAATCTGCCACTGCGACCGACTTTTGTCCGTAACAATATAGCCCATCACAATAGGGCTCAAGATCCCAGAGAGAGTTCCGAAGGTGTTTGACAGACCGATTATAACAGATGCGTGACTGGGAGCCAAATCCAGACCATTAACTACGTATCCTGACCAGGGAAAGGCTCCGGCGCCCACGCCGAGTGTTATGAAGACGATGCTTAAGGTGGGATTGGTGATAAAGGCCGTGAGAAGCATGAAAGCCATTTGAGCGATGAAAGCTCCGCAATTGAAGTATCTTCGGACTTGTCCTGTCCTCAGATATCCTTTGATCTGCAGCCAATCAGCAAGGTAGCCTGATAAGAAGAGAAGTCCAACCATAGCTATATAAGGAATAGCAGCCATAATCCCAGTTGTATCAAGATTGAAATCCAGGGTATCTGAAGAGGAAACCGAATTAGACTGAAAAGCACTTTCTTCCATCGCAATCTTACCATTCAAGAACATCGGCAATTGAGTCAGGAGAGTGTAAAATCCCCACATGGCTGTGAAATTTGCTGCCACAACAGCCCAAACAGCTGACGATGTGAAAATGTCCTTCCAAGGATGCTTAATTGTTCTTCCTTTGCTGCGATCTCCAATACTCGATAGAATATATCTCTTTTCCGCTTCTGTGATGAAAGGATCAACTTCTGGGTTTGATTTCACCAAGAAAATCCACAAAACGTACCAAATGCACCCAATTGTACCTGAAAAAGAAGAACTTATTCGATTAACAATTCACTTTTGAGTGTCGAAACTCTTGCCGAATACGTAGAATATGCTTTCCCATCCCCAGGCGACGCTCAGGACGCCAGAAAGGAGCATCGCGGCAATTGCGCCAACATAATTGCCAGTGTAAGCAATATTTCCCATCAGAGATCGCTCGTAAATTGGCGCCCATTCGGACCAAATGGCGAGAATCGATGGAAAAACAATTCCTCCAAAGAATCCCTGCAGGATTCTGGCTGTGAGGAACAAAGCCAAGTGAGTCTTGGCCGCAATTGGGATTAATAGCGCCAGGACAGCCGATATAATAAGTCCTATTCCGAATATCTGCAGAGAGAGAGAAGGATTTTTTAGAGTATTTTGCAGGTAATTTAATACATTATTATCATAAAGAAGTACATATTTACTATCCGTGTATTTAAATAGCATAAATAATTACCACTGATACGCATAAACTCGATTACAAATATTATTTAAAGTAAATAGTCTGGATAGAGTAAGGCCGGTCTATTGTGGTAGTTGTGTGATTGGCAGCAAACTGTCCTATCTTCGAGGGGTTGTTAATATTAGGGATGCAGTGTCACTTGACTCAAAAAGAGATGAAAATGAATTTCTCAGCTGAAAAGTTAGCAAAGACCGCAACGAATACACAACATTGCTTAAATACTTAATCTTCAATCGGATATTTACGGTTTTACGCAAGGTTTTACGTTAAAAACGTTTGTGACACTGGAAAAACTTCCTAATTTTTTCAAAATTGAGAATCTGTAAAAATGCTAAAATCGTAAAAAGTCCTTTAATCGTTCAGTATTAATAAGTTCATCTTCTTAAAGTTTACCACAATTTTCTTTTTACACCCACAAAATACATTTTTCTTACAATATCATGTCTCAGAATGATCTAAAATATTTCCTTTATACTCTAATTCATATATTCAATATGATAATTAAATAAAAAGTATTTTTACTCCCTCATTTTTCACTCTTTTTCTAAATTCCGCACAGAATTCTCGGGCTTTCTAAGATGTCTGAATTTTGAATGAAACTAACCGCGATGCAGCAGAGACACAAGATGCTGTGACACTCAAAATCTATATTAACAAACCCCTGCTTATCAAGCAATACACTGAAATTGCTCTATTCCAAATAGTTACTTTTCCCCAATCTTCTGTCTCTTCTCTGCGCTGTCGAATGCTCACCAAATGACCACCAAATCTCGAGCCTAAGACGCCGCCAATCAACTGTGTGGCGATGTAGCCGTAGAAGAAGGAACTGAGGATGAATCCTTGCTGCTTTGAGTCCCAATCGAAGTCCTGCTGCTCCACAATCGTTCCATCATCGAGAGTGACATTGTGCTTCTCAGTCATTGCCACAATCGCCACGCTCAGATTAAACCTGAGTGTGTAGAGATTAAACAATCCGAAGAATGCCATGATAACGACGTGATAGCGACGCTTCTTCCAGAATGGGATTTTCGCGTCCTCCAGGCGTTCCGCTTGGCTGGGGAAAGTGCAGAGAATTAGCAAATCTGTTTGCTGGGGAATCTCACTGGGGTGATTCACCTAATTTCCACCGTCTTATCGGCATCACCGGCCATTTTCGATATGCACAGAAAATTTGGGACAAACGATGCTGACCGGAATATCAATGTTTTGAGACTGAGAACCTCTGATCGACTGAACTGGAGGCTGTTGTTTGAGCATTTCACACGCGATATCGCGCATTTTCCCCTCTATATCGCGTATTTGCGATAAGAACGACACTTTTCGGATTATCACTACTTGTCAATAATTTTATTATTGCAGTAATTCTTCAGCAACTCACACAATTCAGCCTTCTCAAGCTGAAGATCGCTTCTAAACTTCTTCATCATGATCACATCTGCCTGGATTTCGGATAATTTGGAAGCCAAGGAGGATTTTTCTGGGCACTTCTTGATGAAGTTCTTATCAATTTTGAGAATGTTGTGGAGAATTTTGCTGAGTTTCTTCCCATGGGAGAAAATCTTCTCCAGATATTGAATCTCCTCGGTTGAAATCAACGTCAATTGTTCCAAGGATTTCTTTTCCCGCGAGGATTCCTTCGCCAGCAAGTCTCTAGTGAAATTCACTCTCGTGCGAAGGGAAGATTTTCTGTCTCTGAAGATTGTCAACTTCTTCTCAGTGTCTTTCTGGATCTTCTTGAAATGCTGTTGAAGAATCACATAGAAAAAGTCCTTCTTTCTACGGCTGTTGATGATGTTCTTCAAGTCAATCATTTTCTTCTCACAATCAGCAATGAATGACAGCATTTTCTGTCTATTTTCTGACTCTTCGTAGCAAGATTGGAAACGAGAAATCACAGTTTGAAGGCAATTCTTCGTCTCCTCAGCACTTTCTTTCATATTCTCAAGGAAAGTGTGAAATTCTTCAGTGATTTGAGTTGATTTTCTTACAAGTTTCTTCGTATGATTCCCGTTTTGGGTGGAAATTTCAGCAGAAAATTCAGCTACTGCGCTTTCCAGAGGTCCTTTAAGCACTGGAATCTCAATAATTTTGGCTAGATCTCCAAGAATATCTTCTCTGTCCTTCAAGTAGACTTCCTTCAAATGTTGCATGGTTTTTTCGAATAATTTCTGTATCTTCCCGATTGTCGTCAAATCAAGAGCGTCTCTTGTATTTAGTTTTTCAATTTCTTCCACACATTTTGCATGCTTAATAGCAGAAATCCTCTGAAAGTCCTCACGAATCTCCTCAACTTCTCTCTTCATATCGAGAATTTCCACTTCTTCAAAATACTGCTTCTTCCATTTCTCATAATTCTCTTGATTTTCCTTGTTGGCCACGTAGTTTTGCTGATCTTTCTCAAATTTTTCAACATCCAATTTTGTAGAATCAACTTCTTTCACCTTTTTGGGGCTCTTTTTCGGGCCCTTTTTGCCCTTTTTCTTGAGACGTTTTTTCACAGGCATTTTCTCGAGCAACTGTTTTCAATTCAAACAATTCCACAACTCAGCGATTTCAGTGCCAACTGCGAGCGAGTAGAGTAAATTTGTCGGCGGTAAAGCGATTTGCTTCCCAGTCGGAATGGCGTGCAGAATTTATTATATACGCAACGTAGAGTAAAGCAGTAATTAGTATTATTTATATTAATATATGTAGTGTAAATTATATTAGCATTCAGTATTCAGTATGTATTCTCGAGGTATAATTGAGAGTGGAAGGTGTTTTTTTCTGGTGTTGATGCACACATTCAGCCGCGGTTTGACCAATTTTCCATGCCTCTGGGAATTTTTCTTGTGGTTTTTTTGGCAAAGGGAAATATTGTGAGAAGGAATTGGAGGCATTTGCTGAGTGTCTAGGAATTTTGTGGGACAGAAAATGCAGAGAAAATTCATGTGAAAGAGAGGAATATTTTGATATTGAGTCAAGTTGGTCTTATTGCAAATTCCAGAGGTTCGCGACCGAATCAGGGAGCTCCATTTAGCCTCTTCATCTCCTCTCTTCTTCATCTCATGCCACAATCTCAGCGCCTTTGTGTGCTGAAAGAGAGGTAATATTGGAGTTGGCAGATATTCTGGAGCAAAAATAATACCTTCTCGCGCTTGAGAGTCATTCGCCAGATTATGCAAATTATTCCGCGATTGCTGTGCAGCATAGAGGTCGACGAGATTTGTGGCAATTGCGCTGCTCAATGATCTAAATATGGTGATAATTCAATAATATGTAACATGAAATTGATGGTGAAATTGCTGAAAACGCTATGAAAGCCCAATTACTGGAATGTGTGTGTATGCCGTGGATTTTTTTTTTCCTTCCACCTTATCCGCGATGTGAGTGGCAGGAAAAGCTATGGAGAGATCAAGACATATTCTTGCACTTGGAGTGATCTCTTGAGATGCCGGAAAAGATATCAGCCACAATCAAATTTGTGCAATTTTGTCTTGATATTTGCACTCCGCGGCATCTATATTTATGCCTCAGCTTGCATGCACTTGGCGAAAACCCACACTGAAATATCTCTGATGGTGACTATGCAAAAACTTATATACCTTCCACTCAATATCGCGCCTGTCTGCTTTTCCCCGTTTCGCGGCACAGCATAAAACTATTAAAAACAACACACATATTGTGGCTGAAAATGCAAACAAACAATGAAGTGCAATCTATAAACCTATTAAACACTGAATTATTAGCCAAATACCAATCACTGCATTCTTTTCTGGTCAAGACAGACGGCGGCATCTCAAGAATTTGCCAAGCAAGAGTGGCTCAGTTCACTTCTGCCCACCCACAAAATACTCTCTCGATAGAGTTTATCGTCCAGCAAAGTATTTGAGCCTTTCTGAGCCAAGAATGTCACTCTCTATAAATTCTGAAAATCCATTAAAAAGTTCGTAGTTGAAGAAAATCGACAAATATTCACAACGAGACTTTCAAAAGCATTGCCAAGGGGGAGATAATACAGCCAGAAGTGGTGTACAGTTCAAAGGAAGTCTTCGGAAGTGTTCAAGAACAAACAATATTCATTTCCTGAATCCCTCCTGACAAATTAATCCAATTTTCTTGGATTTCCTTTGATTCTTACGCTTGAAACAATCACAATAAATATTTTCTAGGTTATGTAATGAATCAAGAACAGATTTAGTGGATAATTTGTATTCTAACTCATCAGTTCTTATTCCAAAGTCGCAATAATCATCTTTATTCTGAACCTTTTATGCCAAGAAATACTGTAAATTGCAATTTTAGTCGCTCATAACCTCAAAAAGTAGCGTGTGAACTTGGAAAATGTTCATTTAGAAAACTTTTTAGACACTTTTGCCTCTGAATCAGCAATTTTGAATTCATTGGTAAATCATAAGAACAGATTTTGCGATCTGAAAAGCTTCCAAATGGAGTTTTTGAAGATTTTTTAGTCTTAATTTGAGGTTATGGTCGCAAAAGTTACCCAAAAAAGAGTTTTTTTTAATGGAATCTTGTAGAATTATTGAATGAAAGCTTAAGAGATTCATTATTTTTGGGAATTAACGAGGAAACAGTCTAAAAGCTTCAAGTTCTAGAAGTGTCAGGAAAATTTGGAAATGTTTGTGGCACATTATCTCCCCCTTGAGCATTGTTATTCTGCTGATTTCTTTAAAATATGTGCATCAAAAGTTAGCGCATGCAATTGAGAGGAGCTTTAGAGTGGGCAGAGCTTCAGAAAGTTCTTCTCTTGCCAAGATTTTTGACATGTTTCCAAAAAATGACATTTATAAACCTCCAACATTTTTTCCTCTGCTGAAATTCTTAGGCAAAAAAAGCACATCTTAATGTGACTCTTAATTTTTATCACTCCCTGTAACCCTTCTTAACGACTATTGACTGAGAATAGAGCCATCACGAGAAATGTCCGATGGCTCTCGGAGGCCATATAAAATGTTCTGCGTATCTTGACAAAGTGCAATTCAATGGTTTTGCACGGAAGGATAAAATGGTTATTGGTTTGGTTGCACAAATAATGCTCCAGTGCGCCAAAAGAGCGCTGCAGCTGCTGTTCTGGTGGGCATAATTTCATATATGATGACGATAAAGTTGACCCAGGAATGAATTTCTAGTTAGTGGCAATTTTATGCAGAAAAAACAACTTGACCAAGAACACGGAGGGAAACCAGTTTTTGGGCACCTCTTGGTCTTTTTCCATCTTCCACATCTCCTCTTTCGGCCACATTTTACCCACCGTGCAGCCCATGATGGCGATTATTGAGATGGTTCTATTGGTGAAACATCGCGTCCGCAGAAAAGTCTCCTCATGTTGACGCATTGACGTGGAAGAAAAAGCGAGCGAGCGCGAGAACTTATGAGCTTTTCGCGAAGATAGTGGGAAAAGTCCCCACGGATTAAGAGTGCAAGAGCCTCTGTGGCGTGTCAGAAGATTCCCAAGATTGCGTCCATCATCTTGTTCGCCCCAGACGAGCGAGAAAAAAAGCATTCAGAGAAAACTTGCATTGCCTGAAAATGGACAAAGTGAGTCCGATAAGAGTAACAAGCTACAAAAGTCCAAATAAATCAGGCATCTTGGAAGATCTTTCTCTTTTCCTCGCGGCCAATCTCGCCATTGAAGATGCGAAATCGAGCAATGCACTCGATTTTCCAACGCATACACAAGACAGACAGAGAATTTGCAATCCTTCCCAGGGGGCTGATAAGTTCTGTGCAAGACAGAGTCTTAATCATCATTCAGCTAAGGAAAAATCAAGCAATTTCAGACCGTTCACTTTGTGATTATTCAATTATTTTGTTGTTTCTTCGTGGTTTTTATTGAAATTTTGAATATTTCCTGAATATTTAATGGTCTCAATCAAAAATAAAAATTTTTTTGAATAAAATAATACAGAAAATAATGATTTTACCAAATAAAATTGCAAAATAATCATATTTTGAATAAAATATTCAGGAAATTATCAAAAAATGATTGGAATTTTTTTTACAATCACAAAAGTACTAAAAAAAGATTGAGATTTGTATAAAAAAAAACAAAATTTAAATAAAATATTCAGGAAATAATCAAAAAATATTGAAATTTGTCTGAAATTATCAAAATTAGAATGAAAATAACGACAAATCAAAAAATAATTGAAATTCAATCGGAACTTCTACATGACTTCTAAATACATTTCAATTTTTTTTATTAAATATTCAGAATAAATTTAAAATAACATTCGAAAATATTCAATTTTTGATCATTTTGCAACTTTACTGGGAAAATAAATTATTTTTGATTTTTTTTAATTCAAATTTTGAATCCTTCAATACAATATAAAAATTTAAAAGCTAAATATTTGATGACTAATATTGGATTTCATTTGATTGACTTTCCTTTTGGGTAGAAATGGTGTCAGAAGTGGGAGAGAAAATCACTCAATTCACTTCTTTTCACCTTGTGATAAGAAAAGTTTCAAGCGTTAATTAATTTAGGAAGTACAAGTGGTGAAAAAGTGAAAGATTATCAGTTGCTCGTATGTAAGTTGTGTTGTAAAAAGGCACTTAATGCTTGTGGTTTGAAAAAAACTGTGTAATTTCTATCAATAAACCCAATCAATTGCCCTCTAGCATGTCTTCTCATAATGAGTGCACATTAAATCCAACATTTGCATGAAAAATCAAAGCATGAGATGTGAATAAATTAAGTCTCAACTTCCCCGATACGTTATCACACTTGTCCGCAGACTTTTCCAATCTCTTCTCACAAATTCAATTTGAGCTGCAATTAAGGCCGATATCAATTGAGTGATTTGACTTGCAAATCGCGCACTTTCAGCTGACTTCGTCGGCGGGAGTAGTTGTGCGCCCCTCGGGGAGTTTTCTTGTGCCCGCGAGATGAGAATCTCCCTCCCTCGCTCGACTCCCGGAGCCCCGCGAACGCATCGCCAGAGCGCATTTGCCACCGCGAAATCCCATTCAAGAAGACCGGAGAATCGGCGAACGCGAGGCAGGTTCGTTGGCAGCTGCCGAGTTTCAGTTTTTCAGTTGCTTGTGACTCGCTTTCGTGAACGGACGCATCGCGCTTTGGGCATTTCTGTGCTTCTTGGGCTCTCCTCAGTGGCTCCTGGACAGGCTCGAGGGATTCTCCCAGGTGAAGTGTGTTTGTGCTCCTGGACGACGTCCTCGACTTCCGTTTCCTCCCTTGCGACGATCAGTGAAAATTGCGCGTGTGCCAGATTTATTTCGGTGAAGAGTTGGTTTTGTGCAGAGAAAGAGAGGCTCAACTTCTGCATTGGAGGTTTAATTGAGCAGCAAAATTGGAGAGACGAAGGTTTTTCTGGCTAAATACAGTGCTGTGTGTCTCTTGATTGCAAACAATTTCTGGCGAGCAGAAGATTTTCCATCTGCAGGTACGTTTTATACGGTCTTCTGGACATTCAAAAGCCACAACCCTTTGACGAGCGGCTAACACGGCTCATTTAGACAGTTTATTAGACATGAGGTCACTTTTACCTTCTCTCACTCTTGGACGACCTATCCGCGAGAGACTTTGTGTGTTTATCTTTGGAAATCCGCGCTGCATTTTTTCCCACCGTTCAAGTCCATTTCACCGCCTTTCGCACAACATGCGAAACGAATGGCAAGTGCGCGTCTGATGGCCAATGAAAGTAAAAATAGATAATTGGTCAGGAGTGCTGAAGTGTCTGAAAAGAGGCGATGATATTCGGAAATGTGGACTTTTGTGCCTTTTGCAAAAATTGCGCTTTAGATGCTAATCAAATTGAATTACATTGTTAATGCTCTGGAATCTTTTGTCGATCATTTTGAGCACGTTTAGGCGTTTCAATCGCTTTGCGCTCAGCGTCTTTTGTGTTTGGCATGGGAAGTGGGAGAAATGAGGTGAAATTAAAAGACCGAAACGCACAGAGATAAAAGATAGTGTGTCTGTGTAAAATACGAAAAATTACAAAACCAGATTGAACGTGGTGATCGATTTTGAAGAGAGCTTGAGAGTCTCTCGCGCTCAGCTCGAAAGTTACCCTCGAGGGAAATGATCGCGCGCGCGGGTCTCCTTCACTGAATCAACCTTTTCGTTCCACTCCTCATGAGAAGTCTTTTTGCCCATGAGCATCGGCACGGCTTTTAATTGGCGATCAAGTGATTTATTTTGAAACGCACCTCACAAGACGGGGACAATTAAAAAGCGCGCGCGGCGCTGCAGAAACAATCATCGGCGACACACTTTTCCAATTATTATTCTGCGCAATTGCATATTAAGAATATTACGAAAAAACATTGATAAGCACGCAAGTTCTGGGCTTAAGCTAAACTGGACTTTAGACAGAGCCAAGGGGGAGATAATGTTCCTCAAATCTTAAGACTTCCAGACACACTTCTGAACGTCTTTAAAGGCATTTTTTCGTCTCAAGAGGTCGAAGCTCTTCAAATTCTTAGATTTTAGTCTGTATGAACTGATCTTAAATGTCTCACGATTTGTCTATGAACAGTTTCTGAGGAAATTGTGAGGTTATGAAAACTAGCTTTTAAACCTTCTTGGCTTAATTAAAATCCCTTTCAAATCCGGAAACGAGTAAATTCAGAGAATATCACAATGTTTCTACTGGATAATAAAGTACAAATCCCGGAAATTACTAAGTAAAGAGACATTTTTGAGGTTATGTTTGACTTTAAAGCTGTTTTGAACTCCTGAAATTGAATCAATCTGAAGTTTTTCGAGCAGAAATACTCAATTGAACCAAGAAAAAGAGAAATATTCTTAGTTTAAACACATATTGATGATTTCAAGTCTTTTAAAGGTTTTAAATCAATCACATAACCTAGAAATGTAATAAAATTGATATTTCTAAGCAAAATAACAGCAAAAGATGCTTTTGGAGTCGAAATTTTTGAAGTATTTTACCACTTTGAATTCCTAACACTTCTTTGAAAAGCTGTACACCTCTTCCGACCGTAATATCTGCTCCTTGGACGAAGCTAAAGCTGAAGAACTTCTTGCAACTTTCACACCTTTATCTTCAGCTCAATAGCACGCAGTATAAGAAGTTGAACTGTAGATCATCGTGATGATATTCAGTCAATTTTACGACACTAATTTTTTCTCACACAAGTTCAGTAGGAATAATAAAAACAACTCTTTAGCGATAAAGGTGAGCTATTAGATGAAACTGCCCGGCTCTCCCCTACTTTATCAAGTGCCTTTTCGCCAGAGAAACTCACTCAGACAGTCAATCAGCTTTCGCAAGTGCTGGAATTAATCTGCGTGGAAAATATTCTGCCGCAAATTTCTTTTTACTTATAATTAAATGTGAAATTATTTTTGCCAATTTGTGCTGAGGTTCTTGATCTCTAAGGCGTTGCTTTAGACATGTCTTTTGAGCGCGTGTGTTTCGACGTTTTTGGTTTTCTCAAGAGCATAGTAAACAAGTCCAAAAATTGATACTGAAGTAATCCTATTAAGAGAAATGATACATAACACCTTTCACTTTATGCGGGGAAAAGCGCCAATGCTAAATTGCATCAGATCGATTAAAATGCTTGGGCAGAAATTCTAAGCATTCTGCATAAATCCCGATTAGCATTCCGCTGTGAAGTTGACATCATAAATCGATTGAGCGGAGCTGCAAAGTGAATTGCATTCTTGCTAATTTGGGCTATTTTGGTGTGTTGTGTGTAAATTTGTCTCACAAGAGAAGTAGCGAAGTTTCTCGTTTGCTGCATTCTCGGCTGTGTCGCAATCTTGCTTGGTGGATAAAAACGCGTATCTCGAGAGTCTGCGAAATATTAAATCATGTGCGTTTGGCACATGAGAGAGGGAGAGTGTCAGGAAAGGGACAGCGAGGAATTTCTCAACACTCTGTGACAGCGAAAAAGAATGTTTTTCTTGGGCGGAATGACATGAGAAAAAGTGCATTTCTGCTCCCTCTAAGCTCGCGACAGAAAATCCAGAAAGACAGGAATTGCATCGCTCTGCATTGATGCAGAAACCACAGCTATTGCCATTTGATGGCTTCGTCTTTTGAGACTTTTCGTCGCACTTTTCATTCTGGGCGGAATATTTAATAGTTCGAAATTAAAACTAATATTGCTCTTTTATAATTATTTTGTAAATATTTCAGTTGATTTTATTGATATTTATTAGAATTTTGGGCTGAAATCAACTTTTTTTTTAGGGTTTTCAAGTAAAAATCAAAAAACATGACAAATAATTTATTTATTCACAGTCACAGAATATTTTAGGATAATTTTAGGAATTTAAAAATAATTATTGTTTATTATTCATGTGTTTCATTGCATTTTGAGGCAATTTTCTTGGAAAAAATCTTCTACGTGGTCAATGAAAAATCTTTTAATCATCTTTTAAGCACGGTTAGACGTTATTTTGTACTGCGAAAAACATCAAATCTTAGGAAAAAATCTTAGTGAATATTCTAAATTATGAATAAAATCAATAAAATTCATGAAACATATATAAAAATTAAAGATCTTTCAAAAAAAGGCCCCAGGAGATTTTAAAAAAATTATTATCATAAATTTGTCGCGTAAAAAGTACACAAAAGATGGTTAAAAATCGACTTTTTGCTCTTTATTTCTTCAGTTTGTCGATCAATTCTTCATATTTCAGCAATAGAGCAATGAAATCAACTGAATATTATAGAAAATCATTAGAATTTACCAATATTGCCAATTTCAGCCGTCGATGTAAACAAAATGAGCTGATAATTAGATAAAGAGTGATTTACTTCGTCTCTGTTTTGCTTCTGTTTTGTCGTGGTGAAAATGTAAATTGTTTTTCTAATTGGAAAGTCTTTTGACAACAAGCGATTGGTGAAAAAAAAAACAGGGCCAGCAGTAAAATCTCAGCTCCTCTGAGCATTGTTCTCCTCACCGGAGTTTGTTCATTTTGTCTCAACTTGTTTTCTTGTGCATCGTCGCATTTTGTGCTACAATTTAATATCATGATGCCGGAGACAGAATCGGCAGTTCGAAAAAGTTCTCTTCGCGCGCTGAGTCTCGTTTAAACTGGGTAAGTGGTACACTTTTGATGAACAGCCAGCGCCGGTGACAATTGCGACGTCTTCGGAAGTGGGCAAAGAGACTTCCTCAGCGTCTCAGACAATTGGCGGTGACTCGGCATGAAATTGCATCTCTCGTGTTTGTATAAATGCAATTCACGCTGTGGCGACGCGACTTGGCAATTAGATTGCCTTATTGATCGATCACCGTGAGTCAATTGGATCGAATTGCGGCGTGTTCGTGAGTGTCATTGCCACATGCTACTTACATTTCATTTTGCCAGCACACACGCCAAATCCAATCGTGCGCTCGTTGGGAAACTGATCATCGCAGCCAAATGATCAGCCAAGGGGGAGATAGTATGCCTTAAATCAGTACACCACTTCCAAACACTTCTAGATCGTCAAATTTGTAGCCTGTTTCCACATTATTTCCCAAATTATAATGAATCTCTCAAGTTCCCATACGATATTTCTGCAAGAATCGACTTTGAAGCACTTTTTGGGTATTTTTCCAACCATAACCTCAAAATATCACTAAGAAATCTTCAAAAACTCTCTTTGGAAGCTCTTTAGATCGCATAATCACTCTGTTATAATTTGAAAATCAACTTATAATTATTGATTCAGAGTCAAAATTGTCCATAAAGTTTTCTAAATGACAATGTTTGAGGTTATGTTAAATCTTATCACAATTTGCAGTGTTTCTTGGGATTAAAAGATAAAAAAAGCACTTTTAATTGCTTGCAAATGTTCTTTTGCCAATGACTGGCGAACTTGGCGACTTTAGCATAAGAATTTATGTGCTAGAATGCTAATTATTCAGTAAATCTGTTCTTGATTCGCTACATAACCTAGAAAAAAGATTATTACGATGGTTTCTGCGTGAAAATTGAAGGGAATCCAAAAAATATTGTTGGTTTTTCAACACTTCCACTTCTTAAGTACTTCTGCTGAGCTGTACACCACTTTTGGCTGTATTATCTCCCCCTTGTGATCAAGAGTTGATGCCAATCGAGCATGGTTTCTAATTACCAAAACCGATAGCCTCGAATTTTCAAGAATATATGCACTCATCTCGCGAGCCAGTCTCGATCGGATTGAGCTGAGAAGCCCATCAACTTTATCGATGGAGAGAGTCGACATAAATCTCACTGAAATTGTGCTACTTGCGTTCCCACTGAGAGTCTCAATTTCATTCTGATGGCGGGCGAGCGTGCCAAGAAAGAGAAAATGCATGCATTTTCACGACGAATCAATTTCTGGGATTTTCTCTCCTACATCCAGTGCGGCTTATGCACTGCCATAAATGTCTCAGAGCCGCTGCTCGTCGCGGGAATTATAGATTGCAAGTGTTGGAGGCTGCGACAAAGGGC